TCTGCTTCCCTTTTACACTGTTTAATGGGTGTCACGTCAAAAAGGTGAATTTAACCTGATAAATCAAGACAATAGGAGAAGGATTCTGGAAGCATTGTTTGGAGGTTATGAGATCCAGCTGCAGTTAATTTGAGAGTTAATTAACTGAAAGAAGCTTCCAGGCTGTGCTCCAGGACCCTGAGCAAGGCTTAGTTTTCAATCAAAGCCTTCAGAGGAAGAGATTATGTGAAAGAAGCACTGTCACATCCACCAAGAGCTGCTTCATTTGACTCCTGTCTCAAGGGAATGCTTGTCAGTATTTAAGCCTTTATTCTGTTTCAAAACAAGTAGCAAGTTTAAATATAATTATTTGCATACCTGCTGTCAGAAGTCCAACAGCTGTGCAGAACCGTGCAGCCCTTTCTACCAAAGATCCTAGGTGAAGACAACAAAGGGCCATATTTTCCCTCTTCTCAATAAGGTTTCTCAGCCTCAGACCCCCAGATCTTTGGAGATCAGCTCACAGGTACGTGCTAGCTGTCGGTAGGCAGGAGAAGCAGGGTACATCGCTTTCACAAACACAGCCAGCAGTTACCTCAGGAGTTGCAAAGCAGCTGCCCTTGGGGCGAGCTTTGCCGCTCCTGGGAGGCTGCGAGCAGACGGCAGCTAACGACACCGCGTTGGTGCCGTCTCTCTGGTCCTGCTAAGGCCGGGATTGTGTGACTGAAACGAGCCCTTGCTACCAGCTTCAAATCAAACACCTACCTTTGTAGAGGTTTTTTGCTCGGTTCCTGTTTTGCTAAGAAAAAAAAAAAAAAAAAAAACAAAACTAGTTGCCACTTGCTCAGCTGTCTTTAGTGTAAATATTTCCTCAGTTACCTGTTCTTAGTTATCTTCATCTTGCTTTTTAATCCTCACATTGCATGCAGATCCCGAGATTTACCCTTCTGTGCCTTTTTCCTTGTAACAGTACTGTTCTTGGGGGTGGGAGTCAGCTCACGTCTGTGCGCAGAGGTTTGAAAACACGCATCAAGTGCAGCATTCCTTCTCTGCACTAAAATAGCTAGAGAGCATGCAGCCCTTTCCTACCACTCCATACATAATTTAAATATTGCAGTGTTGCAAGGGCAGGAGAGCCCTAAACTACTTTGGTGGGTTTGATTCCTCTGAGTTATGTCTCATTACTGTTAAAGATATCATTTCACACATTGCCGCAGTTGAGTTCCACTCAGGTAACATGCGTCTAAACTGGCTGTATATCTGTGTAAAGGATGTATTGTTGTGTATATTAAAGGTGTTAACTAACTGTGCATACATATGTTTCAACCCTGAGCTTGGCTTCCAAAATTCTAATTTGCCTGTATTTTACTTTTATAGTAGGTGTTTCTAACCTACTTATTAAATTCAGTGAGCAATCATGCTAGCTAGCTGCTGTTTCTGCATTGCACACTTGTGCAGACAGTCATCAGAAATTATGCAAAACATGAGAAAAAAATGCAAGCATGCAGAACTCATAATGCCTTGGAATAGTCAAGAATCATTTAGCTGGAACATCTTTCAGCTATCAATTAATCTGTACTGTTCTTACCATTATTATTATTTATTGCTTTCTCCAGAGAAATGTTCCTGGAAAGACACAATGTCAATCATGATCAAATAGTGATTTCCAATGATATCCTCAAGATACTGTGGCTAGTTTTGAGGTTGATGTGTTTATAAGAGTAAGTGGACCAATTTTGAGGTTTCACAGACATCAATGTGAACTGATCTTCCTGTAGTTTTCGTGTGACTTTGTTGTACAGGCAGTTCTCAGACAGACAGCTGTCTGTTTCTCTGTGTTAGGTACAAGACACAAGCAATGTCAGAAGCTGCTTCGTTTCTAAGCCTAATGTGGATGTGTGGATCACCCAAATAAGCTTTACATTTGATGAGTCTGACAGCATGTTAGTGTGGCTCTGTATATATTCCTCAGCCTCTTCGCCCTCTCCCATAGTCCTCTCTTCCTCTTTCGTGTACCTGGCCTTAAAAGTTAAGCCTCTCATCATCGTTTTTAGCTGTCATGTGCTCTTCCATTTAAAAACTCAGGTTTTCCACTCTACCTTTGCTTACTTTGCTCTTATGCCAGAGAACTGCAGAGTTTGGAGGCTGGCCTCCCAGGCACAACGTCATGGGCTAGTGCTGTTGCTGCACGGCCATGGTTGTTTTCAGTATTTCTGTGTACAGAGTGTTTCAGCGTGAGATGAGAACAGAACAGGAGGCTTCTGTATTCATACCTGGTCATTTGGATGGTCCTGGGACTCTGGACAGCTCTGTTGTCACAGCCCTGTGGACTCAGGAAAATTCTTTTATTTACCCATTACTTCCTTGCTACAGTGAAAACAACAAAAGATCCAGCTTAGAGAACTAGGGTTAGAGAAAAAAACAAAGTTCTCCCTACAAAGAATTTTACTGGCCACTGTTAAAGGCATATAATGAAAAGAAGAAAAAGAGATGGCTTTGCAAGCTGTTAAATAGTTCCAATACTTACATTCAGTCTTCTTTGATGTGTACAGGAGAAATAATAAATATTCCATAAACTCTTCTGTTTACCATACCATCCAAAGAATGATTAATTTTTCTTTTTCTTATCTGTTCAGGGCTTATTGGTGCTGTTTATGGCAGGTGTTCTTTGTACTAGAATCACAAAGAAGGTAGAGTGACTATCCTTGGTGAGTCTTATGTTGCTTTGAACACAAAGGCTGAGCATGAGAAAAAGCAATAGCATTAGTCACTTGGGTGTGCAATGACCAATAATCACAAAATTGAAAACTATTACTGCTGGATTGTAATATCTCATTTAGTGCATATAAGACATGGAAAGGCAAAGCATGGTCAACACTGACATAAGCACTGACTGCTTATTTGTAGATTTTATCATATCCTATTGATTGGCGGTTGATTTCTTGGTCATCTGCTCCTTATATATGTTATGTTTTAGTAGTGCATAATATAATGGCAGCAAATTGGATGAACTGAATTTTAATTTTCATCTGCATTTAATCACTGCTGGCTAGGTTTTGTTATGCTTCATCAAGATTTAGCTACAATTTCATTTTTATGTAAGTAAATAAATAAATATTAGGCCGTACCAAGTAGCAATGAAGACAGTTAGGTCCCAGTCCTGCAGCTGAATTCTTAAGAACTCCTGTCTGTCTTACTGAAGTTAGCTGTGTTTTGATGGCAGTCATAACTCCACCCTTGAGAAACTGGAAACAAAGTCAAGGTCTGGCAAAGGTCTTGAGAGAACCTAGGCAAAACATGTCCAAGGTAGTATTGTGGGCTTTGGCTCCATCCTCTGTCATTAGAACAGAGCCTTCATTCATACAGCTGAGCGGAAAAAAAAAAAGCCCAATTTTGTATATCTACTTGTCTGGATGTTCATAGCCTCTTTCACTGTAATAATCTTTGATGTCCTTACTGAAAAGGAAAGAAAAGAATATATAACTTTAGAACAGTCTACTCCTTTACAGTAATCCTGGTGTTGCTTTTTACCAAATCGACAATGAGCCTTTTTGATAATTTGTACGCCTAGAAAACGGACACAAGACTATGTTCCAGGTAAATATAATAGATGTGGCATTGAATGTCTTGCCTTTGTCACTGTTGGGTAATTTTTGGTATCTCGTATACAGTAGAGGATGGTTCATTCACTGAAAAATGAATCCGCATGTAATAGAAAATCAATTGATGGCTTTCATAGCATCTCCCACTAGTCATCAGCACATGAAGCCCTATTTTGTAATTAACAAAGCTGAAAAGGAGGAACAATATAAATGTGCTCACTTTTTTAAAAACAGCTTATAACTTTTTATTTCGCAAGGTGATAACTGGAGTCAGCAATAATGATTGCCCACTAAGATAGAAAGGATATCTTCAATACATTTTATGAAGTTTTCCAAGAGATGTGCTGATCATGTTAAGTTGATATATTCTTGTCCTGAGATAGAAAGAGGAAAGGAGAGAGAAGAAGAAGCTCTACTCATATACACAGGACAATTTATACTCCTACAGTTGTAGCTTGTCTTTTAGATCTCCATCCCATGTCCATGTTATGCTGGACAGCATGTTGCCTCAATGTGTAATATTGTCCATTGGGTTGAGATTGCTGTCCAGCTACTTTGCTACATTTTCATGTTAAAACAACATATTTATTTGCAGTGAAGAAAATGTCTAACATCTCCACTATGGCTTTTCTCTATTTAGAGGGAAGATTGAAGCAAACCTTAGAGAAAAACAAGCTAGTCTGATCTGAGATAATGTGAAACTTCAAGATCCCATGATGACCTAGTTCTGTTTTATCAGCTTTTAGAGGCAAACTCCAACTGTCCAATGTTTTTGTAATTAAACAGGTTTTTTGTTTGAGATGAGAAAAATACTGCTTCTTGTTCTCTTATAGTTTTGTTTTAGTAAGGAATTTAGCTTGGATAGTCCCAGGTGACATACATCATATTTCTAGCTTAAACTCTTCATCAGTTATATTTCAAATATCTAAAACAAAATATAGGAAATTCTGTGTTCCAGTAGTTTCTAGGTCCTGGTCTAGGTTTTGTCTTCTGTGTTCCATCAATTAGTAGCATCATTTGCCTGCTTTTATTATCGGAGCCTTTTCCATGGGAAGTACTCAAACACTGCAGCATATAAAACACTGGATGAGTAAAGAAGTTGAGTATTATGTGGATTGTTGTGACTACAAATTCATGCAAAATAAATGCAAAATCAGATAAATAGCATCTGCTGCATACTGCCAGTAGCAGTATCAGCACCTGTATTAACACTCCTTTTTCCAGCAATATTACTCAGTGCCTTCCAGTTCATGTGGTAAAATTATTTATTATTATTATTATTTGGAGACTGGATGGTCTAGAAGCAGAGTGAAGTTATCGTAATGACAGTAGGTGAATTCTGGACATTAAAAAACAAAATGACCAATCCAGGTAGACAAGACTTGATTTTATTAATAAAATTTGTATTTTCCTCTTTGAGGTGACAGTTACAAACTTTGGTTCAAAAATAGAAGAAAATACGAACAGCAAAAAGTTGACTTTTGAAATCTTATCTTTACATGTATAAACGTGCATGAGAAAGTACCAGTTGGAAATGAGCCAGCAGAAGCTAGTACTATTTAATTTAACAACTTATAAGAAACAGAAACAAACATTTATTTTCAAGTCTTACATATATTATGAAAAATAATTACAAAAGGATTTCTGCTGCAAAATTAAAATGCAATTTCTACTTACAACTACCTGAATGAAGTGTTCAAAGGGAAGGCCAAACCAACTTTTTTGGTGAGATTTGAATAGCAAATTTTAACAATTTGGGTCAAAGACAGCTCTGTAGAAAGCAGTCCCCTCATGTTGCTTAGCAACTATATAGAATCACATGACCTAGACATATTGCATTCCTGGCCTTCAGTTGAAATAACAGGAAAAATAATTTATATTAATGGGATGGGCAAATATTTTATAGGACCATTCTGTGGAACTTCTAATGTCCACTTCAGGAAGCAAACATCCATTACTGCTTACTAAAATTCTAAATAAACACTGCAAAAATCCATAAATAACTGTTTAGAATCCAGTAACCCAGTTTTAATATTTATGCATACCAGGTAAGCACAACAGGAACAAATTCACATGAGATACATTTGGGGAAGAAAAAAAAAAAAAAAAAAAAGGAAAGCTATATAACTGATTAACTGATTTAATTCACACAGATTTAAACAGAAGTTTGGTTTTTTTGTTTGTTTTTTTGTTTTTGTTTTTTTACATATTCTCCCTGCCCAAAAATATAAATTTACTTATTTTAGGTATATACAGATTTTGTATGAAATTCTGAAATTAGAAAAGAAAATAAAAGGTCTGAGGTATAGCACCATGGAACACAACACCTTTGAAGGTGCTTTCAGTATTGAAATTCATCATCACATAATAATATCAGCAGAAAAGGGTATTTGAGTGTGCTGCTCAAGATCTTCCAGTTTTGCCACCTTAAGGTTTTTTGGCGACTTCAAATAACAAAGCTCTTCAACAACAATATATACAAAGGGATTTTATTATTAATCAGAAATTGAAATGGCTTCACTGGCAATTACAGCTTTATTTTTTCAGAATACATAAACAGTATTGACAATGTAGTTTTGTAATTATAAAATAAGAGCCAGATGCAATTTAGAGGCACATGCAAGTTTTGCAAATGGACAGAGAAATAACAGTATAAGTACTGTACATAGAATAATTACAATTTATTAAACACTTTCGTAACACCTCTTTGTAATCAAAGGAGCACCATGTCATTTGTTCTTTTTTTTTTTTCTTTTTTTAAACAGCACCAAAGGTATCCAAAGGTAGGGTGGGGCGTTGACAAAGTGAGCCCTATGTTGTCTGTCTGTGCCACAGCATCCTTGCAAAATTAGTTTAAGTCATGTGATTCTGGCCCTACAAGGGCAACAGTTACTTTCTAGATGAGACATAGGTACACAGCAAGACATATTTTCTATGCCATTCTTATTCAAAACTTGCATGTGGCATGAAGTAGGCTGGTAGCACCAAAGTGCCACGTTTTTGTTGATCTGATCTTTTTCTTAAATTTAACCAAGGAAGCAGACAGGACCAACCTCAAATCCAAACTTTTGGTTCTGATCGCCAAAGTCATTGATCATCACATCAACTATAGGCACTTGGTCTATTTTGGGTGTGTTGATTTCAATCACTGTCTTTGCGTAGCCCTTTCTTGACTGTTAAAAAAAAAGAAGCAAAAACAAACATATCAAAGGAGTAAGTATGCACTGTAGATCTTCATAGGCTACCTCTGAAGTTTGGAATTTATAAATGATTGCCTTTCATGCACCTGATGTTACAAATTCTAAATTTATTTTAAAAGTGTGATATGGAACATTTCTGATTTTAGAAAGAGATCGGCCCATGGCTTTTTGACTTACTAAAGCAAGCGTAGAAATGAAAAAACATATATAAGACATTTAATGTTCCTGAAAGAATTCACACCTATCCTAATTTATGATAATATTCTTGCAGTAGTTAGGATGTTTTCCTTGTGAAGAAATCACTAATTAGTTCTGAGAGACAGAAGAAATACCTAGTTCTAAGAAGAAAGACTCTGTCTTACAAGACATTACATAAGCTTTTTGGACATGGAAGAAAATAGCAGTCTGTCAGGACTGATGCATTAGAGATGTTCGAAAGCACACTCTTAATTCCTAACAAAGGCTTTCTGCCTTCTCATTATTTTAGTTATCAGGATTGTAGTCTCAGTTTCAGCTGCAACTGTTTTTCATCACAGTTTCTAATATCGTGCTGTGTTTTGGTTTTAGGAGAAAAGCAAAAGGCTGTTTAGCTGCTTGCTGGGTTAAACTACAATAATTGTACTTCATTCAGATGGTCTCTTATGTCCTTCTGATATCATTCCACTTTCAACTATGCCAAGATGAGCATATCCAAGCTGGAAGATCTGAATATTCTCAGATTAGTGGTGGAAGTTACACCCTAAATTGCTTACGTTGTATCTGGAGCTTTACTCTCATTCACTGCGGGCAATGACAGCAAAATAAAGATACAGGACATAGAAAAAGACTGACATGAAACAGCTGTATATTATAATTTTGTTACTGAGAGGAGGAGACTCTGCCTTTATCTAAGTTGTTTCTCAGAGACAAATATGTATCCTACTACTTCCAGGTCTCATTTTCTGTCACTGATTTCTAAGGAACTCACTTCAGAATCCCTTCATATCAAACTACAAAATAATTAATGACGCTTTAACTATCATATTCCTCTGGAATGTTCTTGTTTTCAAACTATTCTGCTTCTGAAGAGAGCAGACTGTACTGGAGAGGTGGTCAGACAGCTGATGAATGTTTGGACTGCTCTTCGAATTTTAGTTGAACTAAGAGTGGAAGGTAAAAGATGCAATCCCTGAATTTCAGCTGGCTTTGATTAAAAAAAAAAAAAAATTATATATATATAGATAGATAGATAGATAAGAGAAAAGGACATACAATGTTACCTAACTATGCAATTAGTTCACTATGTGTGGGTTCTGACTTAGTTCATACATATTTTTACTATGTTTCTTATGTTTATTATGACTATAAATATATTCTGCTCCTGGGCTGCTTCCTCTAATTATGCTTGTTTGCTTCTGTTCTCTTACATAGTGCTCGTACAAGAAAACAGTCTAGTTGCACATTGGTGCTGACAGCCTGTATCCATACTAGGTTTGTTCTATTTCTGTTGCTTGGCTTATGGTAATATTTATTATTTCTTGTACATATAAAAAATTGAATAAAGGGCTGCTGTATTCTAGTTAAAAACTACTAAAGGGTAGTCTATTAAAAGTTAAGTCTTTAGAAAGCTTTTCTCAGGGGAGAGCTGTGCAAAAAAAAAATAATTTGTTTGATTTCTACTTTAATTGACAAGTAGGTTTTGTAAAGAAAATTCTGAATCTCTACTTACCGCGCAGCCATCGTGAAGGGCTTTGATGTAAGGATTGTTGTCATAAGACATCTCTTCATCATTTGATCCTAAGAACCTTAGTGCTTTGTCATAGCTGTCAGATGAGGAATCGTGCCAAGCTACAGACTGATGGCAGTTGTATGTGAAATTTTGTCTGGCAGAGGCGCTCAGTAGTTTAAGGAATGTCATTTGAACCATGTTAATGGAATTGCCTTCAACATCCAAATATGAAAGCTAAAAAACATAAGAAGCCACATGAATATTTATGTTAAAATGCAGAACAAAATTACTGTTGATGGAAGAACCACATAACTGTCCTTAATAAAAAAAATAAACCATCACATCCCTTTTTAAGAGATTTTAAAGTTATTAAAGCTATAAGTCTGTAAATGTAAATAGTTTTTCATATTTTAACAATATATTTCGGATACCTTTTTTTTTTGTAATGGGAAAGACAGGGATTTACCCTTACAATATCATGTCAAACAGCAGAATCTCTTTGGGAATCTGTTTGTAGTTAATTAAAAAGTTATATCAGCTTGCATCCTCATTTTTCCATACTTAGTATGTTTCCAGTTATCTAGACTGAAGCAGGAAATCTGTACTCCAGCTGCTTTACTACAGTTAAGTGGTGACTTGTGGTCTGCCAGAAGCCAGATGCTCACCATCAGCTTTGCAGGTGACTGTTGGGATTGCTGTGCCTTTACAGTACAGTACAGAGCAGGTTCCTGCTGACCAGTGGCAGGAGGCCTCAGAGCTACTCTTATATTTAGGACAAAAGGACCAAGTATGAAAAGTCTTAAGTTTGTTATTATCTCTATATTTTAAGATTCTTTGGGATCTGTTGATCGCTCGTAACATGTACTTCATTTGTGAATAATTCTGTGTTGTAATAATCACTTACAAGTTTGCCACGTTTAAATTCGCTAAACCAAGATCCTGGATTCTCTTTTGGCCATGATGAAATTCTAACCTGTGTGGTAGAACAGTGGAGATGTAAGTATTTAGAAGATGGGTTAACAGATAAGAAGGTTTTAAAATACCTGGAACAAATTTCACATAAGATAGTAAAAAATGGCTCTTCTTTCAGTGTTTTCAGCATCTTTAAAAGCTCTAAAATAGAATGTTTTTCATGCATAGAATGTCTTCAGATTCATTACTTTACATGGAATCTGAGGTGATAGCTTATAAAGAGAGATAATTCTGTTTAATGCACACATGATTCTTATCAGATGACCAGTGTAAATGACTGGTATAAACTGCTACTATGAGGAGTATCTAAATTAAGAGTTTTAATTGGTTTTGATGTTGATATATCTATCTCTTTTTGAAAAACTTTTGAAAGCCATCCTCTACACTACATGCCCCTTAGAGGCTGTTTATACCAATGATAGATATAATCTACTTTGCCTAGATACAAATGAACCCACAGGAGAAACTTAATAAGAGTATAACTTTAGATGTCAAACTCTAGATGATGCATTTAAACCTGCTGCATAGCTATGTTGCATTCCAGAATGCAGTGAAAGTTTTACAAGGATGTGCATAAAAGCACTATCTAAGCAAAAGTAAAAAATGCCGTGTGTTAATTTTGTGCATCATTTTACTGCTTTATTCAGATTTATGTAAATTTAAATATAATCAGAAAGATACACATATGAAAAATGTGACAGTGTAATTATTCTTATAATTACAACATTATTTCAACATTACAGTAGTATAGTGCTATCTGTCAACAGCCAAGTGAAAACACAGATTGGTACTTACTCCTTCAGATTTCTTATCTGGGTAGATGCAAGTTTCCCCGCCTGCTGTGAAATTGCAGTACACTTTGAAGGAGTCTCCAGAACAACCCTGGTTAGGATCAATCCAATATTCCCCTAAAACAAATGAGAAAAGCCTTTGAAAATGTAAATGGTATCTGGAAGATGTAGATTTTTTACCTAATAGTGCTCCAGAATTTGTAGTGAAGTCATTTTATCTTCATGATGAGAAGACAACCCTTTCTTTTCAAAAATATCACAGAATAGTTGAAATTGGAAGGGACTTCTGGGGTTATCTGATCCAACACCACTGCTAAGAGACACGTAAAACACGTTGTCTAGGTCCATGCCCAGACAGCTTTTGAATATCTCTAAGTAGGGATGCTCTGCAATCTCACTGAGCAACTTACTGTGTTGCTCAGTCACCCTCACAGAAGAAGTGCTTCCTGATCCGCTGATGGAACCTCAGCTTCTTGGCTGTACATAAGCCAGCAGTGTGTCCAGCTGACTAAGAAGGCTAACAGTATTCTGGCTTCTATCAAAATAGCACTGCCAACAGAACCAGGGAGAGGTGAGTTTTCCCCTTTATTTGGCACTGGCGAGGCTGCACTTTGAGACTGTATTAAGTTTTGGGCCCCTCATTACAACAGACACTGATGCCCTGGAAAGTATCCAGAGAAGGGCAGTGAAGCTGGGAGGGGTCTGGAGCACAGTCGTATGAGGAGCAGCTGAGGGAACTAAGATTGTTTAGTCTGAAGAAGAGGAGGCTCAGGGGAGACTTTATTTTTCTCTATGACTACCTGAAAGGAGGTTGTATTGAGGTGGTGGCCAGCTTTTTCTCCAAGCTAACTAATGACAGAACAATAGGAAATGCCTGAAGTTGCACCAGGTGAGGTTCAGGTTGGATATTAGAAAGAATTTTTTCACAAAAGGAGTGGTGAAGTATTGGAACAGGCTGTCCAGGGAAGTGATGGAGTCAGTCACTGTCTCTAGAGGTCTTTAAGGAAAGGGTACATATAGTAATTAGGGACATGGTTTTATAGGCAGTAATGGTGGTAGGTGAATGGTTGGACTAGATCTTCTTAGAAGTCTTTTCCAACCTTTATGATTCTATGAACCTCTTGCATTTTGGTTTGTGCCCATTGCCTCTTGTCACTGGCACCACTAAAAAAAGAAGAATCTTTATATGTGTTTACGTATATGCATACATTTATATATGTGTACATTGCCTTGTGATTTGTTGCTTTTGTTGTTTATAAAAAATAACACTGAGATCAAAGTCTATTTTTATCTACATCCTTTTGTTTTCATTTAATTCGATTTAAAACAATGAGTATTGCAGAATACTGCTAAGGGGTAGGAGGAACTGCAGTGGCTTCAGTATGGAGGAGGAAGGTCATAATGTATGAAACATACATTACAGGTCTCAACAATTTAGCTATTACACTATTTCAGCTGAAGGATAATTTATACTTGTGGTAATAGAACTCTCAGTGCAGAGGCAGCTTTAGGTGGAAATAAACTATGGCCTAAGGCAGAGGTACATATTCAGAGTGATTTGCAGACCTATGTAGAAAAGGCCTGACTTTAGTTGTCAAGTACCTAAAGCTTCCATTCAGAGAAATGGAATTCTCAGGCAAAACTGTTTTTTACTACTGGGTTGTGAGGCTGAACACAAGTGAAACTTTGGACTGTTTTACGTGATGAAAACACATTAAATAATGCATATTGAACTCAAATAGCAAGAAAAAGAGCTGAAACTTGCACGAATATAGTTTCAGCAGTCCTACAGGGTTGTGTTTTGGTTTGACTGGGATTGAGGTAATTTTCTTCTTGGCCGCTCATACAGTGCTATATTTTGGATTAACAATGAAGACAGTGCTGTAACACACCAGTATTTTAGTTATTAATGAGCACTGTTTACACAGAGTCATTTTCTGTTTCTCAAGTTGCCTGCCCGTGAGGAGGCTGGGAGTGCACAGCTGACCTAAGCAGACCAAAGGGATATTCCATACCGTATGTTGTCATGCTCATGAAACTGGGAGGGTTGGCAGGAGATCTGCTGCTAGTGATAGGACGTTGGTTGACTGTTAGTGAACAATTGCTCTGTGCACATGTTGTTTTTTATCCTTTGGTTTTCTTTCTCTCGTTAGTGTATTCATCTCTTTTGCCCTTCTGATTCTCTTTCATGCATCCAGCCATATTGAAGGTGGAGAGTGAGCAAGTGGCTGCATAGTGCTTGGCTGCTTTATGACATTATAACACAACATACTGGCAGGGCTGAGAATACAGACTCTACAATGCTGGAGTGAATGAAAACTGGGGATGAAAGAGAGCTGCAGTCAATCCAGGGTCTGCTAAAAATCAGATCCTTTAAAAATCTGCTGGTGTAATTATAATGATTTCTGTGATCTGAGTACTTAACTCTAGCTAATTTCACAGCAAATTACTTTCTTACACTAGTGTTCTAATCCAGTTTTGGGCAAAAAGTGGAGATTTAGATGAAGCATGGCAAATCCTTTCACTGATTTTGTATTTTAATACAGGGCACACTTTGCAAGTTCAGAGCATTTTTGGTATTTTAACATTCTGTTGATTTGGGCTGTGTTTACTGAAAACAGTTTTTCCTAACTGAAACTCTTGCCTCTGCAGAATTTTACATTTTAATGAATGTGTTTACTTTTATTTTAACCGGAATAAAGTTACTTTGATATGAAAAAAACTCCAAACAATAATCAAATACTGTTAAATGAAGAAGACAAATGTGGTCTATAAAAAGCATTCATTATTATGGAGGTATTGAATTGTAAAATGTGTACTTTTCATATAGCACATACTCTGCTAAACTATTTCTTATGGCAACCATCTGCATTTATCTATCTAGACTGATAGCAATAGAGTATTATTAAACTGTCAAAATCTGTTTTTTCTTCCATTTAAATACGAAAAATATTGCTTTGAACTGGGAGAAAAAGTACCTATTGCAATAGAAAAGAAGTATGAAACCTAAAAAGTGTGCAACGGTTGGCTTTCACTTAAACTTTTCCACAGGATTAAAATCAGTTATAAAAAAAGAAAGCAACAGAATAATTAAATGATTAAATAATTAAATTAAAATAGTCATTCAGAATAAGGCCACTAATTCGTGCTACTCTGCATTTTGTGAAGCTAGTGCTTAGTAGCATTAAATGCTATCAGAGAAACTTGCATATCCGTTTGCTGAATGATACAGAACAAACAGTGGTCACTTGGAAAGCCAAATTATTGTATCTAAGGATAAAAGAAATAATTTTTGAGAGACTTACTTCTTGTATTATACTAAGCTGAAGTATATAGTTACTAAATAATTTTCATTTCATTTAAAAGCTCTAAACTATCCCAGCACGCTGACGTTTGTGATTTTACTTCCACTGTTCTAAATAGCTTCAATCTTTCATCTCTTTCCTGTTTGGATAGTTCTGGAAACACTAAGACCACATTTCTAAACAAGCGCTGTTTTTAGCAACTTGAAAGTTTTATTTCTAAAACTAGATCCAGTTACTTATTAAAGAATTATGGCTTTTTACCAACAGAATATCTCTTCACTCATGCTTTATAAACGGAACACTTTTATACCTGCAAAAATTGATTTAATGACACTGTTTATTTAGCCACTATGTTAACTATCTACCAATAATTAATGATACTACCCAAGTTTCTTATCAGATCATCACTTCAGCCTTGTTCGCCTTTGTCATGCAATATTAACATACCATCTGGGAAGTCTGGGTGGCAGAGCTGCAAGTCTTTGCAAGTTCGGGCTGGGTTGCTCTGAGTGCCCATTGGATACTTCATATGCTCAATGTCTTGCTTCAGTGAATTCAGTGAACCGAAGATCTCCTCCATGCCATCAGAATAATCCAGAATATTATCACCAGCATCAGATACCATGTAATCTGGAGATCTTCTAGTCTTTTTGGGTGACTGGATTGGCAGTGGCTGAATTACTTCACCTGGAGGACCCTGAATGGAAAAAATATTATCTTTTCTGTTGATTATCCAGCTGCATAAATATGGACAGGAAGACGACAAAACATTGCAAGGAGATGCTTTGGATAGGCTTTTTTTCAATTTATTTATTTAACTTATTTCCTTCTGATTTCCTTACACACACACACACACACAGAAAAACAAACAAACAAACAAAAAAAAACACAAAAAACCCCCAGATTCTAGAACATTAAAGATTGTTTTGCTCTAAATTCTTCTCTAAACATTGCTGTCTGGGGAAGAGTATGTTACCCTCACATAAGTGTGTAGAACTTACTTGTGATTTCCTTAATATCTCCTGCAATTCCCTGAAGCAGAGGCATAGCCTGCAGCAAATAAAAACTGTGGGTGTTTCCAATGATAAAACTTTAAAATTACACTTAGGGTTTATAAACCAATATTTTATTTCAAAATTTGACATATTTCATTCAGATTTTCACTGTTTTCACTCTAGATTATTATGCTATGATAAAGAAATAATAGAAACAGAAAAGAATTAACAGTGGGAAATGAAAGTCATTGCATTTTCTGTGCACAGATCTACAATCTGTGTAAATAATCATTAGAAATTTGTTCTTTTTTAAAATGTCTAGCGGATTTTTTTTAGAGCAAACAATGTATTTCTTCCTCTGGTAGATTTGTGTTTCCTGACAAATTAATTTTCAAATAATCATCGCTATTTTCCTTCTGTGTAAGTTCACAAGTGCCATTTTCTACCTGCACCAAAACAGGGTCATCGTAACAGCAGAATATGCTTGCATATCAAGAAAGAATTCCTACTTACTGGAGGACCAGGTGGGCCAGGTAGACCACTATCACCCTTTTGACCAGCAGGACCCTGTCAAGCAATGAGAGTAATGTGTTATTGACCATACTACTTAATATTAAAAAATAATGTATATACAGAAATGAAGCACAAAACCAGAAAATATGGATAATTACTCACACTGGATCCTTTGGAGCCTTTTGGACCTTGGGGACCCTATGGACAAGAATATAAGCATATAGTTGGAATATATTCTGCAAAACACAGGAGTGTTTTGAATGGGAGAACTGGATGAAATTACTTACAGGTAAACCAGGAGGACCAGGGGGTCCAAGTGGACCAGCAGGACCAGAAATTCCCTAAGAAAGAATAAGGACAGAATTAAAGTATTTTTTGTATTGGTCTGAGTTAAGAAATGCAGATCTATTGAGAAAGGTAGTTCTACTAAGTGTCCAGCTCTAATTAGTTTCCCTTTAGGTCATTTGCTAGGGTCCAAAATAATTTTTCAATTTAAACTAATAATCTGACAGTTTTATTGTCATGCTCCAGCATTTATAGTTACGACACTGCTCTCCGTTAGATAAATGTTAAAGCTTCATATTTTACAGAGAGCTTTAAAACATAGTTTAATAACCAGGAAAAGAGAGTCTGCTTTGGGTAGTATGTAACAAGACTGGTTCTGTTAGCTATCTGATACCTAACAGGTATACTGTTTCCTTCATACGGGTCTGTCATCAGCAGCCTGTGCTTTAAACTCCAGCTGGAGATTCAAGCTGGGTATAAATGTTTGTAATAACTTTATGTGTCTCCTGCAAGAAAGACATACATGAAACTTGAATCAAAGCAAAAGAAAGTTTTACTTACTGCATCACCTTTGGCTCCGGGAGACCCCTGTGGGCCAGGAAGACCCCTATCACCCTTTTCACCTTGTTCTCCTGGAGGTCCAATCAGGCCAATCAAACCAGGATGTCCCTAAACAAGATAGAAGAAGGTAGAGTAAAAACTTGATACTTATGAAGCTGATGTGCTTTGTAAACACAGAGCTTTCAAATATCGTCAATTGTTTATTATCAGTTCATTTGATATACTATTTTGTAAGTATATTCACTTTCAATAGTTGGCCTTTGGATTTGGAGATTATTATCAAGCTGTGTATAATTCAGTGAAAGATTTAAATGCAACACAGTCCTTTCTGAAATGCAAAAATAACAATAAAAGTGGGTACAGATTTCGTACTAATTTCCACGCTTATATGCTAATAAGAATATTATTTGTGGAAACAGATGTGTTATTCTTATTACAGCTATATAAACAGCTGATCCATATAGATAAGCAAAAATTGTAATTCACAAGATACGTTCATATTTCTTTCTCTATACATTTCTTTCCTGATATCCAAGCAATTAGTACAGGGTTGGGACTGTATTAGAAAATGGTATTCCTATTGTCTCAATCCATTATTTCAGAATAAGGTACTATAACTGTTAAATATTTACACCTTGTTGTTATATAGTGAAATCAATACTTTTTATTCCTGCCTATTGTAAAAGCAAAGGTTCTCTTTACATCAGTGTCCTTAGGGCTTTCATTGCAGAAAAGAGTCGTAACATCAATAGATTACTGCAAAGAGTAATCCTTTCTTTCTACTTATCTCCAGGGTATCAGATGTTACTTAAAGCTTCATCATTATCATTGAGGCTATGGAAAGCTGACTGATGGATTATTTAGGGTGTCTTGCTTACTGATTTAAATTTAAAAAAAAAAAAAAGAAGAAAAAAAAGTGTGTATTTCTCTGCTGTTTTTATACAGACTTGTGTAGCAGGCCAAAATTACAAAGGCACAAACAAGGAACAAAGACATTCTCATATACCTTCTCTCCTTTGGAACCTGGATCTCCTTTCAGTCCAGGCAAGCCAGGTGGACCCTAAATAAATCAAAAGAAGTAATGTAAAAGTAAGTTTTAACATACTGTACAAATCAAGTTTTCCTGAAATATTTTAAAGGTAGTATAACTACAAGGTCACTCAATGGATGATGGTTGTGATTCAGAACCCAAGATAACATTGGCATACATCTTCAGAATGCTGTAATAATGTTATTGTAGCATTTAAATTACTTTAGAAATCTGAAAAGGCTGTAATTATTAGAAATTTATGAAGAAGGAAAAGATCTTCTAAATTCGTAAAAAGTACTGCAAGCATCCAGGAAATTATGTGATAGTCAAATAAATTTTCAATTTATTTTTTTGTTCATTAGCCTAATCTTGATTGTGGCTACATTATATGCTTTATTAGTATTTCCCCATAATTGCTGTACCTATCCAGTTGTGAAACAGTAGTATGTACTTCTGTAGCCCTTTATTTCATAAGAAAATGGAAACAAGTCCTTAATTTTATTCTTCCAGGTTACTACAACTCAGTAAATGAGATTGCTGATAGTAACAGCTTCTCAATATTGCTTTGTTGAAGAACTACCTCATGCTTTGGTTCTGTACTTAAGATATTGTCTTGGGATTACAATTTCCTCGATTTACAACCTGAAATTTCTGCATGACAGTGAATTATGCAGTTAAATTTTCTGAATATTCAAATTCTTTCTACTCAACATTGCAAGCTTAACAACATCAAGTACGATAGCTCCAATGGTACGTACAAAAATACGGTTCACCAATATTTTGGTAAATGTGTTAACATAAAAAAAAAAAAAAAAAAAAAAAAAAAGGCAGCTCCAAAATAATGCCTCCCATTTAATTACACTGGTCTACAATATCAGAGATAGATCCTGGTGGTATGACAGTACAGGTTGAACCTTCCCACCAGTATTTCATTCCTTTTTGTTGCTGTGTGACAAATAGCAGCAGAGGGGCAGTCTGACAAAATGGCATCTGACCTAGGAGTGTGTATGAAGCAAAGGTGTGTCCTTTGCTCCATAAGGAAAAAATTGCACTCACTGACATGCATCAACATTTGTTTGTGGACATCAGAGTGGATGGTAGCACAGTAAGGTGATAGGTGATGCATTTCAGCAGAGGTGAAAGTGATATGAAAGGCAAGCCATGTTCCAGATGGCCATGCACAGCCATCACACCACAAAATGAGGAATATCTCCATCAGCTCATCCATATAAACTGGATAATGGTGGTGGCTAGCAAAAAAACGAAAACAAACAACAAAAAAACCCAGTGTTTTGTAGCTGAGAATTTATCCATAGTGTTCTTATTCTCTTTATATCTGTTGTAGTTTTCATGGAAATGAATATAAGGCATTACTTTTAGAGGGGCCCATATACTCAGGTTTTGCAGTACTAGTGTAGCTATTCTGAACGCCGTTAGAATCTCCTGTACTCTCTCTGGGCCTCTGTTCCTCATCTGTTGTATTGGAAAAATACTCCTACCTTACAGAGATTTCAAAGTGATATCTTCTTATACTTTTTATAAGTATATTAATACAAACTTTTCATAAATAGTACATATGAAGCTTGATAAAATCTCCTTGTGTTTATTTTTTCTTCTCCAAGTTAGTTTTACTTTTATTTCAATCCTGATTTAAAATTTTAGAGAAATTTTGGAAGATTTGAGGGATCTTCTGAGGTTTGTATGAATAGTATTGCTAGTTTTCTATAATTTGCACAAAATAAAGTGAAAAATTCAGGCTTTGTATATGCAAGCATAAAAAAGGAATCCATTTCTCAGAGGCTATTAATCTCACAGTAACATGAATGCATTAGGAGCAGAGCTGCTGAAGTAAGCTGGTAGCTCATTGCTATTAGTCTCTTGCTTGCAGTAGATATCTGTGAAGTTATGATACAAATAGCAGTAATAAGCGACCTTTTCAACCTGGCACAGTTTCAAGAAGTGCCATAACATTCAATGTAAAAAATATTATTCAGTGTGTATTCTTTGCATCTGTACTTGAGAATATCATTAGATGCACAAGCCTAAGCAAATACATAATTCATGAATAAAAGTTGAAATTTTAAAGCTTCTGGAATACAGAATCAGACATTCTCACCTGCAGTGTGTTACTCTCTACTTCAAATCTGCTCTCGTACTGTTCTTCTGTTAGTAAAATTAGTGGGAGAGAGGGAAGGATGGAGGCCTAACCTCAATAACATATAGAAAGAAATTCTACTTTCTTAAAATCCAGAATGAATTTTAAGTTACAGCAATGCATCTAAATAAATTCTTGTTGAGCTGAAAGAAAGCCAGGGCATTTGGGAGTATTTTAATCATTCATACACTCAGCTTCAGATTTGAATTGAATAGCTAAGTTGTCAAATGTTGGAAGAGAAACCTTGATGCATTTGGAACTTCTGGTGACTGACATGAGAAATGGTGGTTTACTACTGATGAATTCAGTACATTATTATTATTATTATTATTATTATTATTATTATTATTATTATTAATTTCAGCAAGGAATTGTAACCAAGGAGATTTCAGTCCCATTATTTATGTGCCTCATGCCGTTCATTTGTAAGTCAGGCAAATTATTTAAGCTATTCCTTTATTGAAAGCATAAACTCTTTAGGGAGGGTATTTATTATGGATTTAGCACAGGGCAGTCTTTTCAGTTTTTCACTCTTTAATTAACATGATGGCCATATAGTTTGGATATTAATTTCTGCACAACATATTGAATATGAACATCAACATTTTGTGCCCACAGTGTTGGTTTTTTTAGCTTTATAGAAAAGTTCACTAAAATAGCAAGTGTAGATAGAAATAATGATATAATTTGGTAGTATGTTATGTTACCTAAGAAAAGTAATCTGCTCTAATCACATTAGAAACACATAGCAAAATTTGATTGCTTTGCATCAAGCTAACAGAAATGTATTTTGTCCCAATTTTACAGCAGTTAGGGTAAGGGTAAAGCTAATTTAGAAAGCTGTACATTTACTGTAACTTGTAACTTGCCTTACACTGCAACCAGACCACTAAGAGTACCTCAATACATGCTTTAGTACTAACAGGTTGCTATCAAATTTATAAATCAGAAATGATATAGACTCAATTCTAGCTGAAATGATGAAAAACATCCTCATGGAAGGTGAATTTGGTTTTATACAATAGTATGGCTAAAATAAGTTTCATTATTATACTCATGGGAGCACCCAATGTTGCTCTGATAACTATTTTATCTAATGTCTTCCTGTTTGATTTGTACTGCTCATGTATTAGCAATGATAAATATTTTATCACAGCTGCAGCACTCATTGCCTACTGCAATGTTATAAAATAATGTTAATGTAAAGAGCAATAATATAACTTGAAACCATGAAGAAAAGGAGAATGGCAAGCTGAATGGCATTATATAATTCATTGGCATTGTTGGCAACCAAAGCTGATATTGTGGCACTGCTATTTTGTGCTTCACAGAAACATGATATCCAGCTCTAACTGATGCCCTAGAAACTGGGAGCTTGTTTCACTCAGATCCTTTTAAATACTTCACTCATGTATTATATTTCCTGGGTCTGCAACAGTGAACAATGGACAGGTCACTGTTCTTGATTTTTACAAAACTAGCGTGTTTTTTTCTGATGTAGAAGTCTCTTTTTGGGCTTCTAACTTATTTATTTTTTCTCTAATGTATACGTATTATCTAATATTTTACCCCAGGAATAATGTTTTCACAGGCGGTCACTAAAATCAATGCATGCCAAAAAATTACCACTGGAAACAAAAAGATTTAACGTGTTAAGATTTGCTGATGTGGGGGCAGAAGTTTTACACTACCTTATTCTTTTCAGCTGGTATAAATCAGCTGCATTCAACACAGTTGCCTACTAAAGTAGAGCAGTAGAATGAAGCAAGTATCAATTTCTGACAGGGTAGAAAAATAGGAACTTTGTGCTAGGAACTGGCTTACACATTCGTTTTTCTGTAATACGCACAGACATGTTAATGGTGTGTTTTAAAGGGTGCTTTTTCTGTTTTGGCACTGAAGAGAAGCATACTCACCAGAGGCCCAGGAGGACCATCCTGACCTGGTGCTCCAGGTAGACCTTGTTCTCCCTAGAGAAAATATAAAATTAGCTTTACTGGAGAATATACAACAAATGCAACATTTAAAATATTTTATGCTCAGTTTACTCACCACAGGGCCAGGAATGCCCCGGAGACCTTCAGGGCCAGGTTTTCCTGCTGGTCCCTGAGGACCAACTGGACCCGTCTTTCCAGGAGCTCCTTCTGCACCAGGTTCACCCTAGAAAGAAAGAAGAATAGTCAAAAGAGAATAGTTGACTAAGCCTGGCATGGCAGCTGTAAAGTGAAAGTTTCTTTGCTCCGTTTTTCAAAAGTTATTCCAAAACAGTGTTCTAGAATGTTTTACTAAATGAAACAATGACAGCTTCATATAAGCCACAGGGTGCCAGCAAAGCATGCTTATCCTCATTTTTCACAGGGGTGAGTTAAGTTGGGCCTGCTCTAGTGAGAGTCCACTACATAGTCTGTTATGTAGTCTGTTACTGCTATTAATTTTGGATCTTAATTTGGATTTTACCATTTAGCTGTTGCTATTTTGATAAGTTTCACACACTCAGTGACTAATAAGCAACTTACTTTTAATTTATAAATAGTTTATTTTTTCATGTCTCTTAAAATATAATTGCATATATTACCTTTGCACCTTTTTCACCTTGTCTGCCTTCAGCTCCAGTTGCTCCAGGAGGTCCCTGTGAAAGAGGAACACCAAGCTCATAATCTCAGTTCTCTAAAATATTTCCACAGTGGAAAAAAAAATCTGAAAGTGTCATTATAAGCATTATTAAGTAATAACTACTTTAAAAATTACATTTGTTTCTTTACATTTTATTCACAGAATGAAAATTCTGTTCGGTCATATCAGCTCTTTTTTCCTTCATAAAATTTTTGGGGATCTTATAGGATCTAAAAGAACATGCATTACTTAACACCTCTGACAGGATAAAGTTAAAAACAAAGATATCCTTTGGAAAAAATCAAAACAGAAAATGAAAGCAAAATATTTATTTACATTTACAGTAAGAGTTTTAGACTCCCTTCTCATTGTAATATTTCTATTCATTGATTCCAAAGATCTGTCATTATACAATGCCAAGAATGGCACATACTTTATTCTCTAAGTGAGGCATTGGCCTTTTAATTAAAAATCAGTACGTGCCTCAATATTATCCAATAAATATGAAAGAGGAAAAAAAAAAAATCAGATGACTAATGGCCATTAGGATGAAATAAAGATGTTAACTACAAAGAACTCTTGGTAGTGGGTTTCCTGATATTGCTCAACAAAAGCTCTGTTTAACTAAGAAGGGAGAACATGGTACTGAAGGATGATACAGAAATGGAATAAGGTTCAGATGAAGGCCTCTTATGGGGCTTGCAATAGTCCAGCATCACTCTGGGCTTGCAATAGTCCAGCATCACTCTGACTACCTGTTGCTGACATCACCCATCCTTCATGTCTTAAGGTTTCAATATACTGGGAAAGCTACTTCTTGCCAACTAATGAGCAGCTTAAAGCAAAAGGAAAGTTATCAGATATGAGGTGATTTTCTGAATCTATAAACTAACAACCTAAAAGTCATCTATTCATTAATTTAACAGTTTGTAATACAGAAAAAAAATGTCCTAAGAAATAGCAATTAAAAAAAAAAGCCAGTAATTGTCATTGACTTCTTTTTACTTTATAACAATAGGTGAAAAAAATACAGTAAAATAAATCACAAAACATTCTTAATTTTACGGTATCCTTTGTGAACTAAAATATCACTTTGATTTTACAGCAACTTTTTTTTATATGACAGCTGAATGTACTCCATACTTTTTACAGCCTGATATATTTAATAGTCCACTATTATTGAACATATACCTTGAACACAATTACAACAGATTTAATTCTGGAAAATTTACATTCATTTTACAAGTATTTACATAAAAGTATATTAAAATAATTCATTTGATAATAATACTAAGCTTTCTCTATGGTGGAACTGAACATCTGCAGTATTGTATTAACCTTTTTGGCCAACAGAGGTAGTTCAGGTTTTCCATCAAAGATAATGCAAAATGAACCTGAATTACCCACAGTGGACTCTGGTCATTTGATGTGGCTCTCAACAGAGTGTTCTCCTTGGTACTTATAAAGAGTACAAGTATTAAAGGACTTAATTTTACCTCTTTGGAATACAGGGAAGTTAAAAATACCTGAAAATTGTGAACCACTTGCTGATTCTTTTTGACAGGAGAACAATTTACATGAATAGTGTACCAATAATAATCTCTGATGCATATACTCCTTTGCACAGCTTGTAACTGAGTGGATCACAATTTGCAGTGATAAGAAGAAAAATTATTGGCAGCTACATAAATAAACACAGGAATGTTTTAGAAATAGGATGGTTTTTTTTATACATGAATTAATTTATGTGTTCATGCTCTTTACTGCTCTCCTTTCATTCAGTTTGGTGTGTCAGTTACAATCTACCTTAGCTAAGAAACTAAATATTTTTGTGTGGTAGTTTGTATTTGAGAAATATGATCTCTTAATAATCCACAAATGCAGCTGCATTTGAAGTAGCAGATCTAAAAATCCTGTGATCACTAAATTAAAAATACAGTGAATCAAGATTGCTAAACAAAGAGGGTACATTCATTACTAAGCTGCCATGGTAACTGTTAAGATTGCTACACTACAATTTGGATGTGTTGCCTTATGCAGAACTGAAAAGACAAAAGAACTCATGCAGAATGAAATACGTCCTCAATTTTTCTTACATTAAACTGTTGGATATTTTGTTTGTTCTTCCATATTTAAGATTTTCATTAAAATATTTTAATCTGTTGTCTATATCTACTGGCCATCTGACTAAAACCATGATTTCCAATACAGTAAACCATGGAATATTATAACCAAAATGGAATAAAATCTTCATAGTAATACTCTTTTTTCTTTTTTTTTTCCCAAATCATTCAACATTGTATATAAAAGGAATTAACCAAATAACACTCTGCTTTTCAAATTGTAGAAGTTGGCTATGTTGTGGAGAATTGAAACCTGTTCTTATATTGAAAGCAGGCACTATATACTCTAGAACAAAAAAGTATCTGAGACTTGTTTAAATTCTAACATTTTTAGCATAATATATAGACCCTTAAATGTATGTGATCTAGACACCTAATTGACTTTAATACAAGCAGCAGAAAACACAGCTGAATGACCTAACACACTGAAGGGCTATGTTTATTTGCACCATAGCTAATTCAATGTATACAGCCTTATCAGCAAGTATTTTTTTTTTTTTTTTATTTGGTACAGCAGTGATCATTTCAGAAGTCATAAACTTTAAAATATTACGAGTTAGTTAAAATTCAGTAATATCTGTAATCACTAATGGACTTTATCAATGACTGTCATAGGGTTTGCTGCTTCTAGATTATGTTTTTGGAATTTGTATATATGTACTTGAACTAGGTCTTCATCTGAATATGGAACTTTGTTCTGAAGATACACTGATCTGTCCCTTATAAAACTGAAAGCATTTTTGGTAATAGAATTTTCTGAAAAGCAGTCGTAGAAATATTTTTTAGGAGGAGCCATTGATAGGTCTGAAAAAGTAATGTATTCATTACAGTACACATTTGTGGATGCTCTAATGATCCATTTTTGTGTCAGCCACAGACTTTAAACTTTTCTTTTGATTAAGACCTAACCTGAGTGCTCAGTAGCATGCTAGGGAATTTTATCTCTTCAGAGGTAAACATGAAGGAACATGCTCTCTGACATGTAGCTCCAAAATTTTATTAAAAGAATTCACCACGCTGCTTGTCCATTAGACCCTTGCACAATTTCAGAGCAAAGCTCCTGCTGTTATGTCAAAGCCTTTAGAGCATCACAGTAAAACAGTTATTTGCTTATTCACATCAGTAACTTGGAAGAAATAGTTTCTTATTGGCCTTCACTTGATAGTTCAATGTCACTGTAACTATATAGCTGAGAGTCTCATAGATACATGGGGAAAAGCTTTTAAGTCCTGTGCTAGAAGTTAATTCTGAGAGAAAGCTAGGGGAACCTCTTTGGAACCTGCAATATTAGATGCAGACTGCTCATAACTTTGGAAACTGGCAATAAGCATAATTTTCAAAGATTGGCCAGTGAAACTGAGTTCAAATCTGATCCAAAATACATGGGAAGATGGGAATGAAAATGAATGGCAATAAATAAGGAGATCATACAGTTGAGGCACTCGAAGAGCTACACTTACAAGTTTGAATCCTGATCTCTGTCAGCTTGTCATTTTGGAGACAGAAAAACAAAGATACAAAAAAAAATAGGTGGCATGTTGCTTTGCAGTAATATTTCCAGAACTGCACCTTCAATAATATCAATCTTACTACTGAAATGGTGCATCTGGATGAAATGACGCTTCCTGGGGCTTTTTGTTGAAACTGGTTTTACCATGCAACTGATGAAAGCTAACAAAGCACATTTTTTTCCATTCTTTCTGTCAGCAAAGTAACAAGCCTGAAGACCTTTGCTGTATTTCTCTAGTAGAACTTCAATACAATACAGAATCCCTACAAGACCAAATTATTCAGGTACTCAGGTCATATAGAATCTGACTCTATAAACTATTTGCTTCAGTATTCAGGAATTAGATATTTTATGAAAATATTTTTTTCTTCACACTATTCATAAAGTAGATTTGTATTAAAATGTGTGACATTATATTTGAATTTTTAATTTTTATCTAGCTACAGATAGTAATATATACTACTTATTAGGAATGAGATACTGCCTTTCCATATAATGAAATAGGAAGTTCTAATCTGATGTAGAACAAACATACTAATTGAAATATGGATTGACTGAATATTAGCAGTTCTAGTGATAAGGTTGTAATGCTACCATAATTTCTTTATAGTATTATAAATGTTTTGTGAGTTTGTAGAGCAAACAGGTTACTGTGTAAAATAGATAAAACCAATGAGGCATGTCAGTTCACTTAAGCCCATTACACTGAGCAATCTAACACATTTTGTTAAATATCTCTCAGCTTAAATTCAATGATGCTCCCATCTTTTATTTTAAAGCATAAAAACAGCATCCAAGCAGTCTCTGAAACAGACCTAAAGGATGGTGCATCTACCTACTATAATTCTGTAAGTATATTATCTACTATTTTTGATTATCTGTATTTGTAAAACCTGTAAAGCTTCAAAAATTTCAGAAATAATGAAATCTCTTCATAAGCTACGGAAATGTCTCACTGTTGATGTTATAAGTCAAAGGGATGAGAACGATTTTCACTAAGTTTCATTTAAATTATTTCATAGGCTAAAGATACAAAAGCAGTCACTTCCTTTCTTATCCCTGCCAGCAGTCATGTACCCATGGATGATGTGTTATTACTCTCATTGTCACTCACTCCGATTAGTAGGCTAGCAAAAATTCCAGGTTTTTTTTACCCTATCACATACTGAATTCACTTGAGAGAGAAAAGAAGACAAATCATAACTACCGACATTGAATATATTCATTCCTATATATTTTTGTTCTTGAGGCTGATCATAGAAATTCTTCTGAGCTCTTATAAGGAGCTACTGTGAGAGGACTGGCTTTAACTCTACTGAAATAAATGAGAAAAAATAACCAGAATGGCCAGTAATCCATTGAATGGGCTGAGTGTGGACGTGGACTCTTCTGCTGTTTTCCAAGTTCAGGCTGCCTGCAGTTGCTAGTTCGAAACTAATGAACACAAGATTTGTCCATTGTCAGTACTTCACTGGTAACTGTACTCTCAACTCTAAAATCTCCAGGTCTGCAGTTGACTTTTTGATCTCAAGCTGTATACATACGACTACACCAAACATACGCTTAGAGTTATTTTCCTCATGATTTGTATTCCAGGACACGCTATATATTTTAACAAATCTATTTTTAACTGAAAGTCCTTTACAGGACTCATGTTAAAGAGTTTTCTCTGCTGTTTGCATTTTTTTATTTCTCACGTTATTAAAAGAAAACTTCATATATGAAGCATCACAAGATGGAAAACAGCTGAAATACTCTAAAATATAATATCTTCGAAAGAGAGATGTACTAGAGGCAATGAGAAATGACTTACTCTCTTTCCAGGTGGACCAGGTGGGCCAGCTTCTCCTGAAGGACCAGGTGGACCCTGCAGTGGAAAGCAATAGGCTCAGAGGTAACAATATATAAAATCATTTTCTTTCTTAAATGCAGTGAATATCTACAACATCTCTTTTAATGGACAGAAAATAATTATCATACGGAAGTGATACTTGCTTAATCAGCAAGTCCTTTCTTAGAGTCATCTTCTGCAGTTTTCAACAGATTTTGTACAAAATGCAACTACTCTTTTTTTCTTGCTTAAAACAGAACATTTCATCTCTGCAAGTGTCTGCACAAAGGTAATGTACAGTCTACTGACCAACTCGATTAAGAGTATTTCTTGCTTTCTCAGGTGCTGAAATTGTTACTTTTCCTGTATTTTTTACTAGCTTCTGTAAGTTAGCTTCCCAGTAAGTCACCTTCTATTGAAAATATTCTGCACTGACAGCCATTTGTCTCCCCCACATAGGTATGCTGTGATACCCTTTGAAATATTTCAGGTCTACTGAACAGTTTGATAAGTTTTTCTTCGTGAGCATAAAATTCTAAAAGTACTTACTGTGAAGTTAGATACACAGATGCTCATCCTGAACTTTTCAATTTAAACTCTGGTTTATTACTTAGTTCTAACCATATGTTGAATTACTAGCATTTTTCTTTCACATTGTACTGTATAAAATATTTTCCTGATAGTCAGAAATTCCAGGGCTGTAAACAGAGTTTCCAAAAAGGAAGACCTAGCTTTTTGCAGTAAAAAATTAAATTCACGATGCTTCAATGTAAGAATCTCCAGAATGCTAAGAGCACTGATTAATATTGCTTATGTAACTCTTAGACTTCACATGAAATACAGTGGAAACTCCAAGATTAAGATTCACTTCATAATGTGAGCTAATGAAGACAATTTGTCTTCAGCATTACTTTTTGTATACTAAGAGCTGCTCTCATTTTTATGCATCTCAGCATTAAAACAAACTATTTCTCCTTCTTTTGGTTGTATCTATTATATAGGTAAGTCTAATTCTACAAGGAAATAAAGAGATTTTTCAGTACAATATAAAAAGAATCTGTTGAGAAAACATCTGTTAGAGTATGAATCTATAGAAAACACTGATTCAGCTAAAAGCACTTTCTCAGCACAGGAGAAAATGTAGCCAAAAGAAAATGACAGAAACAACTCACAGGTTGACCAGGATCACCATCTTCGCCCTTCTCTCCACCAACACCATCTTGACCCTACAGAAATCATGTGAAAATAAACAAAAGATACAAATTCAGAAAAATTCAGTAACCTTGTTTCAAAGATGAATACAAGAACACTAGTTTTCTGAAGAGAATTTTCCTACAGACAACCATTTTCAAAACTTTTTAAAGATTTCTAATTTTTTTTTTTTCTTTTTTTTTTTTTTTTTTTTAAGGATTGAAGAAATATATGAATAGCCGAAGCAATAAATCTAACAGGAAAGACCTCCTTTCCAAACCAAGAAGAGATGGCAGTAACTGCAAGTGAATGCAGACCAAATCCAGGACCTAAAACTGCTTTTCAAATACACTTACAGCTGGACCGGGCTCTCCAGGGGGACCAGGATCTCCAGGAAAACCAACCGGACCCTAGGTAAATCAGGAAAAAAACAAGGAAGATGTCATGCACAGAGAAGCAGGTAACAGTCATCAGAAATATTTTGTTAAGAATATGATAAATTTAGTTCCAGTGTACAGTTTAATCTGTAGTTCTATATGTAGCACAGTTTCAGCAATGTTATGCTGTGCTTTCTGTTAAAATTATTAAGATTACTTACTGGGTTACCCTTAGGCCCATCATCACCTGGAGGTCCTTTAGCACCTGGTGGTCCAGCTGCTCCAGGTGGACCAGCCTCACCTTTTTCTCCCCTTTCACCTTTTGGACCCTGTAGGAAACACATGAACAAAAAAATATTGTCTGAGAATTGAATGGCTAAAGAAAGATTACAGTGGCAAAACTGTTTTTCAGATCTGGGCAATGTTATTCCTCATTAAATGTTGGTATGTGAATGGGATATTAGGCCCTCAGCCTCAGATTGGAAAACCTCTTAATCTCAAGTCTGAGTGCAAACATCTGCAACCAGATGTGAGTCTGAACCTATTTTGCATCAATGAATTGCTTCCATAGAGAAAAAATATGCATATCAAAGCTAGTACTCTTTTAAGGAAGTCTTCACAACTTTGTCACATCTTACTATAAGATGTGGCTATAGTTTAAGGAAACAAATTGCATTTCAATATTGTAAGAAAGGTCTTCACTGAAAATTTAAACACAAAAACACAAGTAATCTCATTAAATGTTTCTTAAAGTAAGCACTACCTTATGTTTTTGTTTACTGTGATACAGGTTAATAAGACAAAATCAAAAGACTCACAGATGTTCCAGATTCTCCAGGAGGTCCAGGGTTACCAGCTTCTCCAGGTTCACCCTATACATGTGTGAGGATAAACTGATGAGTTATTAGGTAGACATTAGATATTTGTATGAATTTGCTTCTGTTATTACATATTTTTTTTTGCATGCTTATTCATGATAACAGCTTACAGGAGTTGTCTCTTATTGACTCTACCTAAAGGCAATTGGGACACGTGTTTCTGCAGAAGTGGAATCTGAAATTTTAGAAACAATTTTTCAAACTAAGCTTCTGATGAGAAGGGAGACTGACTTTCCCTTCAGGCTTTGGAAGATATTCCCCTTTATTATCCCATATATTGCAAATTTCCTGTTTGTCTTTTTCCTTTCTAGGCACAGAAAAGTCAAAGAAGTACGCATGTGTGTATATATATATATATATATTTCTCTATCACATGTATTTTTGGCTGGAGGCAAATCCCTACAAATATGATAATACTGATTTGAAATTAATTTTAATAAAGCAGAAACATTATTGCTAGAGCTACTGTTAAAATAATTATAAAAAGAAAAACATAAAATAATAACATAATAGCATAAAGTTAGTAAAACTTTGATCACTGGTCACAAAGGAATATGTTATGTATTTACTGGTGATGGAAATTATGTAATATATCAGATGGCTTTGAGAAGAACACAATACAAAGAAAATCTATACAAAATCTATTTATATCTCTATAGAAATACATGAATATATATATATAAATCTCTTCTATAAATATATATATAAAGATGATATTCAAGGTAGTAGAGATACTCTATCTAGCAGAGTCTGCAGTGTAGACCAAATTCAGTACAGCCCTTCAGTAGAGGGTGTTCATTGTAGGACTAATTGAGAGACTTAAGAGCACTAATTGTGTCAGGTCTTGCCTGACAAGCATCCCTGCCAGTATGAATCCCTTTTACGCTTCTCAGAGAGTAAGTTCATTTCTGCCTTCCTGACAAAAGATTTTTAAATTTATGATTCACATTTGATTTGAAAGCAACTCTTTTACCTTTGACAAACTCATCTTCATTTTATGATATCTTGCAATGAGAGAGAATATGGGCTTTTTCTGACTTACTGACCTACACAGTCAGTCAACACCTGTGGAGAACACAGTGTTCCTAGGATCTCAAGGATCCCTGCTATAGCACACATGTTGAAATTGGCAGATGGAGGCAGCCCACATGAATTCACTGCACAGTAAAACCACAATAAACAGCAATGTGGAAGAAAGCAAATGTAGAAGGGCAAGGAAATGTCAAGATGCTCCTCAAAGGACACATGTGGAAGAAGCACTTGTGTAAGATGAGATCAGTTACAGTTTAATCTGACATTAATCCTTTAAAATCATATACTGCTTTATAATACAGATATGACTCTTCCCACATGCAGTCCTTGCTTTTTTCACATACTGTTTTTTATGTTACAACTTTTAAGTATTATAAAAGATTGCAACTGTTACAGACAGCTGGCAAGGGAATTAAACAATGTTTTGATAGACAAGATTGTAGCTGATATATTTATAGAATATATATTTATGATTATCAAAAACTTTGTCTTTCATTGCCTTTTTGATAAGGGTAGTATTAATTCAGATTCTACTTCATCTCCTCCATAGGAAATATTTCACGTTCGGTTGGGAAATAGATTTTATGATCTAATAGATATATTCCACCTCTGGATTTCTTTTTCATTTCTTTTTGTCATCAGGCCAGATCATTTAAATGTTAGTGCTGTCCTCTGACAGAATTTCAGCAGCAGTGTCTTTAGCAGAAATTCTCAACTACAAAGCATCATGTCATTTCACAGAAAGGTTTAGTTTTAAAAACTCCCTTGTATTATGTGAGCAGAATGATTTATATCAAGTTACGGACAGTAGTTTAAAAAAATTTTATTATAATATCTAGAAAGCTGTCCATTGAAAGCACAGAGACACAGTAGATGGAAAGCTGCCATCTTTAAGTTAATTTCTGGAAAACAGCTATTGATTTTCTAAAAATGAACACCCTTGTATCTGACTGAGTTGTGAAGAAGTTTTGGTTACTCTTTTTTTCTTTTTTGCCACCCTCACAAAATAAATAATAACAAAAAAATAATGATAATAAGAGAAGCGTGGCTTTAGGAGACAATCTTTTGTCACATAGGTATATGCATGTGTGACTGTTCTGTGTATTAGGGATCTGTGGAGAGGTAAATTTAATCAAGAAAGAAATTCTATAGATGTGTTATATTTTTTGGAAGGGCTTACAAGCAAATTGGAGGGTAGGGAAGGAAGGAAGGAAGGAAGGAAAGAGTCAGTAGGTCATGCAAAAATATTAAAACTAAGATGTTGCAAGGATAGACATTCAGGTTACATAAATTGTCACAACCATCTTAATTATCTTAACGACTGAACAGATATGTGTGTATGTACAAATGGAAGTGGGAGAGGTTTGTAAGAAGACAGAGTACCCAACACAGTTATCACAGATTAACTTATACACTAGAAGTCTGAACTTATTTTTATTAGGTTTTGTCAAAGAGAAGCACAGCACTAATGTTACTTTTTCTGTTTTCTCTGTTACAAGCTCTTAATCTACAATTTTTTAGTGAAATTAAGTGGAAAGAAGCAATCAATATGCATACGTATTTTTTTCAAAGAGTAATTTTGTTTTCAACTGACCTACACATCTAAGGCCCAGTTTTGAAAGTTTTGAGCAATTTACTGGAGATTTAGAATATCAGCACGTAAGGCCTTTGATATCAAATGGTCAACATGAGCTGGTATATTTTCTATTTCTCGTTTTTCTAAAGTAAAAGCTGAAAAAAGAAAATAAATCTTAGGGTGAAAGCTGGTTTTAACTGGTTTTGGTTGAGTGTAAGAGTGTAAGTCACAAGACTTCTAGACTATTCTATGGATACAGGCATTTATAATGCAAGGCTACATGCACATTTGTACTGTTTCTGAACATTTAGAATTTTGTATGGACAACAGAGGAACCAACAAGATAGTTAAACATACGTTACACTACATGTGACAAAAATTGTTGGTAATTTTGTCAAATATCAAAATATCTCCTTCTAATTCATCCATTCGAATACAAAAATGAGCAAATATATTTTGCTACTCAACAGTGACACAGAATGCCAAAATATTTTTCCACATTCTACTGTCAACACTGCATAGTGTTATCCACAGCATAGCTCTTTCCTGGAAGGGATGCAGAGGCCAAAGCATACTGACATAATAGGAAAAGCATTGGGAAAAAAAGTATGCGGGAAGAGGAAGAATAGGTATGTTTTGTTTAGAAGCCTGAACAGTCCTATTGTGGGAACACCATGTGATATGAATGACTCATAAAAACAAAATCCTCCTGACAAAACAACTCTTTTATTATTTCTAAATTTGCAGAACTCATTAAATGGAACTCAAATTAAAAAGGAAGGTGTCCTAACTAGGAAGAGTTATCAGTCACATGATAAAATTTAAGAAGGGGGGAAATAATTAGAAGAAATAAAATCTCCAAAATAATGTACTGGGAAGCTTCTCTGTATGAACACAGACAATACAGGAAATAAGCAAGAGGAAATTAAAATGACAAGCAGTGATACACTGTCTGAATTACCATGTTCTCAAATTAAATTTAGTGGTCTGCTTCTGGGGATTCTAAATCACATGGAAGAATAGCAGGGAGGAGAGGAGTAAGGAGTTGTCAAGTCAGTGTCTTTACAGAATGACTGGAATGTAATTAGAATGACTGGAATATAATTTGATTGTGAAACAATAACAATTAAAGATGTGATTGAAACCTACGTCCAAATTCCTACTGACTTTAATAGAACACTATATTACACAAGATTGTTTTTAAAGTAGCAAGTTTCAATCCTGGATGTAATGTTCCCACAATAAACATTTTTTCCCAGTACTGCAGTGGACACTGAATAATTTTTCTTTGGACAGAGCTCTTTTTTTTTTTTTTTTTTTTTTTGCCTGTATTTCACTGATATACAGACTTTTTTTCCATTAGATCAACTTATGTCCCATCTCTACCAGTGCTTGCAATAAAGCACATTTTTGATACTCTTTCCTGAGGGAATAACAAATCCTGCAGCTCTTTAAGTTGTAAAGCACTCTTTAAAGGTAGGCTGGAAGAACAATGTCACAAGCTTGGGAATTAGAGACAACACACTGTTAATAATGCAGACAAGCAGGAGGGCATAATATTTATTCCCTTTCATGCAATTACTAGTAAAAAAGATAGAAGACATAAGAATGCCATTTCTACTGGGCGATAGTCATTTTAATGAAAAAGCTGGACAATTTTAGTGTAGATACAAATAATACAGAATGTTATCGTGTGAAATATCTTTTGTTATCACAGAAGAATGAGAAGTTTCTACAACAAACTGCAGATTTTCATGATTTTTAGTATTAGTCATAAAAAGGATCCTGGAAAAATAATGACAATTACCTTATCTTATGAAAAGAAAGAATACCTTTCTATGAAGCAGAATCACATGCTTCTGGACAGTAATTGAGAAAAGGATCATGAAATGATTTTTATTAACTTGATACTTATGTCATTCTTTCTAAATTCATAGATCTGATAGATTGGTATGTAAAATTACAGTATTGGTACACTGTGTCAAACAGTGTGAAGATAAATGAAAGGTAGCAGAATTTAAGACTTCTGAAGTAAAGAATTTCAGTGATGGTGTACGAGGAAGATGAGAAAGTACCTGTGCATTTAATTATCTGATGGACAGAAAGAAAAGGTAAGACTTGCTTCACATTCTGAAATGTTACCAATACTTGGAAGAAATACCATATTTTTTTTCCAGAATTGACAACTGTCAATATTGGCATTTCCAGGAATGCCATTTCTAGGATTCATTGACATGAATTTTAATGAATGTATACAATATGCTGTGGGAAATATTTAAATGCTCAGGATCAATCTACATAGTTTTCCAACAAATTACCTCTACGGGAGACTGTATATGTTTCCATTTTTTTCCCTCCCCTTATATAGCTTTCAAAATCTGCTTTCCAAATGCCTGACCCAGATTTAAAGAAAAAAAATTATATTTAATCTGTAGCATTACAAAGAAATGCTTTATAGTTTCACCCAGGATGGGGCTGAAATTTGTTGTCTAAATTGTTAAAATAAATATGAAAGTAGTAATTTCAAGAGAATCTCTTTTGAATTTTGTGTTTGCTCTGCATTTTAAAATACTCTGGTGATTCAAATACATAACAAAATAAAACAAAGAAAAAGAATAAAAAAGTTATTTTGCAACTTTCTTAGGTTAAGATACAGATTTTTTTTAAAAAATAAAAACATATCTGCTAGCAAGTTTTCTGAATAAAGAACTAAAAATAGCAATGAAAATAATTTTGACTAACAAGTATCGGTCCTAAGTCAAGTTTTCAACAACGATAAATCATTCGCTGGCCTTTGACTTTATTGGAATTGTATATATTTATATGAGAAATAAATATGTATTGATATTTCAGTTCTGTTTCACATCTGACACATTAGTCTACCATTGATACATTACATAATAGCTTATATTCTTAACATTCCAGATAGAAAGATTTATGGTATTCTAAGGTAAAGCTGTATAAAATGAAATATACTGTTGAATCCAATCATGTTACTGTAAACATCAAACTGTGAAACTGAGGAAATCACTATAGCCTTACTTATTAAGTACTGATAAGGCTTGCTATTCTCCTCGACTCTTTCTCGACTCTTTCATACTTTTGTGATGTAAAATATTAAAGAAAAGAAACAAACAGTAATTCTGCTATTAGAAGTATAACTAGATAGCTTGATCACTATTAGTAATTATTAAGTCAATGAAGGCTATTTGGGAACTGTAATATATCTGTGTAGCACCAAAGAAGAAACAAAATGTATATTCCAGTTTCAATGTTTTCTCTTTTTAGAAATGATATTTTCAATATTCTCACCTTTTCCCCAACACCTCCAACAGAGCCGATTGAGCCTGGGGGACCTTGAGGACCCTGCGATGATACAAGATGATAGTTATTCCAAATACAGTTATCCCAAATTTACTGCTTATTACTGAATTTCAAAAGCAATGTTAAGAGAAAGAAAAGTTCTTACATCAGCTCCATTAGGACCTTGTGGACCTCTTGGACCTGGAGGACCAGGTGGACCCTGTATCAAAGAGACAATTTGGTATATTTAAAAAAAAAGGTAAGATAAATAGTTCTTTGTTGTTGTTTGCCAGTTAGAAACAATATCCTCAACCTTTAGAGGAATTTTAGTCTTCAGAGTTCTACAGCAGGGCTGAATTGCTGTCCAATGCATGAGTTCAGGAGGGATCCAAGCTATATGGTACCTGAGTTGAAAATGACCTGATTAGGACTCATGAAGACTGGTTTCCTGAATTGCATTTTCCCTGCAGTTTACCTATACACACTTTCTTCTGTGCAAGGGCCCCAGAGTAGCTTATCTGTCTGTTAACAGCCATGTGATGGTACTGCACCATGATGACTACAGATGGACAACAATAAAAAAGGCTGGCTATTGTTGGATGCATGTGTGTTAGGTAGACAGCTTGCATCTCATTCAGGACCAACCCAGAAGGCATCACTGCACTTCAACAAATATAGACTCAAGATCACCCAGAGAAACAATGTAAACATAGCAAAATAGTATTAGCCTGCAATTACAATCCCATGGAAAAAGTGCAACTGATCCTTGGTGGTATGGTAACAGTGCCCTGAAGTTGCTATTTTTGAATTGCAGCTCTGAATTCTCCAGTGCAGTAGTCTCTCCTTATTCTTCTTCATTCCTGACTCTTTTTACCTTGTCCTGTCAGACACGCGTAGCTACTTCTAAGTACTTTCTTACATAAATCTTCATCTTAAAGATGAGGAGATGGATTCAGGAATGCAAAATAAATTCCAGAGATAGCTCACAATACACAAAAAAGTTTCATGGTCAGGTAAAGAATTTAGGAGGAGCTTATCAAATGGTGAGTTTCTGAGAAAAGACAGTAATACATGGATAATATTTATTGTGAGAATGACTAGTGGGGAAGAAAACTCACCATTGGGCCCACATCGCCATTTTCACCTTTTTCACCTGGTGGGCCAGGCAAACCCTAAAAATCAAGGAAGAAAAAAAAAAACCAAACAACTGTTAGTAGAGTATCTGCAATAATGAGATATAAATCAATATGAAACAATAGAAATCAGATCCACATGTGAAACTTGGGCAGGGGCAGGTGGAGGGGAGAGAGGGCAAGGAAAGGAACAAAACACCAAAATTTAATTACAATAAATAAATCAATACATAAAAGGAGCTTTTCATGTTACAGCAAATGCATATGTAGTCCTGAACTGTTTAAACAAGGTGAGACAGAAAATAATAATAATAATAATTATTATTTATACACAAATGCTATCTAGGGTGGCTGAATTCAGGAACAATGCCATCATTATCCAAACCCCATGTGTGTGTTTGGACAATATGATTTATGACATATATATGTCAACAAAACATGATTGAGGCAGCACAGTGAAGTGGCATGCAAAAATGTCTAAACTACCTCAGTACTGGAAGCTGTAAAACTGCATTAGCAAGGTGTCCAGTGGAGGTAATGAATCCTGCTGAGAGGCACTGCACTGCTTTAATGCAAACTTTCTTACAAAGAAAGTGTCCAAGTTTGTCTAGTAACAAACATCAAGAGAAGGAAAATGAAGATGATGCTAGTACTGATTTTAGTATAATGTTATCCCACCTAGAAACAATATCACTTCTAAGTTGGCATTTCTAAATGCAGGATAAAATTTTGGCTTCTGTATTGTGCAGATTACCCTGAATCTGGAGTCAGTGACATTACAATATTGATATTACATTAAGATCTGGTTCCAAGTTTCATCTCCAGTGTTCTGCTATTTTTAATGCATCAAATTATTACTACCAGATTGGAAAACGTAATTTATTGTCTTTGCTACAGAACTGTATAAAAATTATGAAGTATCAGTGTATCAACACAATATATATTTGTCAGCTGTCCTCCTACTTTGACACAATCTGAACTGTAGAAAGGCCCATCAAAATTCAGAGGTGTACCTTTTCTAAAATAATGTAAGTTTCAATTATCTAGTATGGTGAAAACTTGGCTGACATATCAGTGAGTATGGTTATTGTAAAAGCCTATTTACTATTAAATAATCAACTATTAAACAACACAGTTGTGTTTTCATATAGTCTTTTTGCTTGTTTTAAAAGTTATAATCTCAGAACCTGATTTTGCTAATGTTAATATAAATATTAAATTTAAAGCACAATTTGTACAGTTTGCAGAGGATGTATTTATGAAACTTCAAAGGTAATTAAACATTTTCTTGATATTTCTGTCTTCAAAAATTCTCAAAAGCCATTTACTGAACACTTATTCTAATGCAGAAAATTTCTTACTGATTTAATGATATGGTATTTCATACATCATTGGACATGGCAGTTCCTTTTGGCAAGAAGTAGTGGTTTGTCATTTTATATTTCAATATTTAAGTAAAATTGCCATAAAATGATCATGAGATCGCTTAAATATGCACATAGATTTTCAAATTTTCTTGATTTTCAGCTTGCTTTGTTAGAAAGCCCTTTATTAAAGAAACATAATCTTAAAAGTAATATTTTATATATTAAGGAAATTCACAGTTAATAAGTATTCAAAATTCACCATTATTAAAATTAAAAACAAAATTATTTTTATGTAATATCCACTTTAAGTACTATTACTACAATCTAATTGAAGTAAGTGCAATATACTTACCATGGAATATTAGATACATGAAAGTGAAAGCTCTTAATCCCAGCAGCTCATTGTTGCTATGAGAACTGCATTCCTGAATAAAACAATCTCCTGATTTCTCAGTGACGCTTTATAAGTAGAGGGTAAAACAGTACATGAATTTACCTGTAAGCCAATAGGGCCTGGAGGGCCTGGGAAACCTCGAGGACCTTCATCACCTTTTTGCCCAAACATTCCTTGCTGACCTCTTGGACCTGGCTCCCCATCACCTCCCTATTTGGAAAGAGCAAGAAACAAAAACATCACAGGTCTGAAAACAGAAGAAGCTCTTGTGTTATCACTGGACAAACAACTGGAAGAGGGCTCAGAATTAGCTCTACATTACAAATGTATATACCAACCTGATGAATGAAATCTGTTAAACAAATGGAACATCAGACTGTGTCCTGGTTTAAAGTAGATCAAACAATACAAGCCTCACATTAATTTTCCCTGAACACCTATTCTCTTTCATAAACTGTCTAAACATTCTAGCTGTTGAATACCTGCATATTAGTAATATATGAGTAGCACACAGTCTGACCAATATTTACTCCTAAAAAATTCATAACTTTTGAAAATAAACCCACAACTTTGTACTAGGTGAATTTTAAAAAGACCATCTCTTTTAACTGCATTTAGTATCAAACTGATTTGAACACTGAGTGATAAAAAAAAAAAAATATCAGACAAGTTGTCTGAAGGGATGGTCTCTGTTCACTGCTTATAATATTTCATTTTTAATAATGAAATTTTAATAAATAATAGCAGTACAGCCTCATTTATAATGAACAACTGAATTTAAGGGCACAATGACACAACTGTTATTAGTGATCTGAAATCTGTTCCTGAATAAGTAGCACAAATTACCACGTAGTTCTAAGAACTCTGAAGCATCAAATGATTTTTAGCAACATTGTGATTTGCTCTGAATAAGCTACTTACAGCTATGCCAGGGGCACCAACAGGACCCTGGAGACCTGGTGGACCTGGAGGACCCTGCAACAAGCATTGAAAAGGAAGAGTGAGTACTCTGGCATCTGGAATGAGATAAACAGCAATTATATTTGCATGATCAAATGCTATTGTTTTTACATTTCTCCATGGAGAATGTAATATTATTCATAAGACTTTTCCATTCATAACAAATAAGGAGTTTGTTCAGCTCTTAAAACTCAGATTTGCATGTCCATAATAAACCTTAAACTGGCATTTATTGAAAGTGCTTACATTTGTAATGGTTTCAGAAAATTTAAAATAACTCCTGTGCAAACATGAAGCAAGATGGAAACTTTTTTTTTTTTAATTAAAAATATCAGACCTTTTAATGAGAATTAAGTAATCACCTAACAATTTACCCTTAAATGAAATACTTGTTGACTAGATTAGTTTTATGAAATTGTAAATATTTTATGGTGACAGCACAAAGTTTATTTTGACATCTAATACCTGCATTGTAAGTTCATTTTGAGCGCTAGGAGCCATATTCTCTTTGATATTATTCCTCTTTTCAGGAGAATGGGAAAAAACGTATCTCAGAGGAACTCCTTAATTTTATCTGTTAGTCTTCCAGAACAATAATTTTGTAGGTAACACTGTCCATATTTTAACATTCTGTTAAACAGATTGATATAATGATGAAATTTAGCCCTGAATCTGGGAATTCAGGACACAAATTTATGATGGTTAAAATGGTATGCTAGGTTGAATCTGGCTTTTTCACAACTAGACAGGTTAGACTTATGAAGAAAAGAGCTCAGAAAGCATTACATTCTGCATGGGTTGAATTCTAGCCTGTCATTTCTGATGACAAATAAGTTTTCTGCAGTTTCTGGCTTGAAAAATCTAATTCAGTGCAAAAGTGTGCTTGAATTTGTTTGAATACCTTGCTAAGGCTACAGTTAAAATATTGCACCCTTTATGGGAAAAGGAACTTAAGTCTTGCAAATTATTTCTTTCTTTGAGTTCTATGTGTATCTTAGAACATCTTATTTTCTAGGTAGCTGGAAATTTTAAACAGTATTTTTCTTCTCTTTTCTAATGACCTTTTTTTCCTTTTACTCTATGGAACAATGGCAAGTATGATGTCAATACGAGAAGCAAAGCTCTTTTGATTCTATTGTGAAAAATCTAAATGAAAGCACTCTTAGGAATGCTCTTGTAGATTGGAAGGATTGCCACGAGAAAGGAAAATAGCATGTATGAATTAAAAAAAAGTATTGGAATGCCCGCATTCTACACATTGCAGGATGCCTCTGCTTTTTCCTTCATTTTACAGGGCCCAGAACAAAACTTACATATTTTTAATCTCATTAAAATGTTCATTTTGATGTTACGTGTTGTTTGAAAGTACTTTGATATTGACTAATTAAAAATTATTTGGTTCATCCAGATTCCCTTTTCTATTGCATTAACAATAAATTTGTGCTATCCCTAATTGAATATGAAAACATACTATATTTTTTGTTAGGTGTAGTACAGTTAAACTTCAAGCTTAAATTTTTGTTAGTTTCAGAAAGGGAACTGAAGATATTTCAAGCTCATCTTAAACAAGAAAAAGGGAGCAATTTTTCCTTGTCAGTGTCCTTGCTGTGATGAGCAAATAACCACTGAGGATTTTATGGGTGTGCAGATACTGTAAAAATCTACCCCTAATGTCCAGTGATTTCAGAACTGCGTACTTACTTTCTCTTCAGAATCTTTCAGAGGTGACTAAAAAGGCCTTTCCTCTGCCCCATATACATCTGTCAGCATGTTGAAAGGAAAGCAGGTTTGAAATAAATTCTGAAATCGTCAGGGTTGAATGAGTGCAACTGAGGGCAAATAGGTTTCAATACATAGGACTCCAAGCAGAGTAAAATGCATGCCTTCAAATGAGCAGACTCTAACAGTGGATAGTGTATTTCATGGAAAACATACATTATTTACTAATGCCTTACACCTTGAGACTGAGAATGTACATGATACATTCTCAAATGATTATACTGCAGACACCTTATTTGTAAAGCAGGTGTGTGAAAATGAGTTCAAATACATTAGTATTCACTATGGAAACAGTGGTCACAGTCTAATGCTCAGTATAACTAGCCAAGCTAAAATGGACTGAAATAAAAACTCCAGCATATATTTTTTCTGATTTCTCTGATGAACATCTTGATGAAGAAGAAAGTCAAAGGTAAGAACAGAAAGATATGCATGTGAGTGCGTGCAGAGTTTAAGTGGAACTTGGCCATGACCTGTTTCATATGCTTCCTCTGCTCTCTCCTTTAAATATTTTTCTATTTATAATATTTTTCTATTAATGCACAGCCTGTAATGTAATGGATCTCTTTAGGGGGACAAAGAGGAGCAGAATACATAACTTTGTACTCCACAGCTGGTTTACCACTGCAAAAATAAATAAACTAAAATTGATTTTCAGTTAACTGAGAAGTCAGTCATTTTGAAAATGATTATTTTAAATGCTTTCATTTGATAAATTAATTTTACCAAGTTAATCAAAACTAAAACAGCTTAGACTGTGCAAGAGTAATTTTAGTTCAGAAGCAGGGTTTTCCAAACAGCTTGGTTAGATGTAGGTTTTATGAATAAATGGGTTTTATAATAGAAGTGCTCTCATTCATATGTATAATATTGCATTCCTTGTGTAAATAGGGCATTGCAAGTAGTTTATTATAGCACTTGTGATATGATCTAATGCAATGGGATTGTGAAAAATACATACTCAGCACTGAAAACTGCAGAAGTCTTTCTTTCTCACATAAATAATTGAAAAAGACAGCCTTATCTTTAGAAATGAACAAAAGTAGAAAACCCTTGCCATTTTCTTGACATTTTATCTCCACATTTTTTTCTATAAAAATATAATAAAACTAAATTGCTTGAAGTTGTTTACATCTTCCCATAAAATATCATCTGATTTTATGGAAGCCATAAATTTGCTGTGGATTTCATAAGTAATCTACTTTTATGATACTGCATATATAGTTATAACAAGCAGAGTGTTTTCAAGATAGCAAATGTGCTTAGTTGTGAATAATTCTACGTTGTGTTCTGAGTTTTTCTATCTGAAAACCAGTGAAATAGAAGACTGAATTTTTGGCTAAGAAACAAAACAAAATCCTAATTTGATTCGTTTTGAATTTTAAAGTGGGAAAAGCCTGAAGGAGGAAGTGCTTGAACTGCAGCAGTGATTTTGAAATCCAAAACCAGCTCAAATTAAGTTATTAGAAGCCTAATTAGTCCCAAATTCACTACTGTGCCTATTGATATTTGAAAATTTGTATAAGGCATGGCATGTGGAGTCTTTACTGTTCTGAAATACTGAATAAGTTAAGTTCACTCTCCAATAATTAGATACTCTTTTTAAAAAATTAGCTGTATTAGTAGATTTTCTATTAAGTTGTTGTATTCTTTACTGTTATGGCTGAAAAGACAAAGTTGGGTGTGTTCACACAATCCAGACAATTGATTTAAACACAGTAAGATAATGTGTTCATATTCTTGATCTCTCCCAGTACAAAGTGAACAAATTAAAATGATACTGAGAGGATGCTTAGGAATTAAATTTATCCATTTACTTTTTAATGATTCTGGAAGCTCTAGGAACCTAACAAGCACAGTGCATTTTTATTTAGTATTTCTAATAATGGTGTTAAAACTCAATATTATTTTGAAGAAACATTTTTGAAATAGTTCTTTGTTTCTATTCACTAAGGTAGCAACACTATATGAGTAGTTTATGCACGAACACCTTTTATTTATGAAGAATGAAATGGGCAAAGGACTTTGCTACTCACGTTTTCTCCTTTGTCACCTTTACTACCTTTTTGACCCGGTTCACCAATTTCACCCTGTAATTGAAAGTTAGAAGTTAAAGTTCTTGTTTAGAATGGTCTCCTTCACACTTAGCTGACTCCAATATCACAGTACCTTTAAATGTTCCGTTTGATATGATTATTCTGTGTTTTATGTTGCAATTTCAACCGTGAAGGCCTAAAGGAGGCAATTCTGCATCAATCAATAGTGTGTCATTTTAATCTGGCTATTGACTGTTCTACTGCAAAGGCCCCAAAGACCTGGCTTTGAAGTAAGAGTGGTACTGAGGTCTAAACAAAGGAGATTGTGTTCCTCTTGTCACCCTTGGTATGAACTTGTAACAAAAGTATTGTGATTTACAGACTTGCTTAACTGTATGTGAACAAATACTTTTATCTCATTGCAGTGTACAGTATTTCAAAATTTCAGTATGATTCAAATTGCTAGGAAAACATGTCAGAAAAGCTTACCTTATACAATAATAATATCAAAATTAAATTAAATCACAGAAAATACACTCTATGGGGAAAATCACACTCATGCATTATAAAAACAAACTTCAAAGTCTTTACCTTTATACAATGCTGACTAACAGAACACTGCCGTATTTAATACAAATGATCCTAAAAGATGCCATGTCCTGAATTCTGCCAAAAGTTAACAGAATATCTCTGCTGCTAACATATTTTTCTGACACTTTCAACCTATTACCAGTGATTCTAAATCACTATTCACCTTGTCACCATCTTCTCCAGGAGAACCACTTGGACCAGCAGGACCAGGAAGTCCTACAGGACCTTGTACTCCATCACGTCCAGCTGGACCTTGAGGACCTTTTTCACCCTGGTTTTGAAGAAAAGGAAGTGATGCACATTATCACAGGAGTTTAATTAAGCTTTCAGTGCAGGTGATTATATTAGCTATACAGCAATACAGTCCCAAATGCACCCAAAGGTGTTCTAAGACAGCACTAGGTGTTCTGTGCAAGTGGAAGCTAGAAGCAGGAGTGAATTCAGTGCTGCACTCCTCACTTCCCTCCAGTCTCTTACAACTTCTAAAGAATGAGTTCACTAATATTCAGAATCATCATAGAAAATACAAAGATCTTACTTCTTACTATGAGTCTGTTAAAAAAAAAAAAAAAAAAAGCTTAAACATGCCACTGTAGCAACTGGATTACTAAATGGGTAAATTAATTCCAGATTAAAACTTAAAGATATCTTGTCCTAACTCAGACCTATAAGTGCATGCAGGATTACAACTGTAATAAACATATGTGTCCTCTAAAACCTTATCTCAAAAATAACTTCTTTCATGACAAATTTCAAGTAACAAAAGTCTTCGCTCTCAACAATTGCTGGCATTATGTTAGGTCTTTGGTTTTTTTAGTGCTTTTTTTTTTCTTTCCAATTCTTTTGCTGGTGATTATTTTATTTTTTCTTTGCTGTCCATAGAGTTCAAAATCATAATTTCATTTCAGGAAAGCATATTTTGGGATGTGAATAACTGAATTCAGGAAACTAAGGAAAATGATATTACCTGAATGTCTATAAAACTGAACTTATAAATAATTCAAATTATCTGAATTTTTCTCCAAGCTATATTAAATCCATTCGCATATGATAATATAAATGAATGTGTATGTCTTAAGATTACTGTAAGTGGTTTCACACTATCAGAAATATTCTCTCAATGTATTCAATAAGAGAAACAAGATAATTTAAAATATTTGTTACAAAAACTTTTTGTTACAAAAGAAACAATATTAGAAATGAAAATAGCAACATAAGATGATTATAATATATCAGGGATGAGTACAACAAGACATTTAAAAAAAAAAAACAGAAGGAAACAATAAATGCTAGAAAACATATCAGAAATTTATACCAAGTAGTAATGGAAGCTGAGGACAAATATACTTGTGCTTTAATGCAGAGTGTCTGTATATAAATTTTAATGAAAGACTGATTTGAGCATATTGCTTACTCACTGTTGGGATAATAACAAGCTTAACACATCTTAGATGTTAAAGGGTATGGCAATAAATGTTTTACTATTTAATTAATTTCATGCATTTAATAGGCAAATACTAATATGGTAAAAAGTAACACTCTGAAATGAAAAGTCTGTGTTGTCACAGTTCTGTGTGTCTCTGTGGTTACTTACAGGAGCACCCTTCTCCCCTGCAGGGCCTGGAGGACCCTGAGGTCCAGGACGACCTGGTAGACCAATTGGACCAGCAGTGCCTGCTGCTCCACGTTCTCCTGGTGAGCCCTAGAAAGAAAGAAATGTTATAAGAGAATTCTGATTTAGCAGTGTTTTTCATGACCTTGGTCAACATTTCACATCTTTGGCCAGCAGAGAAGATACCTGTACTATTCAGTGAGTAGTACCTTCTTTGCATTTTCTTTTCTTTTTTTTTTTTTAATATCAATTTCTGTCTTTAAAAACAGAAACCAACCAGGAAAAAAAAAAAAAAAACAAAAAAAAAAAACCATCTGCAGAACAGAATGGAAGGCTTTGTATTTCTCTTATACAGACTATAAACTCGTTAGTGACCTTGTTTTGTCTGACTTTCTGAGAAGAGATATGTAATTATAGCTTTTATATACATTATGTGGTTGTAGCAGTATTTTTTACTGATTGCTAACAAAATGCTCAACAAATGAACATCTCTATAAATGAAAAATGCTACAGACAAAGGAAGGTAGCTCCAGGTAGCTCAATGCTGATAATTGGGTAGCCTGCAGGTGGCATATTTTGAGTTCAATTTGGGCATCCTATCCCTAAATGGGATACTGAAAAATGACTGTTTGACATTAGAAAGAGCCTTCTCCCATCAGCATTACACACAGTAGTATGAGAAAGGAATAAAACAAACTTAAGGCAAAGACAGCAGACAAAAGAGCAGTTAAAAAATAAACCATTAACAGCAAAACAAAACAGAAAAACTTGCTCTGGAGTGCATTCATGCACCTCTTTCTTTTGTCCAGATCCCTCTAAGCACAATAGTTGGCACACACAGTACTTGGAGCAGTCATTTGTTTGGTATGCTCACAGATCTATGTACCAGCCAGACAGACCATATAACTGACTATATATGCTAGTTAGAAGCAATTGGTACTGGGGGGAACTGGAGGAATGTTTACTTGGTTTACTTACAATAGGGCCAGGTGGACCTTGTGGGCCTTCCCCTCCTTTTAGACCAGCGGGACCCTAAAAGATGAAAAAAATATTTACCTCTTGCAATGGAAAATTCTAGTTATTTTTGCAACACATATAACAGGAAGAACACCAAAATCCAGAGAAACAACTGAATAGATTACTTTCTGATTATATAGCCAGTGGTACTTAATGATGGATACTTGGTGAGTCTTCGCCTACTGCATTCACTTTTAAACATAACTGAAGATTGTATGAATGAAGAGGATTCATCTATTGTTTTCATTTATTTAGAAACCATGTCAAATGTTTGTAGTGCTTGATATTGTACCTGCGCTCCTGGAAGGCCTCTTTCCCCAGGGAAACCACGAAGTCCTGCTGGTCCATCTTTCCCAGGAATACCTTGAGGACCTGGGTCACCCTTAAAATATATCACATTTTGATTGAACAGAATTGTTTGAAATGTGATTGTTTGTCATTAACTGAGTACTGAAAATTAAATACTAGGTCTTAATTATAGTAACGACAAAAGAAGATTATGTCCTCAGCTATTCATCTGCTAATTCTTTTATCTTTAGTATTATCAATAAAATAGTTTATAAATACGGTTAAGTTTATAACAAATTTTGCCAAAATATAGCATTAGTTATAGAATATAAATGGTGAAAAATATAGCCATAAAAATCCATTGAAAAATAATATTCATTAAAAAGTTAGTGTCCATTGAAAATGGATGACTGAATTATATAGTAATTAGACAATTGATAATTTTCTTTTGCCCCACTGGTGAAAAGTAAGCCAAGAGCTAAATTTGGTCAGTGAAATACTGCCTTGTAGCCAGTACTACATATCCCACTTTAGATGTCATTTTACAATTTTCTACCTTGGTGTGAACATGTTATTACTATGCATTTCCATAACAACTGTGCAGTATATGTTTCTGTATTTTTTCAATGACAAAAGCTAATTACTGGCTTGAGCAGTATCTTTCCATCTTCAAAATTCTACTATGTGAAATGTATCAATTATGATTTTATGCAGCATGTTTGACATGGTAATTTGACATACAAGTATGTCATCAATATATCTGCCCTTTCCGAAAGCCCCATCATACCTTAGCACCTTCTTTTCCTGCAGCACCTGGGAGGCCTTGTTCACCTGGTGGGCCAGGAGGACCTGGATGACCTCTTTCACCAATTGGGCCAGTCTCACCAGTAGGACCCTAAGCACAAAGGTAAACCCCAGTCATCTCAAGGTTTTTTAATGTCTAGAGGGGGCAGATTCTCAATATCCAGCTGTTCTGAGTGAGCATGGTTAGCATACATTCCTCACCTTTCCCTCCAGGCAAAACTGACTTACAAAATATTTTTGTCCTATAAAATAAATATTGCATTGCCTTTTGCTTGTAGACACGCCTGAACAGTTTCCACAGATTGAAATCTTGACCTTGCTCCTAGGCAATGAAGCTTAAAACACAGTGCATTTCCACACATGGAAGGAGGTTACAAAAGTATATGTATGGGAAATTCATATACTGTGCTTGTCTTGAAACACTGCCTGTACTGTTTTTCTATATAACATGAATTGTAAGGTGAGAGAGTTGAAAGATATCTCTCTAGATGCACTAGTAGAAAACTTTCACTAAAGGAATTATCTATAAAAAACCCAGGCAATCCAAATGTCTGATTTTTCTGCAAATATGTAATATCAGATAAAATTGAACTTTGTTGGTAAAACAGTCCACAATCTAAAAGTAATTGAGATTTGATCTCTGACAAGAATGTCACGTAATACAATTGTTCTTTATAAATTATTTTGCATTAGAAATCTCACTTCACATTCTTGACTTCTGCTTCATGATGACATCAAGAATACACACACAAAAATAGAAGTACAAAAATAATCTCAACATTCACGTTTCATGGAACTATTGGTAAGTACTAAGTATAACTTTGTTATGAATAATTTGACACCAAAGTAAAGATAATCATTGATATATTTCTTTTAATACAACAAATATAACTGCCCTCTGCATTAGTTATAATATAACCATTAAAAATCAACTTTATAAAGTTAAGTTTAATGAAATGAAACTTAAGTTTATGAAATTAAGTTTAATTTAATGAAATTAAATGATGTACCTGAGGGCCAACAACCCCACCAGGACCAGGAGGGCCAGTTTTTCCTTGAAATCCCTGTGAAATAATCATAGAATACTATGTTACCTGGGAAAATATATAGAAGAGCCAAATTCTTATCTGTTCTGAAGAGGAGAAAGAGAAATTCCATGTCATAAGTTCTTCTCTTCAGAAAATAAAAATGAGATATTCTGGTTTTCCAGAATATGCTTACAAGTGAAGGACTGATTATTCTTTCTTAGCTCTTAGTTCCAGCTGATATGAGTTAGTGCAGTAGTAAAATTTCCATTCAGGTTTACAGATCTCTCTAGGTGAACTTGATTAGGTGATGCAGCTGAATGACAGCTGAAAATACATTTTTACATATGTACATCATGAATCATAAACCCAGATACATAAATATTTTTTTAAAAAATGCTTTTTAAAGAAAGGCATAGAAGGTGGATTAAATTGGACGGGCCTTAGAAGGACCCAGTTTGGGGTACACTGCAGACTTTCTGCAGCACATGCTGTGAATATGAGGTTCACACAGATGACTACTGCATTGTGCTCCTGTTTGGCTCTGCTCGTGGCTGCTCTGTCTCAAACCTCACATGCCATCAGCTAGCTCATAGAAAATGTCCGGTTCTGGGCTCCTCAGTTCAAGAAAGACAGGGAATTTGTAGAGAGAGTCCAGTGGAGAACCACAGAGATTACTAGGGGTCTGGATCATTTCTCTAATGAGGAAAGGCTGAGAGAACTGGAACTGTTCAGTCTGGAGAAGACTGAAAGGAGATCTTATAAATGTTTATAAATATCTAATGGGCAGGAGTCAAGTTGATGGGGCCAAGGCTATTTTTGGTGGTGCCCAGTGACAGGAGAAGGGGCACAAACCAGAACATAGGAAGTTCCATATAAACACAAGGAAAAGCTTTGAGGGTTTCAGAGTCCTGGAACAAGCTGCCTAGAGAGGTTCTAGTTCCCCTTCTCTGGAGATATTGAAAACCCATCTGGACACTTTCCTGTGCAACTACTTTAGAGAACCTGCTTTAGCAGGGGGATCAGATGAGATGATTTACAGAGGTTCCTTCCACCCTTATGATTCTGTGATTCTGTGTGTGATTACTGCTGTATCACAGCCAGGGGTCTCTGCCTAAAAGCCTGTATCTTTCTCCTACCATCCCCACCTGTGTAAAAAAAAAAAGGTATCATTTGGCCCATATTTCTTAGAAACTTCTCATCATGCCTCAAGGCACAGTCTCACTTCACTAATTCTGAGATATGAGTGTTTGAGTATTAATTTTTACTACTTCTGTTGACTAGTTAAGCACATTCTGATGTTGCCAACTGATCAGAGGAAGGAGTAATCTCACCTTCATAGTATGGAAACAAAACAAAAATTTCTCATGTCTAACCTACTGTACCAGTAGATAACTGCCATTATATTATCTCCCAGTCCCAACCTCCTTCCCTTTTCTCTGTTGCTTCTATTTTTTTTTAGTTTTGGTCACACTATTCTGACTTCAAGAGGTTTACAACAGCAGCACAGTAAAGCTCATGTACTTACAGTCTCACCCCGCTGTCCTGGATGTCCAGGCAAGCCATCTTTACCAGGTGGGCCCTGAAGTTGTAAAATACATTAAAAAAGTAATTTCTTCACCATTCTTAATATTGAAATAAGTGTATAGTTAGCTGCAGGAATCTCTGATGTCTATTATTTTAGACTAGTCTTTAGCTGCACAGTTTTTAGCTATTGTTTTAACGATACATTTTCCTTGTGTCCTTCCTGATGCATATTAACAGTTCCTTGGAGAGTGACTGTTGGGCTGTCAAATACATGAGTTTTCAAAATGGATTTCAATAAATTCAGAGATTTTGGAAATATTTCTTTTCTATTTTTCTTTGACTAATGACTCAGTTAAGAAAAACACTACGGATTATGGGAGTATTTTATGAATTTCAGTTTTTGGCAATGGCAGTAAAAGTAGGAAATATATTCATAAAAAAACAACAGGTGGTTTGATACTTTTGTACTTAATACAAGAGTGCAGAAGCACACTAGAAAAGCAGTTTGATTAGTTTAGGCTGCAGCTTACGTGTACAACTATTTCTACACATTTCTGCTTCTATTGAATGTCTCCTTCCTCTTTATTTTTTTCTCAGTGAATCAACTGTTAAAAAGAAATATATATTACTGTATTAGAATTTTGCTTAAATTCAGCTTGTCAGCTACCCAGACTTTGGCATCAAGATACTTGAGGATTTCCAGTTGGAATATTGTGCTGAACGTCATGTGTGCTGCACTGATGATGTCTGAATTATCACTTTGAATATGTCAGTTCTTGTCGTAGACTTAAAAGTCCATAAGCATCAAAGAAATTTGTATGTTTGTAGTCTAGACATAAACCATCTCTTAAAAAAAAAGTCTTAAAATATTACCTTCAGAAACATTGTATAAAAAATAATACTCTTGTTATTGTACTGACTTAATTTAAAAGATACTCACTGGGGGTCCCTTTGGTCCAGGAAATCCAACAGGTCCTTGAGGCCCTTGTGGTCCCTAGTATATAAGGAAGCAAACAGGCAAAATTTTACTCCAGCTGCCACAACAATGGACTGAAAAGTTTGCTTCAATTGTAAAATATATAAACTCTGTAGATAATATATCCTCGTAAGTCTCAAGCCTCATCTACGTTGTTATAAACATTGGTACAACAATTCACACTAACAGACTGAAAACAAGACCATTTCTGTAGGAATGCAATTAGAAAAAAAAACAATTGTGAAGTATTTCTATCTAATCCCTGAAATAGTGGATAATAAAGTAGGAGTTAACGATGAGTAAGGAACACTGTTTTCTGTGTTGCATAAAGTATGGGAATTCATTCATAGTTTGGTGGTCTGCATTAACAGAATAGATGAATAGATGAATATTCATCTTTGGCAGTTTCTGCAGTCTGGTAATATTTCAAGCAACTTTGATAACAATGCAAATTTTCAAACAGAATAAGCTTTCCAAGTTACTAGGGAGAAGGAAAAACATTCATGATTTCATGAAAAGTAGTGGAGATGGTTAAAAAAAATGTGATGCATGAAAATTTTATTTCTATAGTTTTGTATATACATATATATAGAAAGAGAAAAAAATTTCTTGCAGCATTGTTTCACAAATCTAGTGAAAGATGATGATATGAGTAAGCATATTGTGTATTACACATATGCACATACATGTATGTCCACAAAGATCTATGAACATAGATCTGTGCACCTACATATTTACACAAAGTGCTAGCTTACTGTTTCTAAAATTGTTATCAAACAATACAGAGGCCAACTCTTAAAATTCATTGCTGATATGTTCAAAGGGACTGCATCAGCTTATTAGAAGACTTTTCGTTGCTTAGTTTTTAATGTGCTGTCAAAGATTAGCTACCTGAAATACCTTATTTATTCTGTACTGTTCCACAGCTGAGCTATGTATACTAATCATACAGTGCAACCCTTATCCTACTCTTGGTATAAAATATGTGGCTTTTTAAAGTGTCAGCTGTCAAAATATGTTAGAAATGTTGCTTTGAAGTTTGAAGCAAAGGATCATAAGCAGGAAGCCACATCACCCAAATTACGCTACCTTTTAGTTCCTTTGATAAAGTACTGGCTACTTCTGAGTTCATTAGAGTACAGAGCATGACTGCCAGAGCATGACAGCCTCCTGAAGTAGATGAAGCAATATGCAAATGTAGCTGAAGAAGAGGTCACTTGTGCCCAACCTGGAGATTTGTCCTTACGTGAATCTTACAGAGTAACATTAAATCCGAGTTAACTAAGTGCAAAGCAAAGGAGGAAATCTTTATGATGTTATTATGCTGTCTTCCTCATAAGTTCCCACTGTATTTTGACTCTCATATCTTGAGCCTTTTTAATGAAAGAAGATTTCCATTTTGTTTTTTATTGACAAAATGTCTTGCAGATTTCAAGTTGGTATAATGATGGATTATGTAAGAAATAGCACTAGAAAACTAACATCATGTTATCAAAATTACTTTTTCTTTTTGTCATTGAATTTCATTTTAGCAGTAGCCAGACAAAACAGATTGTTTAATATTTACATGTCTGGTACCTGGAATAGCCTCAGCTGAGTAGAAATGACAGTTTTAGTCCTTGGCTGACATTCATCCCTATTGGAAAGCAAACAGATAGCACACGCTTAAATTACATAAGTGATATCATATGTGGGGCTCTGTGATAACTTCATCTTTTTGCTCGAATCAGTTTATCTCCAGGGATGCCTTCATGTAAGATGACCTGCTCACTGTTTTCAGTCCCTCTCCTGTTCCTTTTCCTTATAACCTCTTGGAGTTATCAGTAAGCCCCTTAATCACTAGGCTCTGCTCTTCAGCTCCTGGTAGCCTGCCTCAGCCTGCCTCCACAGTGTAAGACAACATAGACTTCCTTTTTTGGACTATGCCTAATTCTGATTTCTCTAGCACACTACTTAACTCATTCCTCCTTTGAATCTCAGCTTCCTACCCCTCAGTCTCTTCCTTCACACATCATTCTTGTTTCACTAAAACTTGCTACTTATTCTTGCCACCAATGTTCCACTTAATACTTCGTCATTTGCTTAATATACACACAGGTAGAAATCTAATTTATTAATATTGTTTTTCTATTTGCCGTTGTGTAATGGACTGATCGCATATATATTTTTTCCACTGATAAGAGTAGTAAGAAGAAAACTTTATGTTAGCATGCACAGAAGGATTTCTCAAGGATGCAGGAAGTAGTTTGAAGGAAATTCTTAATTGATCAGAACTAAAAAAACATCAGCTGTTTCAACAAAGAATCTTCTAGAAACTAGCGATGGCTTGAGTGATTTGTAAATCTCATAAACAAGTGGTGTGCTACAGTAAAAAGGGCATTCTTAAGACCAGAGACTTGCAAAGTCCAACTGTAACTTGCATGAATATATTGCAAAGTGTATATGAATTCTCTGCGTCTTATTTATAAAAAACTGTGCTTGAAGAAGCTTTCAGCTAACTTGAGCTTACCCATTCGTAAATTTATGAAACGCAACATCGTTAGAATTGAAATTTTGTTTGTTCTGGTTAGTCTGATCAAAGAAAGGCAAATAGATGAGAGGGAGAACTAAAAATAAATTGATCCTCCCACCACCAAACCACACTCTTATATAGCAGGAAAGACACCATGCATATAAATAACTTTCACGCACCCTTTCACCTGGAGGGCCAGGCGGACCATCATTGCCTGAAGTACCCTGAAAAAGAAGAACAGTGTGTTCAAAGATGAAACCTCCATTTTCTTTAAAAGAAACAGCCTGCAGCTGATTTGTACAATGTGGCTGACAATTACCTTTGGACCTGGTTTGCCTGTGGGGCCTCTTGGACCTCTTGAGCCTCTTGGACCCTGTCAAATAAAATTTAAAATTAAAAAAGACAGAATCACAGAATCACCAGTGTTGGAAAATACCTCTAAGATCATCCAGTCCATTCATCCACTTATCACCAATGTTTCCTACTAAACTGTGATCCTCCATACAACATCTAAACTTGGTAATTGTTGAATACTGTAACAAATTCAAATCAAAATCATTTTTCACGCTATGGTAATTAATATAGAAAAACCTCTGTGTTGCAAAGCAAAAGTACATACTGTTGGTCCTCGCTGTCCTCTGGGGCCTGGTTTGCCATGTAATCCCTGTGAAGAAAGTACAGAATTAATACAGAATAATATGCAGTATAGTAATACTAGCCCTTATTTTTTTTGCTTTATTATATTTCTATGTATAACCAGTAGATTCCTTTCCTTAGGCACAGTGTTAGGTTAGAATTGCTATGTATTCTAATGAAAGGAAGGTTAAAATTCTGGACAGTATTCCAGTAGAAAAAGGAACTTGAATGGTACTTTATAATCTCTTTATATCTTTATAAATATAATCTTTATAATTGGGACAATGACTATCTTACTAGCATATCACATACTAGTGTATACCTTTAAGCAAAATTAATGATAATGCCTGCTTTACATTATTAAAAAAAAAAAGCACATATTCTTGTATTATTGGTGAAAAACCTTACACTGAAGTATACGTGCAGTTTGGTGGTGTTAATTATGATATAAGTAATAATTTAAAGAAAGCTTTACGAAGACTTGATAATTGATCAACACAATTATACTTTTATAATTTTAAATCTGCTCTTTGATGTGTTATTATTTTACTTTTTTGTTTGCTGGTTTGTTTTTGATCTGATATCCTGATTAGCAGTCATGTCTCATTTAAACCAACAGGGATGAAAGGAACATTGCTTTGCTGCTTTCCTCTGTTCATAACATCATATTCTAACTAAAATAACACAAGAACAATCTAAAGCATACAAAAGCAATGTAAATGCAATTAGTTTTTTCTCCTATTTCATGTTAAAATCATGAATTTCTGCTTTTCATGCTGCAAATTAAAATAGACTATTAAGAACAATATTAATAAACATTACTTTAGTTTGACTTAAGTCGATAATCTTTACAAATTTCTATCCATTCTCTCACTTCTGCAAATTTCATCAGCCTTGTAGAAACATATTCAGCTCTATTCTGTTGAGCTTTAGAGTCAGCAATACAGTTGCCTGTATATCATATATAATTTTAAGTTTGAAGAATGCGAATAATGGATTTTCCCTCACAAAGCAGCAAAATCTGTAATTTTTTATCTCTTTGGTAGTAGTGTATGTTCATTATCTTGTTTGGTATATTTTACATTTTCAAATCTCAGACTATAGGGAAGCTTGTGGTAAATCTGAATACTTATGAAATAGAAGTTGAATTCCCTTGAGGGTAAACTGAATCATAGCAAGTCAATGAATGCGACACAGGAAAACACAGTCCTTGCCAGATCACTCAGCTGTACTGTCAAATCAGATGCTCAGCAAAGGCAGTATGTTTCCTGTGTTTCAAACTTATAATTGTGGTAGCGTATTCAACGAAAAGTGTCTGAGCTCCTGTATGCTTAGATTAGCACTTTCAAAAATGAGAACTAATGACTGAGTATGTCCTGTTTTACATAACTGTCAAAGGCCATCTCAAATGTAAAAAGCCTGTTTTTATAGTTCCTTGGATAGCAGCTTCAGTGAATTCCCATAGCACACAGTATCAAAAGGTAACTGTCACGCAAGAAATAATTATCATACCCTTGCACCTTTCTCTCCATTGGCACCTGGAAATCCTGGGAAACCAGTTGAACCCTACATAAAAAATCAATGCAATTATCATTAAACATTAATTGAAAAAACTGTAGTATAGCCAGTATTTAATTTATATATAAAGCATAACTCCAAAAAGATGCACATTTTACATCATGTCAAACTTGCAAGTGTGACAGCACTAACAAACAGCTGTAAATTAACTTACCATCCATCTTAAGTCCAGAATGTATTTAAAAAATCAATGTATGGAATGAACATTATTTTTCACCTTAGGTATTATTCATTAAATCTGCACCAGGATCATTATCAGTCCACTAGAAATAACTGCAATTGTATCATAACAAAGTGAAACAAGGCCTTGTCCCTCACAGTAAAATAATTATTTTACAACATAACTGCATGTAACATAATTGTAAGTGTTGCCACTTCTCTCCATTGAGCTGAAAATGAATGACCTCTGGTCATTCACTGTAAACTGACCAGTGGAAAGTTTCATTTAACTGATGCAATTTGTTCTTGTGGCCGTACACTTGTCTAGGATGCAGAATTTATGTGTAGATTATCTGACTTGGTTCTATGCATGGCAACTACTCCCAGGAGCTATTCTTGCTTCTCCTTTTTCACTGATTTTTTCCTGCTTACTGCCACCAAATCTGAACAGAGCTATTTTCTACTTGATTTCTAGTATACAGTCCAAAGGAAGAGGAGACTTGTTAGCTGTCAAGGTGTTAATTTTTCATAAGGCAGTTAGGGCAAAAGAGTTCACAGACTTGGTAAAATATTCTTTTACTGAAGATGAAAAATCAAAGCAGTGTTTGGTTTCGTCAGTCACTCAAACTACTGGTCAAACTCCTTGCTGTGATATTCCGGTGATATCTGTACAGCTAGTTAGTATTTTAGTGGCAAAGAAAATGCATATAACAAAAACTTTAAATAGAAGTTCTTTCTGCTCTTTGAAATTTCAGTGAATAATCATTTCTTCTTCTTTTAATTCATCTTATGTTGCACAATTATGCATTAATGAATTCGGGAACAATACATCAATGATGGTGACTAATGAAAATCTGACTGATAACTCACTGGTACAGTTTTCTTCCATCTCTCCCTCTCTTCCTCTCAGTTCTTCACCATTTTAAAAGTGAATGAAATTGCAAAAATTCTGTTCTGTGAAGCTCAAGTATATTCTTTGTAATTAAAAGGCTGAGAGGAAAAAAACAACTTTAATGACTGGACACTAATAGATATGACTTGGGCATAAATATATATAAAATACTTTTTGCAATTGAGCTAATAAAAAAGGAGCGGCAGAAGTAAAAACATATTGTGAAAATTATCAATTTATAACAGTACAAGGAAAAACAAGTAAATTACAACAAAAAGAGTAACGTAAACCTCAACAATATTGGAACAAGACTTTTTAGACAGCTAATATATTCTTCTACAGTTACTTTTTTTCTCTCTCTCCCTATCCTTTATGTTGACTTTAACTGGACTGTGACTAAGTTACAAAACAATTCTTCAGTGAGTTGATGCATTTTAGCTGTCTTTTTTTTTCTGTTTTTTGAAGTTTAAGCGATAAATTAGAAGAGCAAACAGTGAATGTAGCTTGAGAACTATATTCCATTGTAATGCAATGAAATGAAAATTTAATGTAATGCAATTCTTGAGTAAGTCTGCTGAAAAAAGTATCAGTCAGTTTTTATTTGAAGTGTTACATCACTTTTGTTCTTAGAACTGAATAATGCAAAACGTCTTTGATCTCAGACTTTTCAAAAGACAGTTCAAAAGAAGAACAAAAAGAGACACTGAAATCTTAGACATTTCATTTAAGAAGTAGGAGGGAAAAAAACATGTTTGTCAAGGTGAATTGTCTTCATAAATACTTTCCAGAGATGGTTCTGATATTTTTTTTGTTAACATAGAGTGTTCAGTGAATAAGCACTCTTCAGTTAGTTCATCCGTTTGACAGAAAAGGACAAAATGTAGGCCAGAGTCAGAAAAAAAACAAGCTAAGCTTTGCTTAGGCAGCCGGGTAGTTGTTGTTCTGCCAAAAAAACATAGTTTCAAGTTGGAAGATGAAAATAGATCCCAAATTAGAAGAAAGTTGAGGATTTTACTGCAGACTGATTGTTCAGTTATGTAGGAAGGGGAAAGAGATTCTTCTTATGATGCTGTCCCAGATGACTCATCTTTAAGATGGTCTGGAGATGCAATGTCTTCCTCATTGCCTTCTCTACATTGGGAAATGTCTGTAGAATAATGTTTTTTTGTTCTGTGTCTTCTTCTTAATAAGAAGAGGCAGTAATGACACAAATTGAATCCTTGCATCACACTGAAAATTACCATCACTTTCAGCACCCATCCTAATCTGACTATAGTGCTTATTCTCTTTCAAACATATAAGTCATTTCTTTTTTGATATAATTTAATGCATGCCAGTCTGAAGTTAACACAAATTATAACTTGGAGAATGGCAAAAGTTTGAAAGTAGTATATTCAATAAGAAATTTAATGTTCCTTGAAAAGCCAGCCTTAGAGATCCAAGATTTTCTAAGACTTTACTTCAGATAATGATTATCAAGAAAGAAAATGTGAAAAACAGTGTAGGATTTACAGTTTATATGCAGCTCACCTTTGGACCTTGTCTTCCTGGATATCCTGGCAATCCAGGTACACCAAGCTTGCCCTGTAATAATAAGACAGTGCTTAATTTTAGTTTAATATTTTCCCTTAGTATTTCAGCAAACTTTTATGGAAAGTGTTTTTTCCACAACTTAGAGAGTTGACATTTTATAGAATATAAATGAAATAATTTTCTCATTTGAACAACTAATTATCTGTGGGCTTAGTTCCCCAAATCTAAATAAATATCTCACTCTAGTGAATGAGTTCAACAAAACCAGTACCCCTTCGTTGTGGGATGTGGTCATGGAAGTATTAATATTCTTCAACAAATCAAGGTATTAGGAGATTGTAAAGAAGAAGAAATTATTTTTGCTATGATGGCTTCTTTGTTTTCCATAAGTTTTTCATAAATAGGCATTTGAAAAACCAACTTTTTTAATCACAGGTAATCTGTTTATGACTATGGTAAATCATACTCTACTATTTGCAGGCAATAGATATATTAGCAAATATGGCCACTTTGCTATGTTCTGAAAAGAGAACAGGATGAACAGTTTGATCAGCACTGACCTTACCCATTTCTAGAAATGAAATACTGTACCCCATGGAGTTGATCTTTTCAGATATTTAGAAAACAAGTGATGGATTGCTGCTTTCAAAGGCAGGGGAAAGCAGTTTCGACATTTAAGAGATGGAAACTCTGGGGAAGAATTTGACTGTTCTAAACACTGATCATGTTCCAGGCTGTTACATTTTGGAGAAGATTTAAATGGAAAAGATATGATTATGCTATATAATATGGTATTCAGTAGTACTGGAAAAGATGAAGGAAGTACGTGTATGTGGAAGGGAATTTGCCAAAATAAATCTACTTATTCTTAAAAAATAGAGCACATGAATAAAGATGTTGTGCATTATCATATTCATGGCAGCGCAGAGGTCTGGCTGAGACATTATTAAAGAAGAATTCTTTCTTCAGTTTATAAAAATAGGCATAATGCTACCAGTTATAAGCCACTCTGAAAGAAGCAGCATGCCCTACAATGATTGAACTCTAAAACACTGCATCAAGTTCTGCTAAATTCAGAAAGTTTTGTCCTTTATGACTGAGTAAGACCCAGCCACCTAGGTTCCAGGTGTGACATGGATACTTTTTGGTTCTAAACTCCTTTCTGATATATTGCTTATTTTTTTGACACCCTACTTGGCATTTCCTTGACTAAGCCAATGCAGCCCTAACAATATGATAATATAGCTAATAAAAAGCTAATAATATAAACAATATCATACAATCAGCTGAATGCGGAGAAGAGGCTACCTGTTATTTTCATTACTGCAGAAGAACAGTGCTTTTGCATAAAATAAAGGAAAGGAACAGGACACTGACAGTTACTCATAGAGGCATTTCCCTAATATTGTGATGAGATTTAAGAGTTGACAAATATTATTCCAGTCTTTGTTCTAAAATAAATATTACAGGATCAACCACATATCATTTTTCCCTGGCCTAATGTATTCTGGCAAATTATCCACAGAATATTGACAGAAGATGTTTTACTTTCAGTGGGAAATGAAAGGAATAAATATTTGTATTTGTGTTTCTTTTTTTTATGTTTTTGATTCATGACCTTGCTAACAGCTGTTGAGATATCTTGCAAATCTGTGAAGATTAATTCATAAATAGTTCCCCATAGCTGGAGAAAGCCGAAAATTATTCTTTTTTTGAGTGATTGAACTAAGCTTTTGGACAAATTCTTTTATAAGAACTTGTAAACACCAGACTCAAATTGTAATTTTAACCTCTTGCTGATCTATTAATGGCGTATTTGTAAAAAGACGTAACTGAATGAAAAGAGAGTTTTTTTCAAGTTTTCAGAATACATCCTGTTCTTCCCTGAAAACTCCTAAAAACTCTGTTAATTTTTAATTAGTATCACATTTAAGACTTCAGTCTTTACTACTAGAATGATAGTTGGATAAATGGATAGATAAATAGATACATACATACATAATTAATGTATGTCAAATATAATGTTGGAAAAGTACTAGCTGTTCCTATTTTGAAGACAGAGAAACTAAGAACTGTAAACTCTACCTCCTGTCCTATTTATTTTCAAGATACAACCAGCAATAAAACCTCAGTTAATAAAAAAATACTAAATGGAAATATTTTCATCAGCATCTTCTCACAATATACATAATTCTGACCCATTTTTTTTGCTTATTTTAATCATTCTTTCCCAGGTTTCCCAAATGCCACAATCTCTTTACAGATGCTCTCAGTAAAATACATGTACCTTCTTCAGTCTCCTTTCCTCTTCTATTTCCATTGCAAGTGTATTTTGCTGAGGTCAGCATTACTCAAGCATTTGTGCTTATCTCTGTGTTTGTTCTCCTCTATATTTCATTTCCCTATTCTTTACTCAGTCTTCCCTCTAAGCATTATGTTTCACTTTTTCCAAACTTGTTTTGGGTTTCTGTTCAGGATATACTTTCTGTTTAAACCAATCTTCATGTCAAAATTTATCATTATATGGCAATGAATATTAAGTGGCTCTCTTGCAGCTCCTTTTTTTCCTTTGTGCCCAAGTATTTCCTCTGCATTGTGTTTTTCTTGATGTACATGTATGTAATTTAGGATTGTTCTGCTTTGTCTGCCAATTAAGTGCTATAATGTTGTTTTGCAACTTGCAAAGTATTGATTTCCCAATACATGATCAAATATGAACTCCAGTGACCTGCTTTAGTAGTGTTTTATAAAAACTACTGTTAGGTAGCCTAAGATCTTGCAGATCTTTTTGTGTGTCTTTTTAGTGATGAAGATCACAGGCTCCATCTACTTTATGAGGTAGTTACTGACCTTTTCCCCAGCAGGACCAGCAGCACCTGGGTCCCCAGATGGACCTGCTCGACCTTTTGGACCTTCTGGACCATCTTCTCCTCTTGGGCCAGGTTGACCAACTTCTCCCTGAAATACAACGTTATATAAATGAGCAGCAATTGACTGTGTGCATACGTTAGCAAGGCTACCAACAAATACTTGAAAATAATTTTTCAGTAAACATAAATGGAGATTAAGAAAATGCCACCACTCATGTTCATTATATAAATACAAAAACATGTAAAATGAACTGTATTTGTGCAAGCATTAGAGGCCACTGTCCTTGTCTGAAGAGAGCTGCATTTTGAAACTGCTTTCCAATTTCATAGGAATTTTAATGAATTCCAGTAATTACTACACATATTCTTGTGAAAGCACTCTCATGGTCCGTATTAGAATAATTTTTGTATCCAAGAAGTTAAATAGATACCATTATCACAGTTACTTAAGTATACAGATAACAGATACAGGCCAGTAGCCTTTTGTAATAAGTTTTTTTTAAATTGTCTCTGCAACATTTCCTCTGACAGAAGCATCTATTGTGATAAAGTACATTTTGGTAGAGATAATATAAGCTACTATTAGGTTGAAATGGAAATATCCTTGTTCAGAATAAATTATCTTCTTCAGGCAGTATTGCATCTTGGTATCTTGAAAAGGAGACTCCCTAGGAAGTTCAATGAAAAGGATATCAAAGATTGACACTCACTTCTTCTTTCTAACTGTGCCATTGCTGATTCATGAGATCTAGACTGGCTCAAATCTGTGTTTGTGCAGGGAACAGAAACAACTTAAGCTAAAAGTTTTTAACTGTTTTCAGTGTAAATTTATTTGTTCACTTCACTGATCCTCTCAAAATAATAGCACTTAAACATTTTAAAATTATATGGGCCATGAGCCAATGCTTACCCGATCACCCTTAAGGCCCATGTCACCCTTAAATCCTGGGAAACCATCTTCACCCTAAGTAAGACAAAAATAGATGTAAGAAAACTGCCAGTGAAAGAAAACTGGAGGTTTTTTGTTGGTGGTGGTTGGTTGTTTTTTTTTTGTTTTGTTTTTCCATATGTAATAAGAAAATACAATAACTTAAGATTAAAATAATCTGTTTCAGACATAAGGTAATTCTGATATATTTATTGCTGTTTTAGAGTAAGTGTATCAGCATGCTTTATATGACTTTATAGTTTGCAAGTTCCTAATAGCATAATATCAACTGTTTTAAAAAATGTTTAAAGACAGAGATGAACTAATTGCTCAGCTTTATTACAAATTATCTTACAAAATCATTTGGTATGTCCTAAACATTTTTTTATTGTTACTCTTTTTAATAATTCCATCAACTTAATTAAGTAAAATAATTAAGTAAAATATTGGTGGCAAATTGTACAGTGGTATTTTTTTTTAAGTAGCAGAACCTCCAGTTTGTTTATTATTTTTTTTTAAGCTTGTGTCTGAATAGTGTCATGAAAGGAATTAAAGAATTGGCTGATAATGGAATCCTAATTAAAAAAATAAGACAAGAATGTTTGTCTCCACTAAAGGAAGAAGTATTCTCTATACAGTAGCTGGACGTTTGGCAACACAGTCTTGCATATTTTCATTGGCTGATATGATGGAAAGAAGATAGAAAAGACAATGGACATTACATTTCATATACAGAGTAGCAAAAACAGGTACATATTATTTTTATTCCTAATGAGAATTATTATTTACTGCCTAATAAGTTACAGTAGAAAATTTAATGCAAGCATTTTAATAGGTTTCCTTGCTGAAGTATAAGAAGACAGTACTCATACAAGTTTCATTTACATCTGTATGAGTTAGTTTGGTTAAAAACAGAAGCCTACAGAATTATTCAGTGGAGTTGTTCACTACTTAATCTAGCATGACTTATTTGTTTTTGCTTCAGTCTGCCTTAATCTAACGCATCATACAGCAACTGCTACAACATTACAGAAAGGTTGGAAGGGACCTTTAAAAACCATCCAATTCCAGCCCTCCTGTCATAGGCAGGCATACCTCCCACTAGACCAGGATGCCCAAAGCGCAACCTGGTCTTAAATGCCTCTAGGAAAGGGACATCCTCAGCTTCCCTGGGCAGCCTCAGAGAAGCCTGAAGAACTTTCCTAATGAAGTTTGGAGAATAAAAGGCTCTGAGGAGATCTGATTGTGGCCTTCTAGTACTTAAAGGGAACTTATAAACTGAAGGGAAAACAAATCAAACACTCATATATGTAACATTTATCTATTTTTTCATAGATGGATTTTAATCACTCAGTAAGACACAAGAAAAGGTTGCTGCTCAGTCTCCATGGGTATTAAATATACTCTTGTTTTTCAGATTAGATTTAATGAGGAACTCTAAAAAGTGCATAAAAGCTAGATAAACGGTGATGCAGAAAAGCATGAAGATACATAGACTCTTTTGGCATCTGAGCCTGAAGGACAGATTTCTAGTGCTCAAATTGAGGCTTTTTGGCTTCTACTTTACAATTAGTCTTCTGCTTTAGAAATACACGTATAAATATATACACAGTAGCCAAGGGTACCAGGGTAAATTTGTCTGTGTGAACAGGCAGTATATATGACTGTTGTCTCTCATTCTGAGTGCTAAGGAAATTTGGAATTTAAACCAGCATGGCTGTAGCTTCAGCCACTTCAGACTGTCAGAAGTCAGTAGAGATGTTTGTTACAGTAAGAGCATTTGCTGTATGCAAAGAAGTAAAATTACTGTAGATGTAAAAGCTTTCTTTATATACGTGCATCTGATCAGGGTTGTCTAACACTCTGGCCAAGCCAAAAACCTAGGTAAAAAATGCCTGGAACCTTGAAAGCTTTTGGAAGATTGGGTACATTAAAAAACAAACAAACAAATAAAATCTAGCCTACAGCATTATCAAAACAATAGAATGACACTACTGCTACCACAAATCTCTTGAATGGAATGAGCTTTTCAGCACCTACTATAATATATATTAATAAGAGAAAGGATGTCAAATTATCTACCACAGAGCAATTTAGAGATGACTTAAATTGGTGTCAAGAGGATCCAAACTCACTTTAACAACTGAACATTTTCTAACTGCATTGTTCCAGTGTAAATAATCATAGAGGACACAGATTTATGAATTGGGCTTGGTATGTCCTTGGTATGTAAGTCAAAAATAAACTGCTGCTGCAAGAGAAAACCTGCAACAGTGGAGACAGAAGAAGCTGCAATGAAATAACACACAAAAAGAGAAAGGAATTAAAAGCTGTCATAGTTTTACCTTTTCACCTTTGGATCCCTTGAGACCACGAACACCATCAGCTCCCTAAAGAAAGAATATTAAGAATTACTTACATGCGTATAATAAAAAATGTGAGGGGAGAAATCTACCAATTAATTCTTACCTTTACTCCCCGAGGACCTGGATAGCCAATTGGACCTTGAGGACCTGGAGGCCCCTAAAATAGATTGAAGCAAAGAACCTTTGTGCAGTATTTGGTTAACAAGCATTAACCTAATCCTTATTCCCTCACTATACTGCAGCAGTCGTGTGTGACATCAAAATAACTCTGTACTGATAGACTTCTCAGCCTTCCTGCTATAAAAAAAAAAAGTCATGGCATTTCAAGGGAAATTAAACTATTACTAAACTTATGAATTTAGTTCTATTTGAATATTTAGGAAATAACTATACACATTATAAATAATATGAAACTGGTAATTTCAGAATGTGAAAAACAAAAGAAAACCAAAATAAATATTTCAAAATTAATGACAATTTGCCACTAGTGGTTTCTTACTGGAAAAAAATTTATATGATAATTATGATGATGACAGAAGTCAAAAGTATAAATCAAAATAATGATAATTATAAAAACATGTCTTAATAAAGAGATTACAGATCTGAAAATCAGAGGTCTCATGGTGCTTAATCAATACTGACTGGTATTTGGATGTTGTTATTTACTGTTTGCTGAGTATTTAAATTATGTTTAACTTGGATACTTCGCAATTGCTGGTGGTGTTTAAATAAACAGGGTTCTTTATGCTGTGGAAGTAAGGAAGCCTGGAAACATACAGCTATGTGTCTGAGGCTGACCTGCTTTGTTGATTCTCTGATGTTGGAGATTGACACACAGCACAATCTTTCCTTAATAATAAGGTTTTCTGCTTTCAAACTGTGTCTTTTTATAAAACCTTTAGGCCCTTAAAATCTCTAAGAAATAACATTTTCTACCAAGTCTGGCTGAAATTAATTAGTAAATTCAAACTGTATAAGGAAGAACTGGCAGCCAGTCACATACACTTACTTTCAAAACAAATAATCTATGTAAACTTAATTTTCATGAGAAACTAAGGTAAATTCAACAAGCCTCTAGCTGATAACATTCTGGACAAATACTAATATTAATACAAATATTATGTAAACAAATAGAGAAATTTTGAAACTCACCAATGCACCTTTCTCTCCAGATTGACCCTCTTTGCCAGGATGACCCTGTTTTAAGAGAAATGTATCTGCTTTGGAAAATAATCCATTTGTCAAATGATTCATTATAAAAATAAATTTATTAATCACTTAAATTCCAAGTCAGTTGAGAATCTTTTCTATACACGTAATTGGTTTTATTGAGGAGAGTAGTAAATCTCAAGTTTTGCCAGACATGGTCCTAAATAACATATAGTGATTCACAAAAACCATTCATGTTTTGGTGTAATCGATATCGTAACATGTTTGATATGTCTTTTATGACAAATCCCCATTGCTTATAGTCAATTTACTATCTTGGAAAATTTTAAAATACATAGCTCATTAAAAGAACATATATCATACATAAATAGTATTTGATATCTGCTTCCAAGTGACATTTAATCTTTATTTAAAGTTTGTCTTACTAACATTGTATCCTTATTACTTGGTTTTTAAGCATACGTATGCCAAGCGTTTAATAAAAATCTTCTAGAAGATGCTTTTTGACCACAAAATTTCATATTCCCATCCAGTCTCAAAGGTCTCCTTAATACTAGATGACTCAAAAACTGCTGCTGTTAAAGAGCTCATTTGTATTCTTGTAGATTTCATTAATTCCAGAATAATATACCACTTTTAACAATGTGTGTCCTCCGAAACAGCATGACATCTCCTTACATAAAAATGAAGTGAAATAACGTAGGAAAAATTTGCCTAATCTGAAAAAATGTCTTTGATCTTTCACCTGATTTTAACACAGGTATCACAGGATCATATACAAAGCTCACTGCTATAAGGAAGGTACTGCTCATTTTCTTCAATCACCAATGCAATTCTGTGGCTGTAAAGAGGTAATGTCAATTAGAACATGCTTAGTTTAACCTAATTCCCTTGCATTTCCTTGGAATAAAGCTACTTGTGCAGGAGTGAGTTAATTCTGCGTGGGTATATTGGGTCTCACCAGGATGGAATTTTCTTCATAGTTGTCCATATGGTGCTGTGTTTTGGATTTGTGACTAAAACACTTTTAATAACACACCAGTGATTTCACTATTGCTGAGGACTGCTGCACATCATGGAGATTTTCTCTTTTTATCCCTCTGCTCCCAGTGAGTAGGCTTGAGGTGGGCAAGAAGTTGGGAGGGAACACAGGTGGGACAAATGTTCAGAATTGACCAGAAGAATATTCCATACCATATGGTGTAATGCTCAGCAATAAAAGCTCAGGGCAGGAGGAAGGAGGGGGCACGGTTGGGTTATCTTCCTAAGTAACTACTAAGCTTACTGAGGCTCTGCTTTCCAGCAGTTAGCTAAACTATTTCTACGTATTTGAAGCAGTAAGTAAATTCTTAATTTTATTTCGAGTGCACAGCTCTGCTTCACTTACTAAACTGTCTTCATATTGACCATTAAGCTTTCTCACTTTTGTTGTTCTGATTCTTTCTTCCGTTCCACCGTGCAGGAAGTGCCCAGTTGCTCACTAAGGTCAACTTGCCACTTTAAAGAGCTACAGACCTGTGCTAAAAACTAATTCTTAAGAGCATTTTCCTCTGCTTTTAAGGTTTAACAATACACAGATTTTTAAAGAATGGTGAAGTCTGCAAGTGAATATTGTTCTCAGCATACAGAGAAAGGTAAGGAGAAAGATCTAATGTTCAGAAATTGATTCAAGGTATGGATTTCCAACTAGACCTTTGTGTGCTTTTCTAACGTTTTCCATTAAAATGGTACCTTGGCAGGAAAAGAGAGATTATGAAAGCTGTAGATACAATTATGTATTGGTAGTATCATGTATGCACTGAAACCCCGCTGTTCATTCTGTAGTAGCAAAACTGTTGAAAATCAGGTTCAAAAAACACAGATTTAAGCTATAATAAGATGAATTGTAAGGGAAAATGACAAACGAAACAGAGAGATGATTTGAGACTTCACACTGACTGTTGAATGGCTCTTGTCAGTGTAGAAAGATGATGCTTTTGATGAAAGAAGCACATGCGTATGTTCCAGTGTAGTCAGTAAAAGAAGTCCAAGCATGCAATATGTATGTAGGTTAGGAAGCAGAGAAAGAGGCAGTCTAAGAAAGCAACTGATGACCATTTTTACTGATAATTTGCTTTGCTATATTGATATGGTAGAACATTCTGATCCTTCGCGTGTCAGCCAGGTTACTTCCACAACCCCGGAGATGTTTCTGATGGATTTCACCAGCTGGGACTACAGTGATTTTTAGTAGCTGCAGCAAAAATGTTAATTCTAAAAGTTATAGCAACACAAGTAAACAGAGGTTAGATGTATTTTATAAAGCTACTGCCAGTGAGGAGTGCATGTCTTTCACTCTATGTTTTATTTTTGAGACACAGGTATTATTATATATTAATTGGTAAGGCTGTTTAGATATTCAAAGCATGAAATATTTGGTTACTTACAGGGGGCCCATCAGAACCAGGAAGACCAGGAAGGCCAGGCTTGCCTTGAGGTCCCTAAATACAATAACAGAGACACATCTTAAGAATGACAAAACACATTCTATCAATTGCTTGGATGATAAAAAATCATCCTTACTGGGACCAGGACTTATACAGACAACAAACTAATGTAACACTTTAGTATCTTAATCTTCTAAAACAGAAGGCAAACCAACCCCAGATTTAGAGTAGCTATGAGAAAAAGGGGAGAAAAGAAAAATTAAAAAAAAAGAAAAACAACAACAACAACAAAAAAATCGTTAAACACATTAAAAAACCTATACCCAGTACATTCAATTGTAAGAGTTAAGGATAAAAAAAATGGGTATTAACCTATGAATATGCACAAACAAAACACAATACGGAGAAGACTTTTCCAGTTATAGAAAATTAAACAATATTTAGCATTTCAGGAGTAAAATCATTCAACGTACGAAAGAAACCAGCAAGCTCAGGGAGCAAAGAATAGTGCTTACAAAATTGTAGCTCTCATAGCTGAAAAGGCTTGCTATGTCTTTGTTAAAGGCTGGAATGCATTTATTTTGGATATAGTCCATTCAGTATAATAATCCTTCTTAGGCACACAGGTAGATAGAAAGCATGTAAAATGTGACATTTTTGAAGCTGACAGAAGGCCTGTATCAGACCACAAGAACATGCACAGACAGATAGACCAGGAAAAAAACACCATGAAGAGATACTATAGTTAAGCTCATAATACCAGAATTGTGTCAGAACGTAATCCTTGTAAAATGAGAGCAGAATCTGCTGTTAATAGATAAAAAACTTTGTAATAAAAAAGAGTAATAAAATCAAGCAAGCTGTGAAATTAATTAACATAAAAGTATATACTGTTTATTGGTGTAGATAGGGCTCTGTATCTAACAGCAGAAAAAATAATCCAAAGAAAAGATAGGAAGTTATGCTTCTGAAGCAATAAGAGTAAAGTCAGACCTATGATAGTTATCCATTTACTTGAGGATTTTAGGAAGGTTTACAAATTTTTAGATCTCAGGTTAGTATGCTTTTAAACATAGCAAAGACCTTAAGCAAGGTTGTTGCACAGAACTGACTGTGAAATACCAGAATAGAGCTGTAACTTACTTTTTCACCAGGAGGTCCAATAGGACCTTGTGGACCAGGAAGGCCCTGTTAAAAAGAAACCAGCGTGAAAAATCAAGGAGAACAATACACATACATTCACCGTACTAAAGGCTCCTCGTTAATTTGTTTAAACACACTGGCAAATATATGTGGCTTTTTCTTTTTCCCCTTACCAGTTAGATCAGGAATTTTGTGTGTGCCTTTTGCACAAGCCGCTATTCTGGCAGTGAGTCTGTAACAAGATCCTATTCAGAACCCTCCTCCAGGTGTGGCCATTTCTGCTGCATTCCAGGAACACTGAATGAGTCATTTTTCTCCTGAATGAAAAATCCTTCTAACATTTGAAAACTTTGCTCCCACTGCCATAGGTACACTTGTAGCACATTTATGAAATCCTAAAAGCTTTGTCAATTTTGCATGTGAAAAAATAGCCTTGTGCCAATTTCACATTTATCAAACATTTAGTGCAACTTGCATCTTTTTTTTTTTTCTTTTTAATTATTTTACACTTACTTGTGGGCCTGGGATTCCTTGCTGACCAGGGGGTCCTGGCTCCCCTTGAGGACCCTACCATGCAAAAAAAATTAAAAAAAGAAACAAGGCATTGGGTTTGCTTTTCTGCATTATAGATCTTCGTTGTCAGGACTAGAAGGAAGAAAAAGTCATTTTTGTTCCTCATCTTTGTTCCTCCCTCTCAGAATTTTACTACCACCAACTCTCAATCCATGTGATAGACTTTTTTAAAAAAAACAGACCACATATAGGACCTGAGCACTGGAGTCCATAGCGCTAAAGAAGTTGAGAAGAAAGCATGGTTAAGTCTTATTGCTTATGGTTGAAGGCTAAGAAATAGAAAGTTTTCTTCTCAGTGTAAGACATGAGGCATCTGAATGTGAGGACAGAAAAGTTCAATTAAATGGAAGGGATGGCACAGTGGCAGGGACAAGGGAATGTTGAAAAGGTTTTTAGAATTCTCTCCCTTTTTAATTTCCAACTTACTCACCATGTTTCCCTTTGGGCCTGAAGGTCCATCAATACCTGCAATGCCCTGCAACAAACAACAGAAACACAAGCAGCTTTCAATGGACTTTCATTTTTTCTTCTAGCAATGACAAATACAAAACAGTTCATACGTACAGGTTGTCCAGGGGGACCAGGTGTACCTCTGGGACCCAGTAGTCCCCGTGGACCCTGAAAGACAAGAAATTCTTATTAACACCTGCCTGACTATTTCTGAACAAGAAGCAGGACTGGGTGAGGAGTGTCAGAAGGAGCAGAATGATAAGTAAATGCCTTCATGGGAGCTAGGGGAGAAGGAAAAAATGGAAGGAGGAAAAGAAAGAAAGAAAATCACCAATAATACATTCTCCTGAAGCCTATCATAGGTTTGAACAGAAAATCAGAAAAGGACAAACTTTTATACAGTCAGTTGTGCTGTCATTTCAGACAAAGGTACAGAAAGCTGGTACAGTATCTTTCACTGAGGTTTCATCACTGTTTTGGTGTGAAGATCTGACATGAACAGTAGTATACATTTGTACTCCTATTTTTAGTAAACACAATGGTCTGTCATAATTTCTACTACTATTTACAGTAACAAACAGTGCTTTTATTTTTAGTAAAGATCAAATAAATTATTAAAAATTACTAATCATTTTAGTAGAATTAATGCAAGGTATTCTGATAGACACAGTGAGGCTTGTTTTTCTTTCCCCTAAACAAAAAAATCCATAAAGACCAAGGGCTATTCTAGATCAAGTGAGCAAGATTTGCTCTGTAGCATAAACTTTTGGCTTTACCCTATGGAAATGAAAAATAATTTTCATGATTTGTGTCATCACTCATATCATTCATATCACACTTGCTAAAGTAGGCAGGACAGCGTCTCCAGTTTCCTCATGTATGATAAAGATACAGGTCACTAATATTCTGACTGTAGTATTTTCTTGTCACTTAGCAAGTAGACAGCAGTATATCATATGTTTAGGGTAAAAAATCCCCTTTCTGAGGCTTGATTTCTTGCCTGCAATGCAGAACTCTGCTCTGCAGTGACAACACCTGCAGAATTCTAACTGACAACAGTGGAACTTCTGTATTGGAAACAAGCATAAAAATATACACTGAAGAACAGTAGTAGGAAAAAAAAAAAAGGCTTATTTTTGAATAAATAAATGTTTGGAAAATATTTTCAAAACAACAGGGGTTTGGATATGTTCTCATGTCTGCAGTGACATATTTTAAACTAGCTCAAACGGATAAGAAATAGGCTGTGTGACTATTGGAGTTGTGAATACTTATCTGGATATGCATCTGATTTAATTCTGATTTTGTGAGTGATGTTTCAGCTCCAAGAAAACAGATCATTTGCTTACTTTTCAGGCAACATCAGTATTCTCTAAATATACATATATGTGCACAAATTTTTATATCTGGAACCCAAAACAATTCAATAGAAAGAAATCACATTACAATAGGAAGAAACAAATTACATTTGTTTGTAAAACAGTGTACTGGTCAGAAACAAAGAAAGCATTGCTTACAGCTTCACCTGGGAGACCTCTTGGTCCAACTTCCCCATCTTCTCCCTGTTTTTGTACAAAGGAAATACAAGTTTTAGAAAAGAAAAAAGAGCAGATATTATGACTGTATTTCCATTACATGGATTCACTCCCAGTTTCACTGTGAATCTGAAGTAGGGGGAAGTTAGGGGGAAGTTCTTTACTAGGAGAGTGGTTAGGCCCTGGAACGGGCTGCCCAGGGAGGTTGTGGATGCCCCGTCCTTGGACGTGTTTAAGGCCAGGTTGGACGGGGTCCTGGGCAACCTGATCTGAATGTGTATGTTTGGTGGCCCTGCCAGGCAGTGGGGTTGGAACTACATGATCCTTGAGGTCCCTTCCAACCCGGGTGATTCTGTGATTCTGTGATTCTGTGTAAATAGCAGCTTACTCTTGATCCATCTTCACCAGGTAAGCCAGGAGGTCCCTGTGGGCCACGGTCTCCCTGTAGAACAAGAAAAGTTATTAAAATAACATCTGTGTCTCAAAACAACAAAGAATGGGAAAGGAAATGAAAATAAATATATTAGCTGCAGTGTGATGTATCAAAATGTGTTAACATAATGATATTAATCTGTTACAGTACTCAGTAAAGTCTTTCATTACTTTATTACAAAAACAAATGACCATTATTGAAACAATGAAATATCTGTTTGTAAAATTTTGTCCTCTAACATTGTCCCAGAACATACAGAAGTTGCTGCTCCAAAAGTCAGTCTTAATTATATGTACACACATTTTCTTCATCTCCTCCCTTACACAATGTATTTCTGCTAGGAAAATAAGGAAGGTGTGCATGCATCAGGAGTTAACACACCAGTTGTAAAGCCCTGGAATCTACGCAGTGAAGTTCACTGACTGCCTTTCAGAGCCACCTACCCTGGCACCAGTCATTCAGAGCAGTAGGACTGATTTGTCAGAGGTTTTGGAATGCAGCCAGACTTTCACACTTCCCCTGAGGCTGGGGCTTTTCAAGTCTCAGTATGCGAAGCTCAGTACATTCTGGACTACACACTTTTAGGATTTATTTTTCTTTCTCTTCTAAAGAGAACTAGTGTGCAGCATAGCTCTAACACCACTGACCAACCTCTTTCTAGGCAGCAGGTTTTTAGACTGTGACTTCCTTATGGCATTAGACAACAACCAAGTATTCATCCTGTTTTCCTTAATTCAATTATTGCCTCCAAGGAGCATGACCACTGCAGAGGATTATTGCAGAGATATATGGAATCACTCTTCAGTGGCTCCATTTCATGCTTTCAAAATTTAACTTTGCTAGGGGATTTTAGGTAGCTTGGTCTCTTCTCCCAGAGTGTTCTTGTATTAAAAGTATTAGGATTTTATTCAATTTCTTTTCTCTAAAAGTTGGAGTCGTTACTGAAAAGAATGAAATTCTATGAACTGCACTTTCAGAGATAGAAGATTAATAACTACAGCAGTTTTGACATTTTGATAAGTTTTGAAACGATTCAACATGATTTTCTGGTACAGTACGTGGTTTTCTGCATGCTAAAAGATGCTACTGAAAGATGACTCACGAGATGCATAATCTGTGTTTTAACTTCTGATTAATATCTAGGTAAAAAATGACTTAAACCTTCAGATGTTTAAAGAGCTTAGCCTCTGGAGAGCTACCTTTCTTGTCTTGCAATAGCATGGCACTCAAAAAGAGATTAGAAGCTTGCATTCAGTGTCCTGTATTGTCATATGTCAGAACACAACTACCCTATCAGCACTCTCAGTTGTTCAGTACTCTAATTCTTTTCTTCCAGTGTTCTGCCAAAGCCAGAATTTCTTTTTCCTCAGACCTTTACTTCTAGTAGATAGTCTCTTGCTTATTTTTATGCTGAAACGCAAACACAATAGAAAAAAAGCATTTCTCTTGTCATATTTTTCTGTTTATTTTAAGCCAAAGAGAACTGAATATTTATATTACGTGCTGTCAAGTAGTTATGAATCCAAAGAGGTCTCACTATCTGGTCTGGCTTTGAACTGAGCTGATTTCAGAGGGAATATAGTTAGTAATTTTAAAGAAGACTGCCAAACAAACATGAGAATGCAGTGATTTTTAAATAGTGAGATGAAAAAAATGACAAAAAGAAACATTTGTTTTCATTAACACGTCATAAATTTCAATACAAACTTATTCAATTTCAGTTCTCATTTATTTAGGAAATATGGGACAAATAAAATATTTGGAAAAAAAAATTCTTTATGATACAGAATGTCCTATGGACTGACGATTCTACCATTAAAGGTTGGAAAGCAGACAAGACACGTACCCTGGCTCTGAACCAATTTCTGCTTAGCCTTCAGAGTCGTAACAAGAACTTAATGTCTAGCCCCCTCTGCTGGTCACATGCTGATGAAGCCAAATTTCAATTCTGTGAAGTGCTGATTACCTTACATATTAATAAGAAGGAGTGACAGAAAAGGATCAAGATATTTGCATGACAATAAAAATTCTTTTTCTATTGCTGAAAGAACTCAAGAGAGTATCCTTAGAGGTTATTACAAAGCACTAAGTCACAGACCTGTAGTCAACACTGGTGACATTTTCCAAGAAGGGCAGCAACCATACTAACGCCTTGAAGGGTGAGAGCTATCATCATTCCTTGGTCATCAGCACACATGGGAATATTTAGTTCTGAAATTCCTACCCACTGTTTTTTTATGCATTTACCAGGCTTTACACTCAGTAGAACATGTTATTACTATCTGTCTTAGGGGCATAATTTAAAGCAGAAAGCCTCGGCTGTGAAAGATGCAACCTCATCCTCTCAATTGGTATGAGAACAGGAGCTAGTATATTAGTTGTTTTAAGTATTATTTCAAATTTTCCCAAATTATCTGATATGACTTTGATCTGTCATGAATCTGAAGTTGTTGGAATGAGCCACACTAAAAAGTTCAGTTTGCAGTTTCAAATGCAGTTTTTGAGCAAGATTCTTGCAGGTTAAAAATTTTCATACTCCTGATACAGAAATGTAATGATAATTTACTTTGCTACTGTTTCCCTTAACAATCAATTTAAATCCTGCAGACAAATTTCATCATCAAAAACAACAACAAAAAAAACTACCCAAAAGCCTAGAGCAAAGCCTGAAGATATGATCTGAATTCTAAAAATATATTTAAACCAATAATATGTGTGAACTGTAGTCTGGTTGATTGATACTACTAAAATATTTTGAGGAACACATTACCTGACAAGACAGATATTATTCTGTAGTGTGAAATGCTGACATTCTGTTTCAGCTTTCCTCACAGTTGTTCGTGCTATTCTTAACGAATAGTACATTATTTCTGTGATTGTATCGTTGTTGTATAAATATGCATGTTTTTCTTACCCTGTTACCTTTGTCACCAGGGAGGCCAGGAAGACCATCGAATCCTCTGTCACCCTTGGAGAGAAGAAATCACAGTTTCCGTAAATTACTGCTTACAGTCTATATTACTCTGAGTAAATTGCACCTTCTTTCTGTGTTAATTTTGAGTAATGTTACACTTGTTTATTGAATGAAATATATGGAAGGGGGGAGTACAACAATAAAACTCTCAAAGTTTTCTCAATGTATTACAGCTAGAAAATATGCCACACCAGCTTCTTTACTGCACTGTAGGTATGGTGTTTATAAAAAGAAGTCTAAACTGAATTGAAAAGCTCGATTCTAGCTGCCCTTTGTAGTTACAAGATTGATTTCATTACTGCTGATACTCTGTAAATAAAAACTAAGAGGGACATAATCATGCCCAAAGAATTTAGTTATTTCAAGGTCAGGCTACTAACCATTACCATTAATTAGCATATTTCAAATACATGATTCATTCTCAGCTTTTGCATTTGACCCAGCTATCTGAAACCTCAATATTTTCACATGAGAGGAGAATTTTGGTTTGGCCTGGCTGGAAACTGTGGCGCTTGCTTAAAATCCATCCAGACCATTCCAAGGTCTCATTATTTACCTTTGCACCAGGTTCTCCTGGCATTCCTCTGGCACCATCAGCTCCAGGCCGTCCCTGCAGAAATGCAAAAGGGAAAACAGTTGAAAATGCAGTGAAAATAGTAATATTTAAACATCTAAATAGCATCTATTTATCCAGAGCAGGATTGATATGTATGCTACCTACCCGTTTGCCAGCTTTTCCACTTGGACCAGGGGCACCTTGAACACCACGAGGACCCTGAGTTTAAAAAGTACAGCAAAAACCTAGTTAAATATCTGAACTCAGGAACACGGTTGGCTTTTTATACTGAGAGGTGACTTTTTTTTCTTTCCCCAGGAGATGATAGAGTATACTTTTCAAATGCTGATTTATATTAACACAATCATCCAATCTGGCTTAACTCTGTTTTAACACTAGTTTTCATGACACTACACATGACACAATTGGCCCCTTTACTTAAAAGCTTATTATATTCTTTTGATGACTTTGAAGATCCCAAGCCTGTAATTTGAAAATTCTTGTTCCTGTCATACCGAAATTATTTTAGGCACATAATAATTATTTGATGAAAACTGAAGAGTGCTTATTTCAGATTTTTAATTCATATGCAAGCAGGAGTTGTGCTCGTAAATAGATCACATGCTGTCTTAGCTTTATAGAGCAGAGCTTTAACTAGAGGAGAATCAAATTACTTCAGACTGAAAAACCTGATTGCACTGTTCAGACATGTAACTATCACTGTAGGTTGAGTGGGTGTATGTTTCTGTAAAAGTATTCTTATCACCCATCCAAATGTGTCTTCCTTGCATAGAAATAACAGTGATTAAGGACTAGCATCCAAAAATATTGAGTAGGAAGAGAAACAATGCTAACAATGTAAGTATGCAAACTAGAAGACTGGCCAGTTGTTCACAATTGTTCAATTACTTTCTTTTTCTTCTGCAAATATCCATGTTCAGTTATAAGACAGGTACTTAATAATGTAGCTGAGCCATGATACCACTTGGAATATGGCAAAATTATTGTTCCAGAGACACATACCATGATATCTTTATGAATCCCATATTATTTTAAGGTTTAAACTAAAATATTTCCGTACTCTTTTACATCACCACAGGAGTTGATATAATAGTAAAATGAGAATAAAAGTATGCGCTGATTCCTAAAGACCCCTTCTTGCTATGTCATTGAGTTCTTCTTGAAAATATTCCTGTTTATTTAGTAAATAGAACCTCTCAGCTTATGAGACCTGATGAGATTACAGCCTAAGACTATATACATGCAGATTGACATTTAATTACTGAACAGAGATAAAAGTGACATTCCAGAAGTTATAACTGTTCTTTCTTTTGTAAAGGCAGATGGCCTTTCACATTCAAAATGAAAAATCAAGCTAACACATTTAATTAAGACTGTATTGTAAAAGCTATTTTTCCTCAACTGCATGTGGAAAGCACATCATTAACCATTTTCTTTGAAGAGATATAAATGCATTTTTTGTGAGAGTAAACAAGTTCAAACATAACAAGCAATATTATTGTACCTGAGGACCCGGTTCACCACTTTCTCCCTTAGCACCTGCTGCTCCAGGTCCTCCCTTGATGAAAAAAAGCAAAATATTATTTGAATACAGAACTTTAAGTTGTTATTTTTCTATTCCTATATTGACATGGAGGAAAAAACCAATCTCCTGTTTATTATGTAGTGTGAATTCACCCTTTGAATCTGAAGGTATAACCCAGTGCACATTGTATAGACCTTGAGACTACCGGTCAAAAATCTTTCTCCTACGAAAGAAAAATTCCTGCAAATTTGAATGAAATCAGAAGTGACACTTTGTGCTATAATAATACTTGAAAGCTAAATATGAGCACAGATTGCACTCAAACAAAAGTCCACCAGCTTCAAGGAAGCCAATAGAAATTAAATCCACCTCTTCTCACCTCTATCCATTTCTGTGTTTCACAGAAGAAAACATAGAGTTCAATTCAAAGATCACTAACTGATGCAATCTTACCATAACCTACAGTGATATTTTAATCAAAATATTTCTGCATCTGCCATGAAAAAGTGCACTTTTATTTTTGCTGTGATTAAATGATACAGATCTTCAGTTTTACCTGTGAAAAGACCTAAAATAAATCTTCACCTAGGCTATGTGGAATCTGAGGCAAAATTAGTAGTCTTCACAGTTTTCTCTCTCAGTCTCTGGACATGCTGACATAGAATACAGTCTCAGGGAAGGTACATATTTAAGTACGATGGGTAAAAGTTTTTTTTTTTTTTGCATTTCTGACCTCTGTAGCAGTTCATAACCAAATTAAGGTATTCAACACAAAAAGAATCTTTCAGACCTTGGAAGACTGATCCTCCTCCCATGTTTACCATGGTGACCATTCAAAGTAAGAAGTTTTCTCAAGGCTTAGCTTAATGCTGGATCTAGCATCGTGGAATGGAAAAAGTCCCACCAACATTCCAAGTACTGAATCAAATTCTAAGCAAACAGAAAATCATATCTCTGGTAATGGCAGCAGAAAGAACAGTAGTGATAGATGGCAACTGTTGTAAACTCTGCTTTTAATTAACATCAGTAAGCAGAAATTGCATTCTACACTAATCAAGTATGTGAACTCCATACTCAGTTGAAGCCAGACTGGGGCTACAAGAAACCTGTGTTTAAGATTTTTAATGAATTATGTGCTTGTCTGTGTCTCACTGGATACTAAATTAGCACGGTACAGTTCATATTAAGATGAAGAGATCCTATTATTTCATTAATTTAAATAATCTGAACACACAAACACATCAAGAATCTGCAGGTGCTTCTGCAACTGTAGGCCAGATGAAAGAGTTGGATTTCTAGAGCCTCCTGGTGGCTTAGTAGAAAAACATCTATTAATGTTGCTTAGTTAAATTTTGTATACAAAAATACATGATGACTTTGAAAATGTACCTGGTATAAAATATAACTAAAGGCATATAACCCGCTGTCAATAAAACATTTTATTTACAAACTAATTCCTTGCTTATAGCAGTTCTATAACTATTCTGTCTATACAGACTTAATGTTATCCTGCAGGTCTCCTGATCTAAATCACTGCTGGAAATAGTGTATTAGTTATTTAAATAAACTCAACCTGTCTGACTTTGCCACATATCTAATTGCGATCAATCAGAAGACTGTGGCAAATTTCTGCAATTGTTTGCAACATTCCATTTTGGATGAATTACTCTAGAAAATAATTACTCTTGCATTCATCTGCTTAAAAACACAACCAAAGCCTACTAATCTTAGTTTCTGGGGACTGAGTGAGATTTTGATAAGATATTTAGCTATGATTTGTCTGTAACCAGTATATTTCATCTAGACAGACAGAGCTAGGTTCATGAGATTTGGAGCACAGAATAAACTGAAACAGGAATTTTGGCTCCATTTGAAGTGGAGGTAAAGCACTGCTGAACCAACCCAGAACACAATTTAGAGAAGTTTTAGTTCTACATAGCTTTCAAAAGTCATTGAAGGGAATGTTGAGCTGTTAGGATCAGGTAAGAACAAGATTGAAAGTGTTCTGTATTATCCTTAAAACATTCCTTCAGCAGCCCCCCACAATAGACAATAGAAGTAAAAATTACAGCAGACATAGATCAAATTAATGGAGGTCAAATATTTTTCAACCTAGCTGTGCCACCAAAATAGAGAAATTAAGTTTCCAAATAAAAAGACTCTTTCAAAAACGGATGCTATACAATCTTTAAAAGAGAATTTCACTCCATGTCAGAGAATAAATAGAGTCACCTGGGAGAACTCAGAGAAGAGTTTTTTTCTAAAATGCTTATGATTTTGGCTACAGCATTTATTTTACTTCATACTACAGATACTTTATAATAGCTTTTAAAATATGTTAAATGCTAAATAACACCATTTAGTAGACTACTGTATCTGAAATATCCATCTTCTAAAAGAGGAAATTGCAATTGGCAGATAAACCAGGTGATTTTGGCTTGCTCAACTTCCTATCTGTTTTTGCACTTTCATTGGACATTGATTGCCCTTTTAAAGTCTCTATAGGCATTACAGTAGCAAGTCTGTTTGTGACCAAAAAGCTGTTTTACATATCCTTAGAAAAACTGTTGTTTGTGTTCTGTGTATAGACTTCTTAAAACATACAAGCTTTCAAAATATCCCACAGGGTCATTTCCCAGATCATTCAGTATTAGCAGTACAGGCCAAATTCAGGTCATAAGTAAAAAAAATGCAACAATTATTTTAGTAATCAATGTTATTTTTGATTGCCTACATAATGTATCTTAAGAATTTCCAGATTCAGCTTAAAGAGTGAGTCACAGCCATTCTGCACAGTCTTACTTTAGTATATTCTTCTGTAGTGTTTCATATTTGCTACCAGAAACTTTGTAAATATTGTCACAGAGATTACTGACTATAGAGGCATATGTAGTTATTTATGTAAGACTGCTTTGTAGCCTAAGTCCACCAGTGTTCAAACATTCCAAAATCTACATTAAAAACTCATTTAATGTTCAGGCTGCATTGTAATCTTCAAATAACAATAAAAACTGTGACCTTAATTATAGCACTTTCTTTTCAAATAAAATAAGAGCATGTACAGAGGTGCAGGCAGTGCCAGAGTGAGATCAATGAACTTTTATTAGAGTGCTCTTAGATTCATGTCTCTGTTTTGCTTACATACCACAGGACCTGGTCTTCCAGTGAGTCCCATGGGACCAGGTGGACCTCTCATTGCAATCTGAGAAAACAAACAGAACAAGGCATCAGGTGCCAAGAAAAAGCTGCCAGCCCAGCATACAGATTTTGTTTTAAGACAATGTCAATACATCAGCAAATAGACCCCATCATTCACTCAGTAGTGAGTGTATTCTGTCATAACGATGTCTACTGTCATGAAATGATGCTTACAGCTGTTTACTTCACACTCTGAATGTCATAAAATGGAAATTCATTTGGAATTATACTCTTGTGGCAGTTCTGTTTGCAGGCTCCTTGTGCTCACCCTTGCTTGCTGAAGAATAGCTTGTGCTTGAGCTTCCTGAGCTGAGATTGTTGGGCCCTTCTCACCATCTCCACCAAAGCGGAACTACAGGTATCAAAACAAGAAATGGAATTCAGAGTTTATAAAATGAAAACCACACTTATTATTCACTGCAACCATGTAAACCACTCTAAAGACACTGAGTCTCAGTATTTAGTTCATTCCATTAACTTCAGTAGATTGCTGAACTGGGGAGTTGAGCCACTGGATCCAGTATATGTATTAAGAGTAAGATTTTAGATCTGCAGAACAAATCTAATTGCTTAAGTGAAAATATATTCTTTAATGTATTTCTTAAAAATTAAAAAGTATCAAAGTTAATTAACTTTTAGTGCATTTTTAGATATATACATAAAAATTAAATTTAACTTAAGGCAGAATTCAATGTGAAAAAGACATTTGGTATCTAAGAGGAAACAGTTTTGTGTAATTTCTGACAATTTCAAAATAAGCTAACGAATGCTCTGCACTCATGATCCGTTATTGTTCATGAAACTGCTGGTAGAAGCTTTGCAGTTTTGGAGGGACACTGAGCTGCAACAAGTAGCATGGTTTTCCAAAGGTATACCATGAGCACAGTGGATGTCAGGGCAGTGAATCTTCCACTTTTCACAGCAGTCTGTTTGTATGGTTTACCTATGCCCAGAGTTGGCATGGCAACTGAAGTTTTTCTTCTGCAATCATAATAAGATCAGAATGAAAGACTTTCTTTGGAAAAGTTATGGAAAACTTACTTGCTTTAAGCCCCTGCAAATAAGTACCTGACTCTTCTCATATGAGAAAGGAAGAGAACTATCAAGCTTGCTGCCATTTGAAAGGAAGCCAGATGGCTCTGTAGGCATCTGCATAATGCAGAATCAACACTACTTTCAAAATATTGTTCCAAGCAATTAGTTATCTTGCATCCATAGAAAGAGTGAACTTATTTTTATGAATTCAAGCCCCACACATGATAACGAAGAGCCTCACAAAGGCCTCTCTACATGCCCTTTAGGACTCAGAATGTATCTCTGAGAAAAGTTAGTGTGGCTACTGCCAGATTTACTCCTTTACACTTTGGGTCTCAAGCTGGTCAGCAGGTCATCTGTAATAAAAGGATAGCAGCTCTCAGTGGAGCTTGTAAGTGGCTGAGGGAGAATAAGCAATTAGGAATGAGAATTATGACTATAAAAGTGATGACAGCAACACTGTCTAGAGTAATAAAACTCCCAAGAAATGCTCATTAACTTGGAAATCTGCTAAAAATAAAAGTGACATTTTATACTTCAAAACATGTATCCTCATTTTGTATGATTAACTATTTAAACAGCACCTGATTTTTAGAAAAAACTATATCACCTCGTTGCAGCTGGAACTAGACCTGGAGGATACCACTTTCTCCACTGAATGTTTAGAAAATGCAGTAGAATAGTAGCGTATTTCAAATAGTTAGCAAAGATCAACCTGAGCCACAGACTCAGAAACAATATGATGTCCTGAAAATAAGATGGTAAATGAAAATGGTAAAGAAGTCTGGATGTTGGTTAAACTACTAGGACAGAATTCAGAACAACTGAAGCCAATTAAGAAATTCTTCCTGAGAAACCTCTCTTTGAACTTGGAAAACTACTTGAGCTCAGAGTGATTAATGTCTTAAACAAAGGCTTGTGATATTTTATAAATGGACTGATAGGTATAGTATTAGTCCACACTTACTACTTTTAATGGAACAAAGTGGTGAATCAACCTCTTCTGGCACAGCAATTACAGTTGGAAGAATGATTTGGGAATGATACACAAGTGGCATTTTTTCACCAACTAATTATCGGGCACTAAATATTTGCGTTATACAGCCAGCTGTGATAACAAAACACTAGCGCAAGCATGAGACAAAAAACACTACCTTTCTTTGATAATCTTTCCTTGATTGTTTATATATGTTAAATAAAAAATAAAATTTAAATCATCCTTTCCTCATTGATACTGATGGAATCTTGCCTCTTGGAACAGAACTGATGTAACTACAGCTCTGACCCTTTTTACAAAGATAATCTCACAGAAAATATTGCCCTTTCCTTTACAATTGCTTTATTATTACTCTGGTATGTTATTACTCATCAAATCTTTCAACTATACACACTCTGGAATAATAACTTCCATGCACAATGCATCTCATACTAAAAAGCTGCAAGAGACTTTTGAGGGCTCTGAGCTTGTCCCTCCACCTGCTAAAACAGATGGTGTTTTGCTTAAATTCCAGTGGGAGAAGAGCTGGCTATGTGCATCTATTTCTATTCAAAGGATGCTCTGACTTTTCAAAGAGGACAGTGAAGTCCAATTTTAGGCAAAGAATGTTTAAAACTCTCCAAGTGAAGGAGATTTGAAAGCACACGTCTGCCTTTGTGGAACAGCAAATTCCTTGTTTGGGAAATATGTATCAGATAACAGCTACCATTGAAAAAATAAGGACCATTTTAGCATATGCAATACAGTCATGTAGGTTCTAATCAGGCAGCCATGCAGCAGCTAATGCCTATTGTCTGAAAAGAAAAAACAAACAAATAAACAAAGACATCCAAATGATTAAACCATATGAGAAACTCTATCATCTCATTCCAAAGACAAAATCAGATGAAAAAGTAAGTACCTTTACATTTATTGAAACACTATCTTTTTGGAGTCTCTCTACCCTAGAACCACAACGCAACTTACCGGTAGCATTAACATGGTACCTGGGGGACCTGCTAAACCATCAGCACCAGGGAGACCAGGACGACCAGGTGGACCCTGGGAGAATACAGGGATGACAGAAAAAGGGATGAGAGTGAAAAGACAGTTATTTATGGAAAACCGTTTGAATCACTTAAGCTTGTATTCATAATGAGGCACTCTGGGAATGTTATTGTGGTAGCTAAAGAAGCAGGCTTGGGGAAAACATTCAGCAATAGGGAAGAAAGATATTCTCTCTAATTATCACACAAATTGTTTGAAAATGATGTGAGTAGAACCTAGATTTCATAGGTTAGGCTGACTTGAGGTGTTCCAGTGTTTATTTTATCTGATACATAGAAAACTAACACTGCTGATTTTCTTTAAAAAATTTTGAGTATGTTTAATTTTGAATGGCTACATAAGTCCTACAGTTATGACTTGGAATGCATTTTCATGAATTCCTTCTTCTGTGCCCATTTAAAAAGAGCTACATTTTTTGCATAATCTACAGTTGAAAGAACATACCAGTGTGTACACAATTCATATGGTTGCCAGCAGGCAGTGCTGTGCTGATTAACACCTCTGTTGTGACAACTGATTATTGAATTGCATCTTTTGTCCCAGCAGTTTGCAGGCTGCAGTTTTACTAAATGAAGCTGTCAAGGACATGAAGGACCTGTGTTATGAGTGCTCATTTGCATACTGCATGTTTGAGAAAAAACGTATACATTCACAAGAATGACTCTGCAGGGTTGCAATGACAGATCAACAAACATCAAACTGACTTAAGTGATTCCTTTTCGCACTCAAGAGTTGAAGAAAACAATGGGAAAGATGATACTAAAAAATATGGTCTTTTTTCCTCTCAGGGAATTAAGATCAATAATTTGTTATTTTTAGCTCTTTCTCCAAAAAAGTCTGGAACATCATAGAACAAATCCCTATTAATGGCATACTGTAGGTAGGCTGTAAATAGAAAATTATTGCCAATTAAAAAGTATTGAATAACATGATGTTGTCATAATTAGAAAGAAGCATTATATATCTGGGCATTTCAGAGTTAAAGTTAAAAAACTGTTAAATGCATCCACAAGGCACTCAAAGAACCTTCACTTTGACCTGTAGCAACTTTATGCCATACGATTATGAGTCTTTGTGTTACCAAGTGAATTTGAGGGTTCTTTTTTCACTTTTTTCTCCCATGGCAGCATTTATGTGAGTGAAATTAATTCATGCAGTGAATACAGGTGAGACTTGTGCATAAGTGGCCTTCTACAGAAGGGTATGTTCATTCATTTCACAATTATCTTATACCCAATATTAGGATTAGGATGACAGAATAATTTATTACAACAGCTGAAGAACCATAGACATTTTTTACTTAAACTGTGTTCCTTTCCTAAAGAGGCGATGTTACTTTTCTAGCTTTTTAACCTAAGATGAAAACTAGTCAAAATAGTTATAGGAAGAGCTACAGCCTTTATTCGTGTACACTGATTGTTTTATAAGAAAATAACCATATGTGCCTACACATATATTGAAGTCAGGCACATTACTTCACTGGGATTGAATCTGAAAGCAGAATCTAGTTGCAAACATCTGCATTGTTCCAGTGGGTTTGGTAACTAATTCCTACAATTATCTCTTTGTATAATGCATCTTTTTTAATACAAGAAATGAAGTCTACTCCATGGCAGGAACTTGATGTGTTTATTCAAGAATTTTCTTATAAGCAAGGTAGTGAGCAGTTAGGTTAAAACCTGAGTATTATATGGATTTATTCCATTTTAATGTGTTAAAATTCCAATTTTATCAGTTTAGATTCCAAAATAAATCAGATTCCAAAATACAGTTAATCTACTAATCTACTAATCAAAATACAGTTAATGTGAAATAAGAGTGTATGCTGGTTTATTATCAAGGTGAAATGTTGTTGTTGCTATTATCTATTTATTGAGGCAAATGCATCTTCTTAGCACTTTTCACTCACAAATTCTGTATAATAATGACCTTGTTTTTCTCTGCTTCTCTATATTTTATGGCTGAGTTCATACTGATTTTTTCAAGATGCAAACAAGATATTTTAACCTACTGCTTTTTTCTATTTTAAAATTATTTACATTAAAATGTACACAGACATACAGGCAAACTGGAACTTTATTCTTTTCCACTTTCATATAGAAGATATTTTTACCATTAATTAAATATTTATCCAGTTTTTCAGTTGATGTACTCAGCTGAGTTAATCAGTTCCCTTGAATTTTCTTAAGCTGTTTTTCAGATCAGGATCTAACACACTTGCTCTTGTATAATTAATGCAAGACATACCACGAATACCAGGATAATCTGTATGTTGACTTACCCTTTCACCAGGGTCACCTGGAGGACCAACAGGGCCTTGTAAACCTGGGGGACCTGTAAGACCCTATGGAAAATGAATGACAAATTATTATGTTGAATGATGACTCGCAGAATGCTTTCGAATTTTTTTTTTGAAAGTTACATTGAATACATATTTTGAGAAAATTGCATATATTAGTGCATAACTTTTTTTTTTTTTCTTATGAAGATTTCTAGTTAATACTTGGAAGTATTTGCTTTTCACATGCACTCAGCTTGCAGCATGCTCTCACTGAAAATGCTGGACATGACCCTTATTTACTTCCTTCTTAAAATACTAACTTCAATACATCCCCTGTGAACTATGACAAGATTAATTTTGTTTTAACTCAGGAATATCGAAACACAATGGCAATAAAAAGAAATCATAATTAATCTACATACAGCAGGTCCTCTTGGTCCTGGCGGTCCTTCAATGAGCATACCCTGTTGTGGAGAGGAAAAAAGATACTAACTGGTCACATCTTGGACAAAGATACAACAATTTTTCTAGCTGAACTATTAAAACTAATATTTCTAAGTTTTATGACAAACTTTTCTTAGGATATTCTGTCCACATAGTATAATAATATAGAATTTGGTTGAAAAAGTTTGTGGGATGTCTTTTTTGTCCTACAAGTTTTTAACTAAAAAAAAATAATTAACAAAAGGAATGCACTTTAAATTCAGCTGCTGTAAGATGTTTTAAACCTATTTTGATTTCTTTTTTAGGAATTACGTTGAGATCTTCATAGGTCATTTACTAGAATTAGAATCTGAATTGTTCTTTTACTTAAAAATTAGAAAGACTTTTAGGCTACAGGGATCTTGTAGTGCTAGATTCACAATAACATTTTATTTTTAATATATTGTTATTGTCATTGTGAATAACTCAAGTTATTTTTAGACTCAGGCTCCTATAGCACCTCATAATAAGTTTTCAGAGTGTAGATGCCAGTCTGATTTCCAGCTCACACTAAGACCCAGGAACAGATGACCTCCGCCTATGCCTGGCTTTCCACAGGAAGGAAGACTGGGCAAGAGAGCTGGAAGCTAGCTGTAGTGAACTCCAAAAATGTTGGAGAGCGGCAATGGGTACCTCTTCAGTATTATGGAATTGAACTATCTCTTACAAACGCTAAAAACCTATGCATTTTATGAGATAATGCATAGTGAGCTTCTTCACGGATTAAGACTGACAAGTCAGCCTTAGCATACAGCTTATTCATTACTGTATTCCTCTATCTCTGGTGAATGGCAACTGAAACAAATGCTAATCCTACGATAGCAATATAGAATCAAAAGGAGTTCTTCGATCACAGAATCCAGAGTCTGAGGTTTATGTAATGATGACACATAATAGTATTTTATCATGCTTCAACTTTAGATATTTCTTCCCCTTAATATTCTGTTCTTCATTTGCTATGAAACAGAAAACAGAACAAACTTTAAATTCTATTTGAGTCACATAGATATTCGAAAGCAGTCCTTGAAAATTCTAAAAGAATGAACCACACCAGCACTGAACTCCTGGCACATATTAAAAAATAGAACATTTTCATACAATCTTTTTAAAATCCAGGTATATTTTATTTTATAACCATCGCCCAGTAGTATAACATCCTGCTACAAAAGCCAAATTACCACACTACTTAAAGATGAGAAGAAATATGTAGGCTTGTGCTCCTTTACTGTAATTATGACCAAGTTATGACCTTTGAAACAAGTATTTAATTATACCTTCAGCAGTTTCATTGCACAAGCATGGGTTAAACATCCAAGCATTTATTTAGTTCTCTTAGGTGGACTTCCCAGCCCATGCTGAAACCTGTACTTACAGTGTTACCTGAGCTGGAGGTTGGAAGATATCCCTGCACATTTGTCCAAGCAGCAGTTACGCTAATTGCCCTGAAGAGCAGATCTATGCTCTGTTTTTTTCCTGGACAAGAAGATTCTCCTTGTTTTAAGTGGTATGTGGTTAGTCTCTTGTGAAACAGAAGGAGAAGGCTGAACAGGCTACTGTCTTTTGCCACCTTTATACAGTCCACACTGCAGGTGATTGTTTCAGAGACCATGGATAAGGTTACTGTCATTGTATCATGAATGACGTAGTTTGAAAACGATTTATCAACAGTGTGCAAGTTATATAGTGCTAAAGAAAAACTCACCCACGTCTGTACTTACAGGTTCAATCACAGCTGGTTCTCCCTTTTGTCCTTTTTCTCCATAAGCCCCATGTTGAGTCACCTGACCAGTAAAAACAGCCCCCAGAATGAATATAAGTAGAAGGCCTAAGGACCAGGCACAATAAAGAACTGCAACAACTGGTAACTGAAAGCTAAAGCTGGAAGTGTACTGTGCTATGAAAAATATATCACAGGTACACACATCAATCAAAAATGTTTAATGCAAAAATTGCACAAACATTTTAAAATCACTGGATATCATCAATTTGTAGAAATAAAATTAGTGTTCCAATGGGATTCAATAGTTTGCATACCATGGTTAGCATTAGGACTCTGGAATTTAAGATTTCTGTGTGCATGTCACAGAGTTGTTTCTTTCCATATTTGAATGAACATATTCTCGGCAATTAGCAACTATTTTCATGGTCTTCTGAGGTAAGCAATTAGAGATTCCCCAGCCCTATATGGACAGTAGTCTTCAAGTATTTCATTCCATTCTTTAGTCATCTAATGAATGAAAGTAAGTTAGTCTGAATCTGTGATTACATGGCTTAAGTGGGAGAAAAATTAAATGGCACTGCAAACATTAAATAGTGTTTAATGTATAGCCAATTATGGCGCTAACAAAACGAACTAGCATAACTGCAAAATTATTTTACGGTCAGCTCTGTGGAAAGTTTTAGGTTCAAGACTGAGAACAGCATGACCTAAAACAACAGGTCTATAACACATGCTAATGGCAGAACACAGTCAGATTCAAGTTTCAAACAGTGAAGGAAGAAATATTTTTATTCAATCTATGAAATTTATGTTTTTCTTCAGAACTACCTCTCTCGATTGGCAATATATCAACTGCAAACTAGAAATTAAATCCCGTGCTTGTCAAATGAGAATTTTTTGCTTTCTGTAAAATGGTTCCATGTTTACACTAAAGAAGCTGGGGATTTGAACATATCAAATGACTCTGAAGATAATGCTACAGTATTTTAATATGAGTTATTTTGGAAAGGAAAACCAGAGGTATATATTCATTGCTTGTGCATTTCATACTGATTTATGAAATTACAAATTTCACTGTACAATAGTTCTGTACACCGTACAATATAACTCAAGTACTAAATGATCAGATAATTATGCTTGATTATATTCACACACTGTAAAAAAAGGACACTGAGCACATATTGTAATTGCCCCTTTCTTGAAAGTTTCCAGGTACTCAGTACTTTTCACTTTGCCTTTTTGAACAAAGTTAGAACTTAATTTGCTTTAAATACATCCATATGTCAAAAGAAAATTATATGATACCCTAATTCAGCAGGTGAAAGCATTAATAAAGCTGGCACAGGCTAGAGGCCAGTTTCCAATTCAAGCTTCCTGAATCCTTCAGTTTTGGAGCAAGGCATTTTAAGGTGAAATTTATACCAGGGAATAGAGTCTACACAGCCATTTGCTTAATGCAAATGGTGCCTTATGGGCTCTTTCCTTTGCAGATAATCTGACCTTTTCTGTGTCATTCTAACACAGTGTTCCCATCTGTACTAGAAGGAGAAAAGTAAGCTTGTATCTCATTGCAAGATAAAGATCATTAAAAAAATACAATGACCTCAACTGAGTTTAGAAAGGAGTGATAAATGAAATACAGAAGCATGGATTTCAAGATTGGCAGAGAAAAGCAATCTCACAGCATTTGCTTTTATTTCTTGAATTCTTTGTAAACTGAAATTTCAAGTTTGTGAGGACAGAATAAATACTGAGCTAAGAAAATTCTTCAAGTTGGAACTAAGTCCTGCTTCTCGCCTCAGTCACGTTAGTTTTCTCTGCAGATTCTACAGTCTGGTAAACTGGTAAATGAGGATCCTGGCACAACCAAGGGAAAATTAAAGCCTTCCTTTAAACCTATGTTTAAGTCAGAGGGAAACACAGAACTCTAAAACACAGAACTCTAAAAAACTCTAAAAAAAAGAGCATGATTCACAGGATCCACCATGTCATCCTATCTTCCTTTAGACATACTAAGCTTTTAAATCACTCCTGCAAGGTCATAAAAATGTCACTGTTGACTAATTTTCAAATTGAACATATTTTCATAAATGAGTTCAGAACTCTAGCTTTTGACTCATTTGTTTTTATCCTTGGAAAGTAGTAGAGGCCATATTATACTAAGGACTTGCGCACAATTCAACTTGTTAATGTAATCATGTAACAATGCTGATATTTTTTAGTTCTTGCACCTGTTTTAAAACTTACATTCTTTCCAGCTTTAGCTCTAGTTTAGAAAGATTTAAAAATCCGTGTTCATTTTTATCATTTATTCTTGACATTCCAAATCTCTTCTCTCTTCTATTTCCCTCCCAACTTCAATCCCTCCCTTACTCCCTTCCTCAGAAGTGACAAAAAAAACTGCATATAATAAAAAAAAACAAACAACCTCAGGGTTACTAAAACAAGTGGACAAGTTTGATCCACAGACTATAAAAGATAGTGTGAATACAACTTATATGTACAATGAGGTCTGTATTGGGCTTTTTAGAGTTATGAGAATATGTAACTATAAAAGCATTGCTAAGTTAAATTAATCTGCATTATGCCTTCAGACAACTTACGCTTGTTTCTGTGATATCAGTCTCTGCAGGAACACCTGGACCAAACTCCTCATTAGTAGAATCAGTCGGTTTCTCTTCATACTCTTTATATTCATAAAAATCATATTCGCCTAAATCTCCATCTACCAGAAGATCAGATTCACTGAGGTCTACTCCTCTGCTTCCATATTCAGTTTCCTCAGTTTTTTTATCATAATCCTCTCCAGTTATGTATTCTTCAGCAAATACTTCTTCAACAGGGTTTTGCTATTCATACCAGTAGCAAAGATTTGGGAATAGGAGGAATATGTGAGTTAATGTTAGTAAAGCAATATAGGCATATGCTCAACCACAATGATGACTTGCCAAAAAGAAGAAGGAACAGTAGAACTACAGCACATTGTCTTTTAATTAGAGTCTGAAGGAATGGAACTCCAGTCTTTCAGAGTAATTAAAAGATCTTTGTATACACAGTACAAAGAAATAATGCTTTCATACTTTATTTTCTTTTAATTTCCAAAACCTCTGAATTCAATATACCCAGTACGTTATGCATAATGCTTGCTTAATGTTACGTTACTGCCAAATACAGCTAAGTTTCTCTGCTTGGTTTCACACATAGGTATTCATGAATGTACACTTACACACTAGTAAACAGCAAATAAATTCAGAGCTAACACATGTATTGTAACAATCAGTGAAAAAATTCAGGCTTGTGTACAATAACAATGTGTAGACAGTGCAAGCATCACTTTTGCTAAGCCCAGCCACCTTCGCTATCTTGCATCTACAAATCTCAATTCCAAGCTAAATGTTTCTCTTTTCATGATTTGCAGTTAATTCATCATTCCAAATCTAGAGATGTGTCTGTCATGTCATTTTAAACATATTTTTCGCTGAGTCAAGTCCCACCTGCAAAACTCAGATTAATTTTAACATTTCTCAAAGTTCAACATTGCTTGTAGCTTCCAACTTCGATTATGCAAAGTGTCAAACCAAGCAATCAACTTATAGGCATGCATATAAGGATGCTATATCTGAGATGTACAAAACTATTTGTGGAAAAAGAATTGCTTTATTCTGTTACAAAAATCTCTTGAAAGGATAGTTTTGAAATGAATCAAAGTTAAGATATTGCTAATATGAGATGGTTATTCCAGAGATGAACTACCATGATCTTAAAAATATATATTAAGAAGTTAATCAACATCCAGAGTCATTAAAATATAGTGCAATTAAAATAAAGGCCAGATTCTAATTTGACAGTTGTCTAATTCCATTAGCTACAGGACTATGAGTTTTCCCATATAGTACAGTAAACGCTGGAGCTCTGAGCCAATTCTTAGTCAGATTACGCTCTTAAGCAGAACTATTCTCATTAAGGACATAATTTTGCGCTTTGGATCTATCTCATTACAATTGTACTATTGTACAATTAGCCTGTTCTTGCCCAAGAAGCAGAATAAATCTATATTCCTCTATCTATTAACGTATGAGAGGTAAACATGAGACTTAATACAAGAACATTTTATACTAGAATAAGTAAAGTATCTCTTAATTCATGTTCACCAAGATACATAAGATGAAACCAGGAAAACAAATAGGGATTCTCTCTCTCTTTCATTTTGCTCTTTAAATCAAAGAAAGTGTTGAACAAAAACTATCCACAACATAAAGATAAAATACCATGGAATTTCAGGGGTCAGTTTTGTACATCTTATAAGCAACATATTTTCATTTGCAAACAATATGTAAAAGAAAAATGACATTTTCTCTAATCCGTCATCTTTTTTCTAAAGCTAGCGTTAATTAATATGCAGACATATTAATCAACACTGCCTTTTAGGTGTAGTAATGTTAAAAAAACAATGTTTAGGCTTGTCATTGTGGATTTCTGAAAACAGAGTTTATACTAAGTTGAAATAATTATTTTATCTTTTTGATCGTTCAAAACACAAAGTTTCATTTGAATAGAATCTCAGTGAGAAATAATTAAGTTTTGTTGGCTGAAGAACTATTAAAAGAAGGCTTTGTTTTCTGACTCAACCTCAATACATAGCTATGCTTGCATTCGTTCTTTTCTTTAGTTAGGCTTGCTTTATGCTGCATCTTAAGAGCGACACAAAAAATTAGAAAGTGCACTTCCAATTACAGCAGGAGGACTGTGTCTCTGCTATTTAACCTAATTTATACTAGACATAGCTCCATTCATATCCACACTGAATGCAACAACCCAACCCTGCATTCCCACAGAATGAATCAATGAATGATTTTCAAAATCATAAACTTCGCATGAGTTCAGCAAATCTTGGAACCAAGGGGAGCTTTGCCCACGAAAATATTAGGTTCTGATATTGGCCGAGAAACCGTAAAATCAATCCGTAAAAACCGTAAAATTAATCACTATTACAGATACATATATCTTCACAAACTGATATTCTTCCTTTAACAGTGTGTTGTTTTGCTTTATTGACACCTGACAGGTAAGTATATTTGCCTATAGTTTTCTCAAGCGTTCTCATTACCTCATTGGCTTCAGTAGTTCTGGAGGGAGCTTCTGTCTGGGGCCCGTAGTCATTTTCAGCTATGCTATATTCTTGAAATTCATCGACAATGTTTGCCTAGTATTAAAGAAAAAGTACATTATTAAAAAAATCCTGTAGGAAAATATCAAGAGATCTCACTTTTATTCAGGTTATGTTATAAGCCAGATATTCATCTGGTGGGGTTAGGTCTATTTTTTTCTCATTATCAGAGATCTTCCAGTCTTGGCCTGGGAAAGATCTTGATTTTTTCTTTGCTACCTTTACCCCTAGTTTGTCTTTTGTTGCTGCTTGATAACTTTTCTTCTTCTTGGATGCATATTTTTCAGATTTTTTTGTTGTGGCCTTTTGGGATTTGTCCTTTGAGCTAGTGGCCACTGTCCTCTTCTTCTTTTTGACCATGGCTTTCTTTTTCTGCAAATGTTATGAAAGATGGAATGGGAAAACATAAATAAAATGAAAAGAATGAATGAATGAAAGTGTCTATGAATGTGAGACGAATGCTGTCAGTTGTGAGCCCTTCCATAGCTAAGTAAAAGTAAGTGTTAAAGCTGAAGAGAAAAGAAATGAATAAAAGAAAAACATTAAGTTTACATACAGATGACACAAATTGACAAACCACATGGTAGGGGACAGCTGGACACCACACAACAAACAGATCAGATTCTGTTACCTCTGTTTGTGCTACTGTCTCTTCAAACAGTGGGGGTCCCTCTGTTACAGACTCAGTTTCTTTATAATCTGCATCCCCATACTCATAGTCATATTCGATAAAATCTTCTGGTGTGTACTACATAGCAAATGAAAAATATGAGGCATTCCCATGTTAGTGGAAGCAAATTAGATTTGCAATACTGGAGAGCATCTTAACCTTTTTCTAGGACTAAAACTTAAGGTGATTAAGTTAGCATGAACAATTAAATGTAATTGGGGGGAAAAACACAGTTCCTTATTCTTCTCAAAGCACAATGCAAAAATAGTAAAAGTAATAATAAAAAGAAGTAGCAGTGTCAGGAAAAAAAAATCTTTTATTGGACTGAATAGAAAGACTCAGCTATAATTTGGATTACTGGGAGCAACAACTGATGTTTGCGAAATAATATATTTATTTAATATTTTAAGTACAAATAATGCCTCTTTTACCCATACTCTTTTATATATGTTTTCAGGCAACCAGGAGAGCTGAAGAGATGCCAATATCTGATGTGAATAGCGTAAGTAATTTCAGATTCAGGGAAGAGCCTACAACTCACAAATAACCATGGCTATCCTCGTGTTTGGAGAGATTTAGTTCCCAAGACCAGGACTGCTCCATGATACACACTATCTGAGCAATTAAGTTACTGATATAATTTCATTTAAGATTCTCAGTTGCTATAAATTACTCCATAGCTCTGTATCCATAATAAAAGTATCAGGCAGAGATTTGGCCCACAAAAATTTTACAAGTGAAAATGTGCTTACAATTAGGTTATGTAATTTTATGACACTAGCTAGGGAGTCAGCAACTTCTGAACTACAATCTCAGCTCTGCCCTGAAGGTCTAGATTAGGCATAACAAGTGCTACTCATCACAGCTGAGAAGGTATTTTTACTTACTACCTCCATCATGCTTGAAGATACAGGGACTGACTGGTCCTGTAAATTAAAGCTATCTCATGTCTGCTACTAATTGTTTTCACATCTCCAGGCAGCCAAAAGGAGGTGGAACTGGGGCCAGAATCCCACCAATTTGATCCTTTTCCATGTTTAGAATATTAGAAACATTCTGATGTGCATAATGGGAACTAATGACTTGTGAAATCTTTTATTTCCCACTATAACCCAGCATCATTGCCTGAAGAATGAAGACAATATCTATTTGTTTCTTCATATTGCTGAGAGGATTGCACATCTAAATGACTCTGAGAATTCATGGAAGTAATAAATAACATCAGCATAAGAAAGAGACGTTTTAGAAAAAAATTATAAATGAGATTTAAAAAAATGTCCTTATTTTAAAATATATTTGACTATGTGATCTAATGTCCGGCTTAACTGTTTACCTTAACTGTTTACAGAGGCTTTTGATACAATTCCTGCACTTCCGTTGAATACATTTTACTGAACATAAAACACGGAAAAGTTTATTCCTCAGGATGCATGGGAACAACACTGAAAGACCTTGAACACTTAGAAGTCATAGAATCATAGAATCACCAAGGTTGGAAAAGACCTCCAAGATCTTCCAGTCCAACCGTCCATCTATCACCAATATTTCCAACTAAACCATGTCCCTCAGTACAACATCTAAGCAATTCTTGAACACCTCCAGAGATGGTGACTCTATCATCTCTCTGGGCAGCCTGTTCCAGTGCCTGACCACCCTCTTGGAGAAGTATTTCCTAATGTCCAACCTGAATCTTCCCTGGCACAACTTGAGTCCATTCTGTCTAGTTCTATTGCTAGTTACATGGGAGAAGAGGCCATCTTCCATCTCACCACAAACTTCCTTCAGGTAACTGTAGAGAGCAATAAGGTCAAACTTGAGCCTTCTCTTCAGACTAAATAATCCCAGTTTAACCAGCAGTTAAATCTTAAAACTTAAGTAATATGTGATTGTTCTCTCTCTATTCAGTAAATTAAGATTCCATCCTAAGAGCAGTAATGTCAATGAAACATTTTGACTTATGTATGGCATTATCCAAAGGCCTCATGGGCACTGATTATACATTTTTACAGGTGTATAAATGTATAAAAACATGTTTTCTGACTTGTGAAATTTTGGAAATGCATCTGAATACAACTTGTTTCTAATGAGCTATGCCACTGACATCCAGAAAACAAAACAAGGTGAAAAGTTTCTAGACCATAACCAACAACATAAAGGAAGTATAGAAAATACATAAAAGGCAGGCTAAGTGTCTGTGATGAATTGTGCTATCTATGCAGGTAATAAAATTGCAAGACTAAATGCTGATGTTGACTGGAAAGAAAAAAAAAAGCCTGATATTTATGCTGTGATCTGCCAGCAGTATAGTTTGGAAAGCCAGATACTTATGAATGAGAACTAGAAAACTTTCATACATATCCATGACAACATGAAAAGATCTGTTTCATCAGGTAAGATAACAAAAATATATATATATATATATTCTACCTTGCAGGACTGTGCTTTACTCACTTCTATTAATGAAAATTCAACTTTGGTTGAATTTTGATTGCTATTATATGCAGATATACAGGCAAAATGAACAGGAATAGATGATAAATGAGGAATGCCAGTTTCCAGGCTGGAATCTGAGTACTGCCAAGGAAGTGAAGGTTTCCACGGACATTTCTTTCTCTCTTTTTTTTTTTTAAAGGCACGGTATTGGAGGGACATTATGGAGAGATATGGGAAACTCTCAGAAATCTGTAGTCGTTGTTCTGTTAATTAACGTAGGAGAAATTCCAAATGGAATTTCAAAACTACTTAATGAATTGGAAAAGTACCCTCTGCAACTTTCTAAATTTTAGCCAAGTTTAGCAAAAAAAGTCAAAGCAGGCAATGAAAGCAAGTATGACAAAGATGAATTTTGTCATGGAAGACAGTATAGCTTTGTTGCTATGTATCAAAGGATGGTCTTATTGGCCAGTAGTGCAGGCAGAGAATGAAGAAATTGGAAGAGGATTTAAAGAGACATTCAGGTTGTAGAAGATTCTGATGATCTTCCTATGAGTACAGGCATAGCCAAGTAAAAGTATACTTTGATTGATTGCTTTAATTCTGCTCAAGTTGAGCTCTGTCTATGCTAGCTTACCAGTCCCTTTATACTGCTGCATATGGGGATGGTTATAGATCGACTATGTGCTCACAGTAAAAGCAAACATATATAACTTTATAAACTTTTCCACATATCTAAAACATTGACTGCATGGCATTTTAACTTGCTTAGGACCTCAAATTGGACAATAGCTAAAACATGAGGAGGGATTTCAGCTAACAGGGATCAGATAACACATTTCAAATGTAATGTAATTTTCTGTTGTTTTTCTTTCTCCTGTTCTAAGACCACCAATAGTTACAGAACAGACGTTCTTGTAATGAATATTGCATATGACTACTTTCTTACAATTGAAAGGAAGAATAAAGCCTGCTGTTTCTTGATGAGACTTTCCACTATGACCTCATGCTTTCTTTACCAGAGTGATTATATTGCACTACCAGATCACCATGCTATTCCAATTAAAGAGATGAACTGTTTTCTTCATCAGATGAATTTTAGAAGCAGATCAGCAGCACACAAGGCCCATTTCAACTGTGGAATGACATAAATATTCTTAGAGCCTTACTATGAAAACGGTCTCTTCTGCTATCCATACAAAAACTATTCCAAAATTGTCTCCTGTTCTGCAGATGTAAATTTTAACATTTTTTACTTTCTTTCAAAATTACGAAGAACCAGCAATTCATATGCTAAAGCAAAGAACTGTCAAGCCCATAGTTTATTGCATCAGCATTATACAAAGTCATCTATCTACGTAAAGAGTCAAAGATTACTATGAAACACTTTAGACTCTAACTTTTTACAAAATGCAATGAAACAAGGGATTTCAAGCATAATAGTAGTTTCAAATTCTGATGCAATAATAAAAAGAAATAAATGGCAGTAGATGTCAATCTTAGGACAGAAGGAAACAAAAATATTTAAAAGACCTCCGAATCTTTACATTATTTACAATAGTGATATGGGCAAGCAGATAAAAGGAGATAAGAACAAAATCTTCAACTTCCAAAGGCAGCTTCTGTCAAAATAAGATGATACTTAAGGCTCTACATTATGTATCTATACATAGAATGAGTGCTAGGAAGATCTTTATTTTTAACAATGGCCAAGGTAGCAAAATGTAGTTTTAAAGATGATTGAAATTAAACGTGGTTTTCTGAAGAATATAGGTTCTGATCAGTGGAACACCTGAAATAAAGAATAATAAATAAACATCCTCCGAAAGGATGCCTGAATACTGCAATTTGAGTGTGTTCAGGAGGCATTTGCATCTTTGACTTAACAAGCTCATTTCATAAAAGACAAACATTTCATTTCTTCAAATAATCCATTAGTTTGGGATAGATCCAAAATAAACGAAGCAAAGTTCCTTTGGGGAGCCATTTCTCAAGAACAAGTGAGACAGTGTGATTTACTGGGTTGCAGAAAAATCTTCCAAGAGAAAATCTGAAATTCTGATAGCTGGAGCTGTTGAAAACTAGACTTGCCAACACTCCACAAAATACAATTCCCAACATTAATGATGATGAAGACTGACCTCGTCTTTCCCTAATCTAATTTCTGTGAGCTGGCCAAATGTATGTGATTGAAAGGAAGCTGAATTTGACTATATTTCCATTTATAGTAGAAAGTGTTGTGAAAACAAGACAGAAGCCAGGCTATTCACAAAATATTTATAAGAAAAACATAGGCACATAACTTCCCAAGCAAAGAGCATCCCTGATATTTTAAAATTATCATTTCATCTGCTTATTCAATTCTTAATATCTAATTATACAATGCTGTGCTTGATTATAAACAATTATCTACAATCAGATACTCTTTTTCCTCCAGAAGCAGATTTTTCAAGTAACTTTTAGACACTACTGCTTTGACGTAGTGACAACAACTGAGGTCATCACTCTGTACTTAACACGTTATGGAGATTCATAGGTATTTGCCACCACAAACAAGTACAGTTAATGCCTGCTTCAATTAAAGCATATCTTCAAAGTGCAAATAAATGATAATAAAGAATAAAACACCCTAGTACTTTCACATTTGCAAATGCCAGACTGAATGATTCTTAAGTCTGATGAAGCTGGACTTTGGTGTCCAAGTTTTGGCTTGCCTGAGCTACACTGAGTGAAGTGGAACTGTCTCGGGCACCATATAAAATATATGATATAGTTGATTATACATCAAGTAACAACTTAAAAAAAATATTTTTTATTAAACAACAACAAAAAAAAAGACCAAGAAAAACAAAGAGCTGGTAGGGTATTTAACCACTGTGTATGTTTTTCCTCTGGTGAAATAGGTCTTATAAAAGTCTAGTAAAGAGAGGTTATCAGTTTTTTTCCTTGAGTTGAATGTCTGATTCCAACTCTATACATTAAATTTAACAAGTTGAACGTATTGTGACTGAAAATGGCATTGCAAATATATAAAAATTGATTTTTTCAGAAATCTTGAAACCTGTTCTCAGATTCCCTATACATGGTCAGAAAAGCAGAAAAGCTATTAAATAAATACTGCAAAATTAGATTGTAATGTTTTTAATAATTTTATGCTTTTATTGAGCTTTTCTGAAATGTTGAAAATTACAAAATTGGTCAGCATAGCATAAGTATTCTGGATATTTCTTCCACAGCGAATGTGTTAACTTACTAAATTACTTCATGAAATAATTATTAAACTAGAGCTTGTGTTAAATAAGAAAACTTGTATATGTGCTCAATAGAAAGAAAATGCCTGTCTTCACAGACACATACACATGTTTAGTATGTTGAAATATTGTTATTGGTAATCACTGTGCCACTGCATGGCAAAATACACGAGTTTCAGTTTGACTGTGTGTGGTAGATACGAGAGAAGGATTTAACGCTACACTGCCCTCCTTTCCACAGCATTCCTTTGTCCGTGCTCAAGCTACACACAATTGACTCACCAAAGAATATTGCTTAAATAACGTAATGTTAAAAGTGTATGGTCTTGTGGGTCCATGTTACTAGCTGTCCAGGGTTGCGTGTAGCCTGCATGCTGGATGTGCTTGTTATAAATGATATCTTACTCAAAATGCTACATATATGATGTATTACTCAAAAGGAGAACATTGTCAATTGTTTGATGTTATGGTTCCTTTTCTCTGTTTGGTGCTCATCGAATGTTTTCAATAGATGTGAAGTATGTAACTGGGCACTTTATATGATGAACACAGAACTACATACGTGAACACACATAGCCTTATTATAATTACGAAACCTTATTTTTCTTTTGATCGTTGAATAAATGTCTTTCTCAACTGACGTTAAACAATTTTGATAGACTATAGGAATAATACTTGGCAGCAGGAAATTTAGCTGATCATCCATTATGGAGAGAAAGTAGACCCAGGGATAATTTATTTACTGCCTACATTCTTTAGAAACTCTAAAACACAGTCTAATAATTCTCCTGTAGTCAATGCCCAATTATTCACTCCTAATTTATCCAAAGAATATACTCTGAATCTGAAAGCTGATCACAACTGTAAGCCTTGTCTGCATGCATTACACTGATGAATAGGGACAATAATTACTGTCAGTGGTGGCCAAAACAAACAGGTATTTGTAATCCAAGACATGTTAATTTCTGCTCAAGAGTTGATGTCAGTTGGGAGACAAGTGTTTTCATTTTAGTTAATATGTTGTAAGCATTTAGATACGTTGCTCCCCTGTTGACTCTGTTGACTAAGGGATTTTAACAACCTTTTCCCCCAAAGATCAGTTTATTAGACTGACTCCTTTCAGTTTTATTCAAAAATAGAAAAGCCTTAGCTTATTCAAACCTTTCAAATCTTTACAAAGAAAATAAAATAAAAAAAAAAATAGTCCCAAGCCATACAGAAGCAAGTACCAGGGAAGTTCTGCAGAAGAAATGTAATATTATTTGAAATTAAATGATGACATTAAAAAAAAAAAAAAAAAAAAAAAATGCTAGCTTTGGTTTTCCTTCCATAAAATATCAACAAAATGATTTTAGCCTGATCTGGTCTGGAACTTAGCGCATGGAGATCTGTATAACTAAACACACAGACAGTTTTACGAGGGGCTCATTAGCAGAACAGACTTTATGTACTGCCATGTAACTGTCATGCCCCTACATATAATGTGATGTAATGTAATATGAGCTTGTAATTAACTTCACACATCTTCAACTGGATATCAGATGCAATGGATGTGGGATCCTGTATAGGAGCTGTTAGGTCAGGGCCTGAACCAGTCACTCAGCACCTGGTGAAGGGGTGCAGCCAGACCAGGGAGCACAGGTGGAAGCAAATCACCTGTGTGACTGGAATGGTCCACCCCTCCCAAACCTCTTTTAAGGGCTGGCAGCTGTAAGGGAAGCACCTCTGCTTGTCTCTTTTGGAGTGTTCAGCGAGCTCTGATCCTTAGGTAGGGGGTAAGTGTTTCCTTCTTTATTACTGGACTATAACCACTGTGTTTCTTAGTTGATCCAAAATGAGTTTAAAGCAGCTATGTCTATTACTGCCTATCCTTACAGAGCCCCTTTAAACCAAGTTCTTGAACCCATGGATCTGTGTACTTCATAACATAATTTTCAGTCAGACACAATAAATAGTAACAGTAAATAAAGTTATTGTTCATTAAGGAAAATTTCTGTCCCAAAATTAGCTCAAAGCGTGTATCTGAGAACAATTCAATAACTTTTTAATGTTGGTTTCTTGAGCAGTTGGCAAGAATAGTCACTCAGGTCACACACAGTTAACTGAGAGCATACTAACTGTCCAGAGCCAAGTTCAATTAAGACATAAAAACCACCTTTTACAAAAGATTTCCACCTCATAGTGAAAGTATGAGAACAATTTTATTACAAGTATTTGGAATATGTATGACAATGCATACAGCTGCTGACCCTCAGAGGTCTAATCTGAGAGGCTGTCTTGCCATTAGTGAATTGATTAACATACAGTTGTGAGAACTGTCTACAGCGGCAAATGGTTTCTGAATGATTTTCATATTTCTGAGGAAAATGCCAACATCAATTTTATTCCTGTTGATGTTATTAGCTGCTACCAGTGGATCTGGCTAAAATAATTTTGTGGCCACATCTTATTAGAATATGACATTTCTAGCAGAAGAATTTCTTGACTCCAACTTACTCAGATCTCCCATCTCTTTTTAAATGTGACATTTGAAGGTATTCAGCATCACTGAAATCATAAATATACATAGGAGGAAAAAACAGATACAACTGAGCACAAATTGCTATCTCATTTTAAATAGTTTAATGCTATTGAGAATGTTGGTTATTCAGATACCAGTGTGATAGCTGCCTTCAAATACTTGACATAAATGATTGCATAGAAAAAACTAATGCGCTCCTGCAACCTTTCTTCCTCATGTCTAGAACAAAGTACGCCATTTAGCTGTAATTAAATGCTCCCTGGGTAACTTGTATTCAGCACAACCACTAATGTGCAATAAATCTTTTCATACATGACTGATTACTCACCTCATCAACTTGAGGATCTTGAGCCTGAGCAGCATTAGGCACTGGGGAATCGCAGTCTGGACTATAATGCTCGCAATAGTCATATGCAGCTCTGGGGTCAGCTATAATCAACAACTGCTGGATCTCACCCTGTAGGAAAGCATATGTAGGTTAGGCAACATTTGTTTCCATTATTTAACACTCATCAAAAGCTCTCATTTAAAAAACAGAACAAGGCACAGAGTATATATATTAGATATTGCATGTTATCACATATGTAAACATAACATATCTACTTCATTTCTGCTTCCAAATGGCATCTTAACTATTTTTCACAAGACAAATGGTTAGGTGTGAAATTCTGGCTGAACACACTGTCTGCCTTTGAAAGGAGAGGGTGGGAAGGTATAACTCCTGCTTTGTCATTTTCATGCTGTTGTTTACTTTTTCACTGGGAACCAGTCTAAATTCCTAAGATTTAATTCAGGGCACTTCCTACTACCAGCATGCAGCTCAGCATGCAAGTGATCGACAGTATAATTGTGAGAGTTTGCATCACATCTGAACTCTTGACAAGAAGGAAAACAATAAAATGGGTTGCACAAGAGGAACACTTCTTGGAATAAAAAACAAATAGACAAACACTATGTGAATACACAGTATAGGATATATAGAAACAAACTTTATATATCACGTATAAAAACAACATTGCACTAAAGAGACATACTATTCTGGATAATAAAAATGTCTTTGAGATCCCCTACAGTCATCACGTATGTTTATCATTTTCTACAGAAAGCTGGCTGATATTCAGTGTATTTCTCAACATAACAGTAGTTATGTTGCAGTGTTTAGTAAATTCCAAACATTTCTATTATGAGTTTCCTCATTCAGGAGCTTCTCATGCTGTCATAAAAATAAGGTTGTTGAAAATTGGCACATGTTCTAGGTCAAAGCCCATTAACTTCAACTGCCCACTGAATTTCCACAGAAGGAAGGGTTTTTTTATCCTTCTATGTATTTCTAACATTATTTTTGGTTTTACCAGTGAGAGGGTAAAGGAATAACTTTGTCGGTATACCTCTGCATGCAGAGAAATTATTGTAAGTGGTGAACTAGGAACTCAGAAAATTCGCGATCACCTCAATGTTTCCAAAATTGCTTTAAGCATTTCAGAATAGTAGCCTTCAACAAATAATAAAACTTGGGGAATAGTTTCAGATAGTAAAGAATAGTTCCGAATCCTCCTTCTTTTCCAAAAGAGAAATTACAGAAACTAGCAAACAAACCACTAACTGAAATAATCAAAATCCTCTCTCTTCTTTTCCTAATTCTATAATAATTTACCAACATATTTAACATGAAATATGAAATATTTAATTGCTTAGCATATAGCAGCTATATATTACAAATCTGATTGTTAGAATAGTGTCAACTTCTTCTCCTTTACAGACTTACTTGTATCTCAGATGAATTTAGAGCTGGAATGTACTTTTTTAAGTTTCTAGAAATGCTATAGTGCAGTAGTCTGCTTCAATCAGTGGTTTTGAACTGTCCCTTTTTTTTTTTTTTTTTCCTCATCTGATGCTTCCTTATTTGGACACTGACCTACATACCCTGCTGTACTTCCAGAGAAATTATCCAGTTGATTATATACGTAACTCCTTCAGGGATACAACTGGGTACTTTGAACAGTTTTGTACAGTCAGTGTCAGCCTTCTTATGCATTCCTTTTCTCTACCACAGGGTGTTTCTAAAGTGCTCTGCCCTTCTTCTTTCAGTAGCCAAATTAAAGCTAAGAGAAGCAATGGAATAAGTTAGAAAAAATTAGCAATTGAAAGACAAAAGAGATAAATCTTTGAACAAGAATTAGAGTAAGTTGTTATCAGCTCCTGTCCTCTGCTGAGTTCAGAGTATTGTCTTCCTCATATGTGCTCATACATGGCTTTCTCAGTTGTCCATATAGATCAATAAAGAGTACATGGTGTGCCAGCCATATAAGTAGTGTAAGAACTGCTCTTAAAACTGCTGTCTTTTTATTACAATGAGCTTAGAGAACCCAACTGGGGGAAGATGGCTAGCATTCTGTTGGAAGCTTGCTTTGTGCTGATCTTGAATGCCATGGAATTTTGGCACTTGTTCTTGTTGGATGTGTGTTTGCAAGAAGCACTCAGCATGCTGTTACCACTTGGCTTAGATGTCCCTAATTGCTAAAAGCTGTTCCCAATCCATTGACTGTACTTCTCAGCCCTGCCTGTCCACTTGTCACGGGTTCATATAGAAGGAGGCTCTCAGAACTCTTGCACAATATACGCAAAATGCTACTGGCCATTCATGTGTGATAGGTTTACAGAGAAACTAATTTATTTTCCATTTCGCATCTCAAATGTTAATTTTCCTCTTTTTCCTCCAACGTCTCATACAAAAATACTGTTTTTCTTATAAATTATTTTGCCTTCATTTTCTTGCCTTTGCTAATTCAATAGCTTCTTTCAGTATTTATGTGATGCGTTGACAATGTTCTTTCACTAGTTAACAAAGAACTTTCATTTCAGATTGACTGAAACATCTCAGCACACAATTCCACAAATTACTGCAGATTTCACTATTGTGACTTAGTCATGATGTAGTCACATCAATTTTTGACAATTCCACACACTTTCTCTTTGAGAATTTTTCACAGAATTATTTCAGTCTTAAAGTGTGTCCTTCAATTCAACCTTTTGAAATTTTGACTCCAAGATTGAATGTTATAGTTGTTTGTGCAGAAACCACAGATATTTAATCTGGCTATACTCTAAGGCCTAGACTCATGAATTTGGGGCACTTAATGATCTACCTGCACAAGTCCAACAACTTTAAATGAAAATATATATAAATGGAAATATGGGTTAATAACAATACTGATTGTTAACCTGTACCTTAACACTGAGATATCTAAATATATATGCATGTAGGCATAATGTTATTCCTATATAAAAACTTGCAGGATGAAAGGAAGTCTCACTTGAATTATGAGAGTAAGAGAGGGAAAACAGAAATGGGAAAAAGCATAAGAGAATAAATTACACCTGAGCATCCTTAAAGAACCTAACAGTACTCTGAAAAGTGTATAAAGAAAAAAAAAAGTGCACAAAAGGTAGCTGTCTCTATAGATTAGTTCCATTTCCCTTCCTACAAAACTGTAATGGCAACCTTTGCTGGGCAGGGCCGCTCAATCAGTTTCCTACACTCCCTCATCATGGGCCTTCCCAGAAAAGGAAATCTCCCCAGCTTCTAACATGTGTCATGTAATGACGCACAAGCTGAAAGCATATGTGTACTGAAAAAAAAAAATCCACTGCAATGAGCTCAGTTGAGTAAATCAAAATTCTATCATCAGAAACAATCTATTACGATCTAATTTATAAAAAGAAAAAATACTTATCAGTCAGATGTCACATAATATAGTGAGACAAGACTTTCAAATTCCTTTGTATTTTTCACTAAGTTTTAACAAATCCAAGTGAAGTATATTGAAATAAGCAGAGGAAGCTAATTTCACCTCAGTACAGAAAGGACATTGAGGTGCTGGAGGAGGTCCAAAGAAAAAGGACAACAAGGCTTGTGAAGGGCTTGGAGAATATGCCCTACGGTGAGAGGCTGAGGGAACTGGGGCTGTTTTGTCTGGGGAAGAGGAGGCTGAGGGGGAGATCTTATTACTCTCTTCCAATATCTGAACAGTGCTTACAGCGAGAGAGGGGTTGGTTTCTTTTCACTGGTGACAGGACAAGGGGAAATGGCCTCAAGTTGCACCAGGGGAAGTTTAGGTTGGATATCAGGAAAAAAATTATGGAAAGGGTTGTTGAGCACTGGAACAGGCTCCTCAGGGAGGTGGTTGAGTCACCATCCCTGGATGTGTTTCAAAACCATTTGGATGTGGTACTCAGGGTCATGATTTAGTGGAAGGTTGTTAGAGTTAGGGTAGTACAGTTACGTCTTGGATGAACTCAATGATCTTTCAGGTTTTTTTCAACCTGAGTGATTCTATGATTCCCAAACACAGTAAAGTTACTGATTCTTTTGAGAATAACTTGCGTGAGTGTAAGATACTGAACCTGCACTTACTATGCACAATGGGAATTGAGGTGCTATCTGAATTTTCACCATATTTTGATGTCAGTGATAAGCAGATGGTAGTAGAAGGCAGAAGTAGGCAACTTGTGGTGGGGTATCAGAAAATTACACACAGCAATGTTTCCGTGTTACTACTTGTAACGATGTGTGTAATTCAGTTTGTCCAGAAAAGTGCTGCTAGCCTATTTAGCTCTCAGTATGTGCTGCCTTAAAACATAATATATTTTTAATCCTAGAAAATCATTAATGTATCTTATGCACTGTTTATCAGATAGTTGCATAATGTACATGAAAAAGCTGAGATCTCTGCTGTAATTGCTCATAGATACAGGAGAAGGTTTAGCAAAATATTTAAGCATAATAATAGTAATATAGTAAGTATACAAGCACCTTTTGTAACCAAAATGGGTTAATTTGAAGACATTTTATTTGGATAATAAATACTTAAGTGAAAGAATAAAGAATAAATTAAGAATAAAAACAGTACAACCCAGTGTGTAATTGAGTAGCCCATTAAGATATGGAAAATAAATAGTTAAAGTCTATGAATGTTTCAGCTCCCCTGCTTTGGGAATGTGCACGTAACTAAAATCACAGGCTTTTGAATCAGCCTCATGGTTATATGAAATAAGCTGCCAGAGAATCATAACATAACTTGCCCATCAGTTATGCCTAGCATGCAAACATGATACAGAAGGATTACTTCTGAGGCATTACTCTAAAGGGGACTGTATCAAACAAGCTACTCTGCAAAATCCTCCAAGACTGTTAAAAGGAGTTAATTAGATGTGAGGAAATGTTTACTTTTTTAGAGTGTCTTTGTAGCATGCCAAAGTAATTGTGAAGAACAAGACTAAAGAGCTACAGAGATAGAATACACTCAAATTAGTTGAATGTCTGCCTATTGGAACAGTGGGACACTTATTCAGATTTGTTTTTCTATGACGAGAAACAGCTTAGCTTAGAATAGGAAGCGTGTGATTAATTCAGTTGCTGAAAATTCCTCTGTGAATCTCAGGCGCTCTACACTGATA